GTAGGTATGTTTGCTCATTATTCAAAATGGATAAGCAATTTTTCAGAAAAAATAAATGCTCTTGCTAGTACTCGTATTTTCCCCTTATCAGAAGAAGCAAACAATTCTTTTGAATCTATTAAGAAAGATATAGCTAATGCTGCGTTAGCTGCTATAGATCATTCAGAAATTTTCACGGTGGAAACTGATGCCTCTGAACACGCATTGGCTGCGACTCTATCACAAAATAAGCGTCCAGTAGCCTTTTTCTCTCGTTCATTAACTTATTCGGAAAGAAATCATTCATCTATAGAAAAAGAGGCTTCGGCGATCGTAGAAAGCTTGCGGAAATGGCGTCACTATTTGTCGGGGAAACATTTTATTTTGGTAACTGATCAACAATCCATTTCTTTCATGTTCAATCAAAAACATAATAGTAAAATAAAGAATGAGAAAATAGAGAGATGGAGATTAGAATTATCATGTTTCAAATATGATATTATTTATCGACCTGGAAAGGAAAATATAGTTCCGGATGCATTATCAAGAGTTTGTGCTAACATTTTTTCACGCAAAAACTTATATGAACTGCATAACTCATTATGCCACCCAGGAATCACACGAATGGCCCATTGGATACGTTCTAAAAACTTACCATATTCTCTTACTGAAATTAAAGAAATGACTGCGAACTGTTTGTTCTGTTCAGAAATAAAGCCTCGATTTGCTAATACTAAAGGAAAACTCATAAAAGCTGTAGCGCCGTTTGAAAGATTAAGCTTAGATTTTAAAGGCCCTCTCCCATCAAACAGTCACAATAAGTACATATTGACTATAGTTGACGAATTTTCAAGATTTCCTTTTGCTTACCCCTGCAAGGATATTTCTTCATCCACAGTAATAACCTGCCTTAAAGATCTTTTCTTCACTTTTGGAACTCCTTTATATATACATTCAGACCGAGGTTCATCATTTATGTCACAAGAATTTAAAGATTTTCTTTTAAGAAACGATATCGCTTGCAGCCGAACAACCCCTTATAATCCCGAAGGAAATGGTCAAGTGGAAAGACTCAATGGAACTTTATGGAGGACGATGCAACTGTGTTTGCGATCTAGAAATCTTAGCGTCCAGCATTGGGAACATGTTCTATCTTTGTCTCTACATTCTATTCGTTCATTATTGTGCACAGCTATAAATTCTACGCCTCACGACAGAATGTTCAAATTTCCGAGGCGTTCTGGAAATGGAGTTTCTTTACCTAACTGGCTAACTATTCCAGGACCGATATTATTAAAAAAAAATGTGCGGAACAGCAAATATGACCCGTTAGTAGAAGAAGTAGAATTATTGGAAGCCAATCCGAGTTATTCTCTCATACGTTTTGCAGATGGGAGAGAGGATACTGTTTCTAATCGGCATTTAGCACCAGTACCAACTAATATGCCTGATATAGAGAATTTTGATCGTACAGACACAAAAAATTCTGGAGTTGATAACTTGAGCAGTGATAGTTCAGATTCAGGTCGTCCTGTGCGTGAAAGACGACCTCCAGCATATTTACAAGATTATGATTTACAGTAAAACAAATAATATGCACGGGTGAATGTGGTATATTCATAGATTATTATTCCTAAGAGAATGTATTACTATGTTACTATTCTATGATATACTAGATATACTCATTGTTGTTTATGACAACGTTGTTGACTTATATTTTTCCATGTAAAATGTATCGTTACTTATAAAATTGAATTAAACCATTAGTCTCAAATGGTTTGTATCTTTTCGTATCAATATGTTCTACTTGTAATGTATATAATAATCGATAACTTGATTACACTTTAATTTTTACACTACGAACGATTTTTTTCATTCGTTATAAATTGACATATTAATAAATGGCGAAATATAAAAAAAAACTTTTTAAAACTGAATACAATATTCGTATATGATTTAATCAAATACTATTTATTAGCACATAATCGTATGCTAATATTTGGTTAAGCATTTGAGAGTATTGCATGTTTTAATGTAGTAATGTTTTAATTGTATGTTACATGTTTGATATACATTACCAATCATATTATAAAAAAAATCTGTTGAAGTACCTACTGTAGGTACTTAAACATAATTATAATTGAATAGTATTTCTTCTTCTATTTTTATTTACTTAATTCTTTATATAAGTTTATTTTTACAAAGAAACAAATATGGGTAGAATAAATAAATGTAGGGTGCTTTGTTAAAAGCAAAAACGCACTGCAAAAGTAAATGGTATCGAAAATCATAAAAATCTTTTTCAAAGAATTTTATCGAATCCCATCTTAGTGTATCTGGAACTGGTGAATTTTTTAAATATCAACAATAATGTTGATTTAAGAAATATAAATATATAAGGGATTTTAAATACATTCGTAAAACTAAAATTATGTTGCCTATATTAAATCAAACAATTGCTAAAATATTATTAGTTAATTCATGTTAAATAATTTCATATTATAGAAGATTGTTTACTAGAGTCGACAAAACTATACGATGAAAATCAAACTAAACTCTTTTAATTTTTAGAATTTCAATTAGCTATTAGAACGATTTCAGCGTTTGGATATTTATTTACATAAATTGATTTTCATTATTGTAATCTCATCCCTAATTCTTACTCGCTCGCTCTTGATTTTTTGTGATTGTTTGTGTTGTGAACTTTGAATTTAATTCTGTTATTTTATTAACGACCGACTTTGTGATTACTCAAACGATAACCTGGATTAATAATGGATTTACGTACGCATACGAAATGGAATCTGTCTTTTGTGTTAATTGTGGTTCTGTTAGTGGTTCCATAGTATTGGAAAATGAGCAATTTTACACTGTGTACAACAATGGACAGCACCTCGTTTGGTATTTTTTTATCAATTACTCATATATCCATTCATACATAGACGTATCCACGCATAAAATATGGCTGTATCAATGATACAGCAAACAAAGGTTTTTTATTTCATATCACTACATTTGAAAGTTTTCTTTTTGGTTTTTGTCTTTGTCATAAACATTTTACGACTCATTTATATTTGTTAACAGGGCTCGCACTTTAAAGCACAAAAGAATGTTCTATTTTTTTTTATACATGCATGTAGTATGTCTGTCCACTAAATGCATGGCATTTGATAATTAGATATCAGATCCCGAGGATTTTTTAAAATTAGTTTTTAACTTGGAGAACAGTATATATCATCAAAATCGACTTGTAATTTTGAATGATTATATTAAAGTTCAAGAAATGAGAAAAACGTGTAAATTGCTCTTTTTTTAAATTGCTGGCGTTTTCCCCATTTCTTGGATTTTTTAAAAAGCTTAGTAAATGATTCTTTCATTCTGTATTTTTTTTGGCAGTTCTTATCAGTAGAAGCGGCAAAGTATTCTGTTATCGGTAAATTACTTATTATTAAAATTAAAATAAAAAGGTAAATTAGTGAAACGTTCGCAGCTTTTAGTTTGAAATCATTATGTTGACTTATTAAAATTAATGGCTATTTACAAATTTTATTTACATTTATGTAGAATCCTACTATAATATTTACATATTCCTACATTCATTTACCTTTTTTAAATTCGTATTAATAACAGCTTTCACGCGCTAATTGATGTTTCGTTTAACTAGAAACACTAAAAATTACGTATTTCATAAAAATATTCGTTGAATAATATCTTTAACTTTCACGAGCATGTACCCAACGTATAGCCTGTGCGTTAAGAAAGTAAACTTTATTTTTATGTGCATAAAATACCGTATTCCTATGCGACACAACTTCAGAGCGAACTGGAAGTTTTGCAAGGACTATTTCATTCGCTCGCAGTTATCGTGTTACGAAGATATAAATATATATTTCAAAAATCGACGAGCGAAATGATATGCTCACTTGAGACTAGACGAATGTTACATTTATATCACTCGCTCGCGATCTACTCAAGTCTATGGGAATTTAATTCTATGATGGGAATAGGGATGTTCCGATAACAACAAGGTATCGATACCTACTCATATCAGTAGTACTCAAATAGTCTTTCGATACTACTCATATAAATACTCCTAATGTATCGATAATTACTGATATCGATACTTTTAGATTATTTTTTTAATGAAATGACGGACAATAATTTTATGAGGGCCAAAAATAAATTGAGTAAATAGGTATTTATTTTTTTATTAAATTTAATGAGGAAGTATTTAAAAATATAATCCAGTTTTCTTTCATGCCTAAAAGTAAATTCGTTTTCAAAACTCGATAAAAAACTCATATTCTATTTGTACTTTTTCGTATTTGTATTGATATCTAAGTTTCGAAATTCTCTTCAGTTTTTTAATTTGTTAGTCAAAAGGAACGGACATGACTGTCTTTGGTCCATTCGTTTCCTGCAAAAATCGAGTTTTGCTAGAGTCGCCATCTTTTTGATGCTTTCTTTTTATTTTTGAATACTTCCTCATTAAGAACAGTCGGTATCTGGCTGAATGCAAATTAACAAGAAATAAAATGGCGGCACGGCACGGCACGTCTCACACACCAACATAGTTACATGCCATGCATTGAATGGCGCGCGCACTTTTTCCGACAACCGAGCGAGCGAGATAAATAAGCTGTCGCTCTCTCGTTCTATCAGATGCCTTCATTTTACATAAAATATCGCACGCACAGAACAATACTGTATAATGTCGATACTGTATTAGTCGGATCATAGTGCAATGTTGATCTGGGTGTGCGATATGGTCAGGTCTTATTCGATTCGATACCAAGTACTTTTGTATCGATACCAAATACTTGGTATCGATTAAAAAGTATCGAGTACATACTCGTATTACTAGTATCGAAGATCCCTAAATGGGAATTGGGAAAACTACTGCAGTCTAACGAAAACGTTGATAATCATTTCCATTTTTTATTCATTTCATTTCCATCTTAGATATAGAAATTAATTTATTCACTTGTCTTTGGCAGAATTGTGTGAAATGCGCAGCTAAGCCATTAATATAAGAAGAACCGAAAATAATATAAACAAGATTTCCCGGTGTAATATCATTTTTATTCACATTGGATTAGATTGGTGGTATCGTATCTACAAAGATAATTTAAGTATTTCTGTCTAGTGAATGTGAGTATGGCTATGTGCAGTCAAAAAGAAAAAATAAATGTAATTTTAATTTTCTTTATTTGTAATATAATAAAAATTGGAGGAATACTCAGATTAGATGAGAATAAGAATGTAAATCAATGCCAAAGATGTAAAATATTGACAGATTCGTTTGGTCACTGGCTCGATAAAACTTCTAGAGGTAAATTTGAAGGTGGAGATGTAGCATGGGAAGAGAGCAAACTGAAATCGTATTCACGAAGCGAAATAAGATTAGTAGAAATTCAAGAAGGACTATGTTCTGAACTTAAAAGATATCAAGATCACTGCTATAGCTTAGCGGAAGAAACTGAATCAGTTCTAGAAAAATGGTGGTTTCTAAATGACCCACAATCAATGGATCTATATTCATGGTTATGTATAAACACTCTTCAATATTGTTGTCCTGTCCATCATTTTGGGGCTCAGTGCACTTCTTGTCCATTAGATGAAAAAAAACTAATTTGTAGTGGACATGGGAAATGTGATGGTGATGGCACCCGTGAAGGAAATGGTACATGCTTATGTGAAAAAGGCTATACTGGAACACACTGTGATAATTGTGTTAAAAACTTTTTTAAATTAAACACATCTTGTGAACCTTGTCACATAGCATGCAATGAATGTAGTGGCCATGGAATAAACGCTTGCAAGGAATGCAGTGAAGGCTGGCAGATGAATTCTAAAATATGTGTTGATGTAAATGAATGTTCTGATCCATCTATATGTAGACATAATGAGTATTGTGTTAATAAGCAAGGTTCTTACAGTTGTAGGTTGTGTGATATGTCATGTAAAACCTGTGATGGTGAAGGTTTATTAAACTGCACTTCTTGTGAATCTGATTCAGTGTTGTGGAGTGGAAAATGTGTGAATGATTCCTTAAAAAGTGCTATTTTACAGAACACTTTTAAAAGAATAGCCTTATACTCAGGGTTGTTAATAATTGCATTTTTTGTACTGCGCCACTCTAGAACAGTTTCTATGATAATAGTAGCTATTATTGCTGTTTATGTATATTTCTCAGAGAAAACTTCAGATATAAACATGTTGAATGTATTGATAAATTTATATTTAAGTTAAGATGATTCATCATAATTGATAATAGTACAATGTTGTTACCATTTTGTTATTTTTTCATTAAATACAACTATCCTATTATATTATCAATGATTTTGGAGAATAATTGTGATGATAATATTTGTAATATCTCAAATATAATTATGATTCTCAAAACACTCTGCTAACTTTGTTCCAGCAATGGCTTTAACTCAGTTAATTACTGTACAATTTCACAAGATCAGTATCAGATTTTGTTTCTTTATGATTTAGGGAAATAAGTTAATAAAACAAATAAAAATTCCCAAGAAAGGTGTATTAAAAATACATTTTATTGCATAAGTTACATAACTACATTTTAGTGACATTTATATACAAAAAATTAAATATGTATATTACTTACTAAACTTATTCAAACTGTAAATAGTTTATTGTACACTATAGATGAATTAATATTTAAACAATGAATAAAAACTTAAAGAGTAAATAGGTTTTGAAATAATTGCAATCTATAAGGTAACATTGTGAACTTTTTGCTTATAAAATTACTCGTGTAAAGTTTTAAGAATGTTTTCTTATGAATACTTCACTAATTGTTGATGATTAATTACCTGAAAATTTAACTATTCTAGGTTTCTCATGGATTTCAATTGGCAATAAAATTTGGCATAAGCATAGATATAATTTCAGTCTGATTAGAGCTTTACTTTCTAACAAATGATATATTCTCAGTACATTTGTACATAATTATTCTTACAATATCCAAAAAACTGTAATGCCACAGAAAACCAGTTATATATATCTGAGCAAAAAAATTACTAATTCACATTTTCTCCAGACAAAAAATAATTATGCCATTTTTGCATTCACCATTGGCAACTGCTTGCATAATGCCATGTGTTCATTGTTATTTAAAACTCAAACTTAAGACTTATTTATATTCAATAAATATGATACAAATTATCAAGAAGTAATTGAAAAACAGATGAGTGTCGACTTTCTAAAATAAATGATGCAATTTAATTTCACTTGAAGTTTAATGCAGCAATTCAAAGCATTTAAACTTCAGCTTATATATAGATTATGAGTGGAAAAAGAAATAACAACTTTATTCAAAGTAGCCAATAATACCATGGAGTAAATCACTTAAATGGTCTTTGGTGAAGAAAAATCAGAATAGTAGAACATTTTAAAGTTATTATTAATAGATTACTCAACAAAGTAAATGATAGAAAATTAATTATTAATGTCTTTTAAACAAAATACACACAATTAATATATGAGAATAACTTTGTTCTAAGATTTTTTTTGGTAAAATTTCATATTTAAGTACTAATGTAACACCATACATAATAACTTATGTTTAATTGTGAAATAAAATACTTATTATTTATATAAACATTAAAAAAGCTTTAGATGAAGTCAAAACTACCATCCAAGGAAAAATACACTACATACGGGCAAATGTGTTATAAAATGCGAAAGTAAAAGAAAATGACACAACTAGCATTTAAAATGCTACAAAGTGGATGAATCCTTTATGTTTCAGAGAATATTTATATTATGTAACATATATTCGATGCTTAAATTAACGCTGCAAGTCACAATATGTTTGTTCCAATTGCAATCCTATTTAAAAAATTAATATATTAATACTCATTTTATCATTATCAGTCTGCTCCGATTTATTCTAGTTATGATTATTATTTTTCGGTCCCATATCTTAATACTCATCCATATTTCTTAACTTCAATCATGTTAATTCATTATTTAATTTTCACACTAAACAATTAATGAAGTTATGTTTCTTCATAATTTTAAGTATTTTTTGTAAATGATATTATTTTGCTAATTGATACTTCTATTTTCAGTCTGACTTTTCTTAAATGGAATGTACGACTATACACATTCGACGCGATTAGTGTGAAAATAAGGAATAAATACAATAAGAAATCTCTATGATGTCCCAGAATTTTTGTGAACAGTATTTAATAAGCTATTTCAAAATAATTATATAAAAACGCATGAAATAATGAGCAGCGCTATTAAAAATATAACTAAGTAAAAGTTAAAAGGATGTTGGAAGCGACTGCAACTCTATTTAATTAGACAAATTTGATTTAAAAACTGTTGAATCGAACTTTCATATGTTTCGAAGTGTGGCTGACGTCGACCAATCCGAATGATACAAATAACGCGCTATCCGACGATCGCATGCGTTACCCCTGCCAAGTGAGACTCAGACGGAAGCTTCATGCATATTATTGAAACAAACTCATGAATTTTCTTAGTTTCAGTCTGTATTGGGAGATATCTGTGCAAAAACGAATATTGCCCATGCGCCATAGTAATTTGATCATACTTTTAATTGGAACAAGTATCACAATTAGGTATTTTATTTTTCATGAACACTTGTAGAAGAAAGAAGCTTTTTTCCTTTCCACACTTGTAGATATTAGGTAAAAACTACCACTTTTTAAAATACTATTAAAATATTATAAGTGGAGTTACATCTTATAAAAAATTAAGAGCAAATGGATTTGCGCTGGAAGATTAACCATAACTTAAGAATGCATGAAATATTGTTGATGTAGAATAAGAAGTACGACAAGGGGATTGCCCAATTTCAAAGAAGGTTATAAGCTATTTTCCATTACACCATTAAATTTGGGATCTTCCTGCTTTCCTTTGGATGTTAAAATGAATACCGGACTCGTTGAGTTTTTCAGTTTGTGACAAAAAAGGAAAATATTGCCAAGTATTTAGATTCAGTGACGGAGTGAGTTTCTAATACTATATGATAATAATTTACTTTTTTTTTTTAAATATAACAAACAATAAGTTTCTTTTTCTTTGCATACAAATTTAACAAATACGCACAATATCCATTTCCGTTACAGTTAAGTATGGCGGGATTTTGTTAGTCTATATGAATATTATAAAGTGGAAAGATTTGAAGTTTTTTGCATTGAAAAGGAAGTCTATTCAATACAACAATACACAGCACAGATTTTAAAAATTCTTTCTCATTCACGGGTGACATAAGCATATAAATTTATGCAGACGTATATATTTATCATCCATCTGTATCGCAAACGTTAACTCTACAAAAAATCATTGGCCTCCAAAACTGTGAATGTTGGCAATTCCTTCCTAATTCGTCAAACTTCACTAAAATATATAGCTTTGAGACAAAATTTTGTCGAAGATTCATTTATATTTCCACAAGGTTTATTTCTTTTATATGAGGTACTTTATCATGACCGCCTGCCACGTATTCATATATAAGTGGCTCATTACACTTGTCCCGTTCCACGTGTCGTAGTACTGTATGATTGAATACAGGGCGGACTACTAAACTGCTCTAATGCTATTACTACACCGACGCAACCGCATGGGAATGAGAAATACTTGATGATTACTTTAAGGATCGCAATGCATGGAATTAATAGCCTTCGCTTTGTTCTGTAATGACTAATTATAAGTTCAACCTATGACCTACTGACTTTGAAAGTTGTATTTATTATTGTGATAATACATATTATTTTGGTAATGATTTATGTAAATGTCATTACTTATGATAAAGAGCTGGTAAGTTTATTTCGCTTGTTCCTCTTGTCAGCTAAAAGACGTCCTGAAGCCTGAGTCTACTTGAATAAAGATATTTTCATTTAATTTCAAATATTTCTAAATAGCTGCGTCCTTGTCCGTACGGTTTCGCAGTCAACTGCGAAAAAGGTCACTATACAGACGAACATGTTTCGCATTCAGGGTTGCCACCCGTCCTAATTTCTGATGACTGTCAGAATACCACGAATTATCTTTCTCAAAAGGAGACAACCCTTTTCGCCGTCGCATCATTTCACAAATGTTTCGTATTCCCATGCGATTCCGTCGGTGTACTAACGATGTAAGAGTTTTCAAGAATACCGTCATGTGATCAATTCTCAAAAAAGTTTTATATCTCAACATTTAACATATTTCATACAAACTTTCGGCGTCACTTTACGTTGTACAACAATTTAAGAAAACTATCAAAATTGTTTCGATAAAATTACGAAAGAATATTATTGGAAGGGTTCAGTCACTATTTAGGTATTATTTATTAATGATAGTGACAATTGAGAAGAAATCTTATCATCACTATAGACTGTTGTTGGTATAAGAATCGCCGACGAAATCTTTATATAATTAAAATGTACACAACATATTAAAAAGTAATTGCTATACAACACTAATATATGATAGATAAACATAAATGTGACATTGCGTCGGCATACATGTAAAGAAAATACTTTCACGAGGATCGTCCACTTTCTTCGTATTCATTATTGAAGCATACCTACAAAAATATGGTATTGGCCATTTATATACAAGGGATGTGACGATATTTAAAAGACACGATAGTAATATAAACGATCGGAAATCACATAAGTCGAATTCTAAGCTTTATCTCTGTCCATCGAATGAGTAATAAATGAAAATCATAAAAATCGATATTTCTGATCGTTAGTGAATAAAGGGGCGTTCCACAACAACGTCAACACCTAAATTTAAAAAACCTGCCCCCTACAGCACCATTCGCTGTTACATTTCCGTCTTATGATTATATATACGTTGATGCCGTATATGAATTGAATAGGGATGATGACAGTGTATAAAACAAAACAAATTCTATTTAGTCCATTAGTCACATAATAGAAAAATATTAGATGCGTATTTTTTTTTTTGCTTCTATTAGACAAGAAATGGCTTAGATAATAAGCATTAAAATTGAGGAGGGAGGGCTCCTAGTTCGCAGTTTTCTAGAAAAACACACATACTTTAACTCAATGTGCCGCCGTAATTTATTGACTCCGCAAAAAAAAAAAATACGCGTTTAATATTCTTCCAATAATGGACAGACAAACAAAAACTTGTCATCGTCCCTATTTAAGGTACTGAATCTTTGAAATTAGTCCATGAGCGGTGGGCCGCGATGATGTGAAGATAGTTGTGCGGCGAGTTGTCTCTGTTGAAGTAAGCAGTATAGTATACCGGCCTGGGCCATCGCGTCCACGGTGCCCGCCGCGAGCAGATCGGTCCGTTGCTTCGAACCCGCACCGGCATTTGACGGTCGTAATAGTGTCGGGCCGAAAACCGTCGCCAGGTTATGCAACGACATCTTATTCTCGCCCTCGTGTTGATTGACCCTGTAATATTGAAATAATTTTTGATATTATACTCGTAATTCGATTGAATTTGTTTCAAGATCATCAATAACACTTTCTTTCAGGTTTCTCATTGGTGAGATTGCTATTAATTTGACAGCTGGCAATTCAGTTTCATTAATGATAAAATAAAACCGGCCATGTGCGAGTCGGACTCGCGCATACATGGCAACAGAAATACATCATCTGTGAGAATTTCAATTAACTTTCACAAGCCACGGATACAGCCTGGTGAAAGACAGACAACAAAGACTTAGTAATAGAGATCCCGTTTTACTCTTTGGGTACAGAACTCTAAAAAGATAGTCAAATTTTTCATTTATCGTCGTTTTCTGTTTTCCAAATTTTCTGTTATATATTGAGTTACAAGCTATATAAAAAAGCTTATTTCAATCAAAATATTTTAACTTTGATAATCAATTTTATCTAAGTACTTTGTCGTTGTCGTTACTTTAGTCAAATTTAGTCAAATATTTATGAAGAAACTTTTATATTGATTATCCCAGAGTAAATTCTATATATTAATAGATTTTAACTACTGCTAATAGACTTCTGTTCTCGATTATGTAAATATTTATTTGGTAAACTGTTGATATTTCGAACTTTGACCAATGCAAAGCGAAAACATATACAATGGTCCCATTGACTTCATAGTAATGATTCATAAAAGATAGCTTACTAGTTTATATCTTGTGATTCACAATGAAATGCTACAATATAAGAGTATATACGTAATAAGAGTATACACGATGAAGTTTAATATTATAACTTACTTGACGAAATGATTAAGAAGAAAGTCAATGCAATTTTTGTTAAGATCTGGTAACTGAGCGTAGCATTTCATCAAAGCGTGACGTCTTGTATGAGCTGGACCGGAGTCGACGGATGCACCTGCTCCCTAAAAAAAATATAAAAATTTCTAATTAGTTTTTATAGTGACTATTGTTTATTAATAATTTATAGCTTTATAAATGATTTATTTTAAATTTAGCACAGTAAAAATATCATTCTCACAGTTGCCGTCTTTAATTTGCAAGAAATAAGTGAAATATTATTTAAAGAAGTAGATATAAATAAATTTGAATTAATAGACAACTTTAAATATTTATATGCATATGCGCAGAAAGTATTAAAAAAAATACGTTACACTAAATTTTTAAAATATTTTGTTAAAACAGAATACTGGTTTGGTTAAAAATTACAAGAACAACATTTAAAATTTTCAAAAGAATTCAGACATTTCATATTAACAATTATTAAAAAATTAAATGATTAGTTTTATGTCAGTTATTAATATTTTCTCATACCTGAGTAGCTCCCCATGCTCGCAATAGTTCCGGATAAAGGGCGTCGGTAAACAAAGCCTCCGGCAGTTCGCGTAGGTACAACTTTAGCACCCCCGTAACCGAGTGTATATCTACCTCCTTCAATAACTGCTCTGCTTCATATGCATCTGTTGCAAATATAACTTGATACAGTTTGGTTCTACTCTAAGAGACCGTGACAAAAATGTGCAAGAGCTTTCTAAAGCTTGACATTATAGTGTGTTGAAGTATTAAGGTCATACAACACTCAATACCCAGTGCGATGTCCGATGCTAGAAAACGTGGTGGCGGCGGGGCAATGTTGAATGCGAAAAATCGTTACAAATAATAAATTTATTTGTGGTTTCATTGTTTTAAATTTGTAAAAACTTCTAAATATAGAAAAACGACAACTCAGTAAGTAGATCACAGAAGTTGGTGTGAAAATGAGATCCGAAAAAGAGTATTGTAATCATTGAAAATTATTACTAGTTAATTCATTAAAAAAAAATACTCAGATTTTCATTGCGTGAAACAAACATATTCAATAATCGCTTGAAGTTTGATTCAAGCCGCCACTACCAAATGTTCCAGCACTTGACCTCTGCAATGGGTACTTAGTGACATATTCCCGAATTACTTCAATATACTGAAATATTAAGCTTTAGTCAACTCTTGCACATTTTATAGGCTATCGTATTCAGTTTATGCAGATACAATTTAAAATCAAATGGTGAAATTTCACTGATTTGTATACACTGATCTGATGTGATGTTAACTGTACATAATTGATTGATGGACAATCTATTAAAAGAGAATCAATTTGGTAAAACCATATTATTCAGACATCGAGATTAAAACGACTTTATTGTCGGTCTCTGTATGGCAATAAGGCAAAACGTAATTATCAACATAGTTATTATTTTTTTTTAATTATATAGTTATTATTTTATTTTATTAATAATTGAAGTAAATTTATTTTATCGTCTTAAACTATAAAAAAATCAAATAAACAAACATTTATTGTGAAAACATATTGAACAATAAGTGAAATTAAATATTTTTTTCTAACAGAAAAATATTTAATAGTTCTTTATAATTATTAAGATAATTATCTCCCCAAACCCTGCAATAAGGCATACTAGTACGAATAATAAGTTCAGAAAAAAAAGAATGACGATTATAAGGGAAACAATAAGTGAGAAGTGATACCCAATTCCTGTTTTCCAACATAATATTCTCGTAATTTTTCCGCTACCCTCAAATTTTCCATTGAAGAATTTAATCAGTTTTGTTAAATTTTGATCCGTAGAATACATCTAAGTTTTGTAAATAAAGTGCTAGAAGCATACTCACTGGTTTCAAAACTTTTCTTGAGACGGTTGAGGTCAGAAGCACTTCCGGAAACGCGGTATACGCCCACCTCGTGAATTCCGCGTCGCTCCACTTCGCGTACGCACGCGCTTATTATAAATGGAATGTTGCGTTTCTCTCGTCTGTTAAAGTGACCATCAAAAAGATTAGTTGTGGTAGAAAAGAATATTGATTTATAGTTATCACATATCGGAGCCGAATGAGGCGGCCGAAATTATTTTTTTTTAACCTTAACTTTAAATTGTTACTATTGGGCACGTATGTATGTGATGGTTCATATGTTTTCATTCAAATAAGTCTAAAATGATTTTCTTTCGCCTCCTTCGGTGACTTTCATTCTGGTAGGTATACGATTACACTTATGTAGAATTGGTCGAAAATAATAACGCGGTTGATTAAAATTGATAATTAAATTGTTTATTTGCTTTGAATAGGTGTCTTAGAAAAAAGTTTGCTTAATTACTGGACCGAATCCAAAAATTCTTTTATATACGGGAAGTTAGAACATACGCAAGTTGAGTTGCCAGGCGTTAAAATAAAGCCGGACATGGCTTTTTGATTGCGTGTCTAGCCGAAATAAACGATGCTCGGCCGGTCTGGCTTTCGTCTCACTTTTTACATTTGAATCATATTCATCTCGAAATAAAGTACTAATTTTGCATGAGATTTTATTTCGATTTCATTAGAATTTAAGAAAATTTTTACTAAGTAATCAGAAAAGTTGGGCTTTAACATGTTTTTTTTTTATAGTAACACACTAAATCCTCGACAATTTTATATCCAAATGTTTGGTCAAACTGGCTGGTCTGTCTAGCTATTAGATTTGGCGACTTGTAAATCTATACGAAGCCATAATTTACGTGGGCAAAGTCGCGGGAAAACTGATAAGATAAAGTGAATGAATTCGACCTCCTCCGCCTGACTGTAATGACCTCTGTAACTGAGTGTCGCCATCTCTGTGGTCTCGTGTTCGATTCCTAGTTGGGTGATTATAGAAAATGGGACTTTTCTATACTGGCTAGTTGTTGTGGTACTTTCGATGATCAGAGTAGCTAAAACCACCGTAATATAGAGTATATTATGGGGGTTTATTTAGCTACTCATCTTGGAACCTGAGTAATGTATGTGATTTATTTTAATAAAAAATGCTTAAAACACCCACCAACCCCAAGTACACAGAGATGAGACTCGAACTCACAACCTTTCAAGCAGTTGTTAGTTTTAGCTTGTGAGCATATTTTATCAATGTTTAGGCAATCCACCCAAACAACCGAAAGAAATATTTTTAAACTTTAGATTTGTGATAGGTACCTGGACCGGGTGGATTTTTAAGCATTATTATATTTAAGCATTATGAATTATTTAATATTTTCATTAAAAATTATTTATCAGTATTGCATCGTGAATGCAAAATTGGATAAAAACAATTATGTATGTCATCTTGTCTAATATTTAAATAGTAAAACTTCTACTTTTATCATATTGGTTGTAGCACTGAAATTATTAGATTTTCTTCTCTAATAAAATATGTATAATTTTTTTACACAATAAGTGTTTGGCGTGAAGTTGAACACCTGTTTCAAATAGATCATAGTTTTGGTAAAACATTTCGACTAACTTATGTTTATTAATCGCTCTCTGTGTTTAATTTTCTAGAATAACACTTCCAATATTAAATTGTAACAGCAACTAAGAAGGCACCGGCTTCCATAATACAGTTTAAACTTTAAAGTGGTGGATAGGGCACAAAGAATATTGTACTGTTATTGTAAATAAAGTTATTATTTTAATGAGAAAACGTTTACTTGGCTACGTGAGTGATCTTGGCACCGAAAAGTGCGCCAGGTTTGGCACTGGGCACTCGTCTGGCGGACCTCTCCGGCGGTAAAAGGCGGAGTCTTAGCGGCAGCGACCCACCGCCCAGTGATACTGTGCGAGATACACCGCCGCTAGCGCTCTCCGCCACCCACTCGCGGGATAACTTCACAAACAAATGTTAAAATGATTAATAATTACATTCAAATAAAGTTCATATCTGATACTATAGGGAAGAGCCCAAGCAGTAGGAATATTAATTTCGAAAGGGTCGGTCACGGGATGGGTAATAAAAAAATATTATCTCGAGCTACTCCGTGCTTCGGCCTATCGTCCGGCTGCATTTGCAGTCGTTGATACCATCCAATTCGCATATTGCCCAAACGTCATGGTACATCGTCCTTAACCATTTATAAGGAAGGCCTGAACCCACTGCAGGGGACGTGAGTTGTCGTTTTCCAGTTTCAAAACAAGAAATTAAAGCTCCTTTTTCGATATCATTAAATAATACAATAATACAAGTAAACATATACAATTATTCCTATATGGTTAGTAATAAATGAAATATGGTTTTATCGAAATCAGTATTATTCTGAGGACCAAGTATATCACTCACAATATTAAATAAAAACTTTGATACCTTGCATGCCTATATTTCTAAAGTAGATAATTAATCTCCGTTGGAGCTCATAATCACATTCAGGTGTGATTATGAGTTAGTCTTTATTTTAATATAAATTCGTTTGCAGCTGAACACAGCACTACTAAAGTACCTAATTGATAAAAGCAAACATATTTTTTTTGTCATTGTATTAAGAAAATACTTATACAAATAATGATAATAATAAAAGTAACCAATAAGAATGTTATTTTACTTAAAAATATACGTAATGTGATGAGATTTGATAAAAAAAATATCATTAAGAAAATTCACAAAATATATTTTATTACAGTTTATCTTTTGTTTTATGGATTCCTATACAAATTATGATATAGATTTAACTTAATTTAATCATAATTGTGTTCTTTTTTGTATTATAAATCATGATTAATAAACAGTTTTCACATTTATTCAGTGGAAAGAAATACAAGTACATAGTAAGGTATGACAGATGACAAAGTCTTCTATGTTTTTTACTTTTGGCCACCATGAACGCTGCCATTGAATGCGTTACCGCTACCTAGTACTTCGTACTCAGCGTATACCCTTTTAACTAGAAAGTACTTAATATGATAAGCCCTATTATATACCTTTAGCGTACATTTGCCTCTGAGCACAGGTCTTGCAGCATCCTCGTATAGCAGCAGACGCAAGTTCTGTGAACCTTCCAGGTCTAGTGTGAAACTCTCGTTCCAACGCGGCTGCGCACTCCGGCAAACCAGTTTCGACTTAGCTTTCCGGAAATAGTGACCGTACGAGTCTACTTCTACTACCACGTAATAGTCTGTGGACAACGTTACAGTCGGCGCGATATAGAATAATGATTACATTAAAAAATTCACGTGTTTCTAATAATAATTAGCATTTTATAAATATGTTTAAAAGTTCTGAATCTTCCTCTTTACAGAAATATATTTAGCGTGAAGTTCGTGAATAGTGCCTGAAACTTTATGGCGCAACACAGATTTCCAGAAGTTAGAACATACCAGCTGCGGTATCTAAAGGGGCTGTCATCCCGCCTATGTGCAGATGAAGATCGCCCAGTAGCAGTGAATCGTCACGTCCACTCCTCAGCAGGTACGAGCCCATGTCCGTCTGCAGGTAACTGCGGCACGCGGTCACCCACGCCTGCAGTTCCAGCATCGATACAGCGCTAGCACCAGCAGGTGGAGCGGAAGACGCCTATACACATGCGAAGGTCAATAAATATAAATAAAATAGCTTTCCGTTAGCGGCTTCGCCCGCGAGATCCATATAGACTTAATCCCTATATTTCGCCCCTTAGGGGTTTGATTTCTAAAAATATTTTCTTAGTGCTCACTTACATCATAAAAGGAACTCCTGTACCAAATTTCAAATTCCTAGGTACAGTAGTTTAGACTGTGTGTTGATAGTTAAGGTTAGCCTTTGATATATAGATAACAATAAATATACACAATGCTTAGATCTCAAATAAAGTAGCTTATAGCATTCAATTTTCTACAAGGACCTCTAGATGGAAAGCACTGATCTGTCTGAGAATCGAACTCGAGAAGCAACTCAAAGATGGAGTCACATGCAAACCACTCGGCCACAGAACCCTTCCAACCGTACGTTTAAGCTACAATTAAATCTTAATAACTTTGTAAATAAGTTTTAAATTGTCGGCGGCCTCCTTTTTAAGTCTTACCAAGAGCCTAAAAGTTTCGCAGGAAAGGTGCATAAATGCTAAATAATAAGTCATCGAAAAGTATTTATTTTGGATAGAAAAACGTATTGGTGCTTTAGGATATTCAATCAAAAGGGGATCCGCCATAACGACACCATGCCCGGCGCTAAAGAAATGAATATTAGATATTTGTGAGAAAATATTAAAATATCGTGAAGTATCGCAATTGCCAAATTCAGTGGCTAAAATAATTTTAATGCCCGTGGAGGTTTTTTGTTTGAATCCAAAAGTAGTATTGCGATAATGCACACCGCTTTGGTTACCACAATATGTCAAACTTCAGTTGATATCAAACTCTAACCTCAAAATATTAAAGCTCTCTTGTACCTCCGCTTACTTTTCCATACAAATACGCATCGAGAGTAAAGACGCGCTTGCTTGATTTCATATATTTTTAATCACAGAAAAAAAAAACAAATGCATAAAAAATATTTTAATGCTTATATATATATTTAATGCTTATTAATATTTAATGCTTTAGTTATTTTAATAAAGACCTATTTTATATGGTTAAGATATATTAGTAGTAAGGTCGACCCCAAAAACCTATTTAAAGTCATCTTTGCGATTTTTTTCTGTCGAATCAATTATTGACATTTATGTTTCTGTTTTTAACAAGCAATCGATCATATGTTCAATTTTCATAAAATAATTTTTAATTGGCAAATATTAGCATAGCCTTAGGATAAAAAGTGGGACAAGTCCCGTTAATTGCCAATGCGCTGGAACTTTGTCTAAATAACACCCGCATAACGTTATTTGAAATTAGAAATTATTGATAACACAAAATGCAAAGGATAAATTATTTATTTTATTTAATAACTTTTGGTTTATTAATTTATTTCTCACATTTTTGGAAAAGGTCAATTTATATGTTAATAATGAGGTAATGGAAAATAAAGAAAAAATTAAAATAAATACATTTTCTTTGTAATAACGCGAAAACAAACAGCAAGGATTTTTTTTTAAACACAGCCGAAATAATAATAGAACGAGAGGCAGTGTTTAATTTCTTGACTATTGAAATAATTATAAATACGAGCAATCTCCAAAATATTGTTAAATTAATTGAATAACTTTTAGTTTGCTAATTTATAGCTCACATTTTGGAAAAGGACAATTTATATGATAATATTGAGGTAATGGAAAATAATAAAAAAATATTAAAAAAAAAAAATCTAAACGCGAAAACAAACAAGCCAAAAGTAATAATGGATTGAGAGACATTACATATTTTTATTTTTAGTGACATTACATTTACTTGTTGTGATAATCATAAAGGTAGTTGCTATTTTAGTTAACTATAACAAGTAACAACAAAACTTAACAATAACAATCGAAACAACAAAAACATAACAAAAATTGTTATTACATACATAACAACCCAAATCAATAAGTGTACTCGTCAACCAGTGTTTATTTGTTAACGGTACTGAATGTGGAATGCAATTACGTCACCAAAATGGCGCCTAGGCGCATTAACAATTCGCGGGGATTATAATTACAACCTCGCCTTGAGATTTAAAATCAAGTGGAGAAAGACAGATTTGTAAGCCTAACGTGTCGTTGGTGTATAACATACCTGTAACGCGTGTATAGAGTCTATCCACTGCGTGCGCTCGTATTCGGAGCTGAGGAAGAATACATGTTGCCTTTGTAGAGCTGAGGAGCCGGGCGCGCGGGCACCCACCCTGAAAACGAGGTTGGGCGATGCTAGTACCAGTTGCCCTTCCAGTTCCGCAAGTTTCTTACGATTCTTCTCCGCTCCACCGCGACCACCGATGCGGATTTTCTAAAAAAGTTGGCATGATTATTAATATATCTATAATAGGGTAGTTTCGGTAGTGAAAACATAGTTATTCTGATTTTGAGTCTTCAAATCGCACGATTATCTTATAATATTCAAAGTCTAGATTTTTTTTACGTGTGTCACGTGATTTAATGGCGGGTCGCCACGGGGACTCCGGGTACAGCCGTCAGATTTCTCGTAAAGATATGCCTATTGATTATAAATCAAATTCCTAGAAGTCACTGTTCTTAGCTCATTTGTAATTTTTATTTCGTAACCAATCGTTATATGATACTGTTCTTGATTATTGATATAATTTAATCTTCTACCCTATGTACATATGTATTTTGTTTACATATACAGAATGACAACATAAATACGGACAGCGTGTTGGTGATTATAAAAACGCTTTGAATTTTGAATTAATTTAATGGCAAGAAAACTAAACACGTTTTTGCAAAATATTGGTTTTATGACTTTTTTATTAAAATAAACACCTTACAGGTACTATTTCAAACAGAGAACCTATTGTAATTTTTTTATCACCATTGGTTGCCGGGAAGACATTGCTACATACATAGCAATAAAGCCGTAATTTTTATACTGTGCTTAATATTGTTCTTTCTTTCATTTGTCCAAGTTTTTGTGCAATAAAAAAATATTATTAATAATAAGCATTATAGCTTCAGAAGAGCAGATATATTTATTATCTGAAAATATCTGTATAAGGAGACATTGGGTAATAATAATAAAAGCTATTATTATTATTATTGCCTAGAATTTTCATTGTGCTGTTCGTAAGTGCCCATATATGAAGGTCGATTGATAGCGTAAATCAGGTGACTTAATAACCTTTTCGATAACGATATGTATAAGTTTCCAATAAAAACAAAACTGGGATAAAACTAAAATTCTATTTAGTCCATCAGTCTAATATTTTTCAGATGACAGAAAAATATTAGATAAGTTTATTTTTGTTTTAATTAAGCAAGAAACGGCTTAAATAACAGTAGGAGCCAGCTACATCAGAGCTTTGTAAAAAATATACAAAAACGTGACGTAATGTGACATTTTAACTCAATGCATTTCGCCGTATTTTATCGATTACGCAAAAAAAAACCTGTTTAATACTTCAACAATCTACCTACACTTTTTTCCACTTACTTTGTCATCATGTGACGCTCTCTCTTCAGCCAATATTAGGTCTCGTACAGTGGAAGCCTGCGACTTGAGTGCAACAATATTAGCGGGTGAAGTTTCCCGCGTGTCGTTAGCGTTACCCACAGCCGATTCCTCTTCCACGACTACGATATCAGGTAATGGGATGAACCATTTCAACTCGAACGTAAACTTGTCCCGACCTGAAGCCTAAAAATTTTTTTATTATATTAGACAACATAATACAATGTTCAAACCCAAAATTAAGTATATAAAGCTCTTGTGTATTGAAATAATTAAACAAAGATGGTGCTACAAACGTATATTTAAAAGTATTTAGTATTAAAAAAATACATGACTCAACATAGACAAGTAAAATTAGATTGTTAAGATAATATTTTACGGTAGTTTTAGTCACCAAAATATGTATTAATATTGTACGTTCTGGGCTCGAATTCTATTGGACAATATATGAATTAAATTTCAAAAACTGTTTGAAATTAATTAATATTTATGCTATTCCCACATAAAAAAGATTATTTATGTTAAGCCTTATTATGTACCCAAAACTATGTTTATAAACCGCGTAAACGGTGACAACGGAGGATGTGACGTCATTTGTGTGGTAAACAAAAGGGAATTTCAGTTAAAAATGAATTATCATGGAACAGGTATGAATAAATATCAATATTTCTGTCTAGTTTCTATTTTTAATAAAATGTTATATGGCTGTGATTTGATAATTGTCACCTTATATTTGGCACATGCTATAACGTCGTTAAAAAGAAACAGATGTCTTAATTTTCTGTGGCCATCTGCCAGTTCTACTATAAACGAGTTTTTTACAAGTCTCCTTTGTGCTCGGTCTGCATTCTATAAAAAAAAAAGAAATTTATTAGTGATGTGATAATAAAGTAGATGTTTATAAATATATGTTTACGATAACTTACTGGGAACATAGATTTTGTTTGTATAATATTAAATTCGTCAAGGAAATGCTGCGTCATGTTTAGTGCGTCTGTTAACATTGCGTGGTCGGGATGACTCGCTGGCGTATATTTAATGAGATCCTGGAAATATACAGATTAATAAAATGTTAACTTTAAGATTAATAAATGTTTATGAGTCGTCTATGTTATAGACGACTCATAAACATCTATCAGAAAGGAATGCGCCGAAGGAGGAAAACGAAATAAATTTTAAGATTCTTGTTATTAAAACATATGAACCACCACACACATACACACCACAGGTAGGCGCCGAAACATCAGTATATATAAATAAATATAAGACAACATCACAATCATTGCTCAGATTCCAAGATGAGTAACTAAAGCGCTCATATTATGGACTATCTGAGACAAAGAAGGAACGAGAACACACAGACCCGAGACAAAGTTCATTTTTAACTTTGACCCGATCGGGTATCGAACCCAGGACCTTGAAACTGGTGTGCGAACCACTCGGGCAAGTGAGGTAGTCATACATTTGCAAGGTAAAAAGAAAATTCGTTTCTTTCACCTCTGTTAGATAGATATTCATGAAAAAGAATGTGAATAGAAATTGATTTATTACTATTCGCTTATTGATAACGAGAAGGGTTCTGTATTGAGTCGATATTTGTGTTAGTCGCTTTCGCTCGGCATTTTAGAATTCCGGTAATATGAAATACATAATATGGTACGTTTCTTTTTTATCTAATCACAATTTTTAACAAGATAACTTAGAACTTACTCGTTTTCAAAAATATTTGTTATTTTATACAATGCATCGATAAACTTTGAGTCCACTTACGTGTAATACTAATGCATTCTTCTGTACCCTAGCAACGGGTTTGTGTAATAAGTCATCTAGAGACATCGGTTGGCCACGGCAAGCTATCTGTCTTGTAAGGTCTGCAAAACGTTGCGACGTTGAGCATCTACGCCTAACTGCATCCGTCGCCCGACCGTAATTATGCAGGAAGGCACCATAGATGTTTATATTTTCAGCCTGCGATTAACAACCCTATTGTTATTGAAAATATATTCTAAATGTGATATTCACATTGATCAGATTAAAGAAAACCGTACCATCTTTTTAAAATGACTACCGACTGAAAGTGGTTCCTCCCAACTGGCAACCGCTGATTTGAGCCCTTCTAAAAAGTTTTTATGCAACTCGTGTAACTCTGATATCTTGTAAAATATCGTATTGAACTCTTCTTCCGTTATGACAGGTTGTGACGTCGACAAAGTAGCTTTTATCGCGTTCATATACTGTAAATATGCATAAAGAAATCAGCATCTTCATTTTTTTAGTTAATTTCAATATTTACGTTAAATTAAATAAATACCTTTTCCATGACATACAAACATTCGACGTATACTGTTTCGCTTTCAATAATACTTGTGACGATACATCTATGCATAGTAAGTCGTTCAGCCTCTGCATTATTACCGTTATTAGATTCCTAGAACAAAAAAAAACATAGTAAAATATTATTTCATAATTCAATATAAGTAAGAATCATATGCAGTCAAGTTTGTTTACATAATCAACTCTTAAACTACACAATGGCTCTTAAAACTTTTGTTTGTGTAACAAACGCTAGCTATTTTGATGCACGTGCTTTGTTCTGAACTTACAAATCTTTTAGTTATACACAGTACAGCCTGCAAAATGCAAGTTATAACATATTTTACGCTGGTTTTCCTAATAAAAATCTCTAACGGTCTTGAATCTGACAGTAAGTCACACTTACTATTATATTTTATTTATTTTTTTTTTTTTATTGTTGTATGTTAATAATTATATTTTTTGTTAGGCGCTGAATTTAATCGAATAGAAATTTCACCCATTTATGACACTATAATATTCAGTGATGTAATTGACATCATAAACGAATTAAATCAAAATCTGGTATGTATTTAATGATCATACACAATATAAGTACAATTCTTCTGATGACAGACAAGTAATTAATAACCGTTATTTATTATATGTTCTAGAAAATGCCAATTGACGACAATAGTGAGAGTGAAAGTGATGATAATATAGAAGATTTATTAACAGAGTATCAACATTACTTAGACAAGGCTCACGACCAAAGGCGATTATATCTAGAGAAAACTAACAAAACCAAAAACAAGGTACCGCTCTATCGTCACGAGAATTTCGTTAAATCTCACGCACCCCCAGATTTTAGGTACAACAATTATTATGCGCATAACTATTACAATCCAAGCGTCATGAAATTCCCTCCTACGTCATTGAATCACCCTTTGGATTTATTCTTGCCCTTAACACCGTCACTACGTTTTTTCAACAAACCTAATCATATGAACACGTCTCAAAGAAGAGATATCGTAAGAGACTCACTCAAAACCAGTCACCAAGACAAAAACTCATTGTATTTACCACCCTCTCTTTGGTCAAGTATGAGTGGGCCATTAAAATCTTTATGTTTTTGCAAGCACAATGAAGTACCATGCAAATGTAAATGCAAAGAATGTTTACTATCTTCGAATGAAAACGAACCAAAGTTAGTGAATAATAATAATAAGAACATGGAGTACAAATTACAGGAACACTCATTCATTGAAGACGTGATGGCTAATGCTAATACACTAAATGTGAGAATTAAGGTCGACGTACAACTGCCAAATATACCAGATTCTACAAATAAATATGGTAGGCAATATAATCGCGAAAGCGCTGTCGAATTTGAGGATACATCAAAAGAATTACCAAACAGTATACGATTGCCGTCGACATACTTCAACGTACCTATTCCAATGGATGTTTTAGGATTTAAAAGGTTATCAAAAATGCACAGATACGATTCCCCATTACAGAAGATTACTATCCACAAAAAGAAAAAGTCTAGATCGGGTAATAGTAACAATAAAAAACATCGTAAAAAACTTATTACTTTTCATAATATAAAACTATCGCCAAATCACTCTTTGAAATCTATGTCGTTCGAAAATCACAATTCGACTAATATGACAGTTAAAAATTATTTTAACTATACAAATGTTATTCACCAAGAAATTACAACCACAAATATGCCTACGTTCAATAATTTCACTACGACAACATATTCCGAGCTATCCGTGCCGTTAAATACAACACCGATAGAGGAGAGTATTTATTTAATGGTAAATATATCTAATAACAGCGAAAACGAAACAGATGAATTGCAAAAAACTGGAAACAGCATAGAGTTAGAATATAAAACGGTTACAAATAGTTCTACCGAAATACCAATAAATCAACGTGTAAAACGTGAAACAGCATCACAAAACTCATCTGATATAATGAAAAAGATAAAAAGTTCTAAACTACTCAATGTAATTGGTATCAAGAGTAAAAAGATTCTATTAAAGAAATCTAATATGAGTGTTTTGTCAGACACAGAATTATTGTATTGGCCAAGCAACGTCCAAAATAAATCACAGCTTCAAATCAACGATCTCAATAATATAATTTTAGAACAAGAAAATAAAAAAGCTAAACTAAATATAACTAAAGAAACAATACGTCACAATCGTACAATGGCATTAGAAAAAGCCATATTTGGAAACATTGACTGGAATGACATAGATACCATTGCCCCGACATTCATTTCTTTCGTGGGTAAATATGTACATGGGATTCTTACTTTCTGTTCAGATACAATTTGTCATTCTATGAAATGTGCCAACGCAACATGTGTACACAGAACATGTACTCCTGAACTAAGGTTCAATCATATTGGACATTGTAGTGGATGTAATACAAGTGGTAAGTTACAAATACATATATAAATGCTAATTAAATCATCATATAGCAAATAGTGAAATCAAACTCTCAACATTTCTTTTCCTTTTCAGACAGTGTAGTTTCAATGGAATCTATCATGGATCTGCCATCTAACGTAGTTTTTGAAATTGTAGACATATTGAAAGAAAAATTGTTAGGGAAACTGTATGGTAAGATAACACTATGTATCAACTCAAAATGCGTCGGTTTCATGGTTTCAAAGAAAACATTTATAAAATATAAATGTTCTATAAAAAATCTCAATAGCTCAGGACATTGTCCTAATATCAAAAAGCCATAAAAAGCTACGTTGTAATTGAGTGTTTACAAAACAAATTATGTCAATAAATTATACCAGCAGTATTTACAAATTTAAAACGCTGATAAGCAATAGCGCAAGTCAACTTTAGTAACTAGTGATTGCATATTGGGTGACGAAATCCCATAGACATTAAAATGAAATTTAATAATAAAGTGTACATATTAAATAAAATAATTGTAACAATACTCCTAATTTCTTTAGTTATCATATTTGTATCTACAAAAGTAAGTATTTTATGAATTATAGAAATTATTAGCGTTTAGACTTAATTGGAAATATTAATTTCTTTTTATTAATTTAACTTAATTTAGTATTTGATTAATCTATATTATGTTATAGCGTAACTATGAAAAATATTTGAATCCGTGGACTAATATAAAACAAACATTTCCAAAAGTTTTAAAGTTCAAACCCAATGGAGACTTTATAGAAGAATATGTACCTAAACAGCAATTCATTAGTGTAAAAAAGATCATAAGAGCTGCAGCAACTAGGATGCCCGAAAAGAGATTGATAAACCAAGACGAACCAAGGTTCTGGAATTCTATTTTTACAGTACAGGAATTATCAAATATTGTTAATGGTATATATGCAACTGCAGAACCGCCAACACAATTAAAGATATTTACTCACTGTAATGAGCGAAAACAATTATGTAGGTTCTTAACATGTGCAAACGTCACCAAGTACTGTACTCTTTGTGAAGTTGCGAGATCGAACGAGAAGAATAATAATAATAACACTTTAAAGTGTGAGAATTTTTCAACACAACAGTTAGTGAGTCCAAGCATTTATAAGCATTTAGTTAGCTTAGAACCCATTTATTATTCGCCATTATATTCAATTTATACAGAAAGTCCAAGTGACAAGTCAACCCAAAACGAAAGTGACACAAATGCAACACGTACTCGCAATAGTTTTAAGTTAAATATGAATAAAGGCTTCAAATGAACTTTCTGTTGTCATCATTTACAGAATTTAAGAAAACACAATAAAGTACTTATCTCGTTTACTTTTAAGATATGAAACATGAACAAAAATTAAAAGGTTTTGTTGGACGGTCGTTTGTTAGTCGTTAGGTAAACATTCCCAACTACCTTATCTTTAAACCAGATAGGAGCATGACATCCCAGGGCAGGTATATTAAGGGCAACGAGAACAATTTCAACATTTGTTCCTGTAACAAAGCGTCATTCACTATAACCATGTTGTTTCCTAAGTATTTGTTATCTTTTTTGGTGTTGTGTTTAGTACAGCTCGCATTAAGCAAGCCAACTGAGAGTAAGTAGTATTAATATTTAATTTATGTTGTCTAACATTATTAATAAACAAAATTAACTTTCACTAACACGTCATTAACACTTGCAGACAGTGTGACAGAGGGCCGTGGTATTGGCTCTACATTGTGGGGATGGATCACATATCCATTTTCATGGTGGAGTTCAAACGACAATGACCAACCGATCAACGAACAACTCGTCGCATCCACTACTTATGGACCTTATGACAACATTGAAGTAGGCAGACACAATGTGACCGTATGGTGTAACGATCAAACTTGTACAACGATGAAATGTGATAAAATTGGTTGTAGGAATAACACGTGCAATATATACGATACAGATTTGACAGGGGAATGTCGAGGGTATCATACAGAGGTAGATCCAGAGAAACCGATAGATGTATCGCCCTCAGAGCCTGCATTAAAGCCATTAGACGATAATGTAATCACAGAAAATACAACAAAACGTGACAATACCCAGCCTCAATCAACAGAACCTCAAAAAGTAACTGTAATGACAACTCCATCAGGAGAGCAAGATATTAAAAAGAATCAAAATACAGCAGAAACACCAATAGAGCTCGAAGCTATGCTATCCTCGAGCGTAACCGAGAAGGAAACTAGTGCTATTAATAATGACAACGAAGCCTCGAGTCGCAGTCAGGTCAGTATTGTCCATAAACTCTTGAAAACTAACATTGTGACTAATAAAATGCTCACATAAATAATAATAAATAGAAGGTTGTCATATTACTCTGAATATACAATGAAATGTCCATAAGTTTTAATTGCACATAAATCCTTTTGCTTTATATTATAATTTATTTTTTTGTCTATCGATTATTTTGTTTAATAATTTCTGATTGTTTGCAGACATAACTTCAATAATTGAATCTGAACCTATACACTCTTTCTTAGAGGATATGACGGATTACATCGCGTCTACACTGGCACATTTCACAACAGCACTTACGAACAATTTGATCAAGAAACTGAACATAGATTCGATATGCGTCAAAGGAATCTGTTACTATACATTATGTGAATACAACAATTGTAAAGTGAAATATTGCAAGTATAATTTACTGAGTGGACTGGAAGAGTGTACATTTGAAAAGCCATCGAAATCTCCTACTTTAAAGATGAAGATCCAAAGTAATAAATTTTATATTGTAAAACAAGAGAGTCACAATGATGAGGATAATGAAATAAAAATTTTCAATAGAGTTCTAAACAAATAATCCACAAACCTATCCATCTAACTAGTTCCAAAGTGGCACATTAGAGACAAAGAAAAATATTGTTCTTCATAGTGTAAATGACAAAAATTATAAAGGTTCAATTCATCAGTTACTTGATACCTTTAAAATAAAGAATTATAATTTTAAAGAAGAATTTTATCAGTAGATTACTTTAAGCGACAATAAGGTTTTAATGATTTATGTAACCATTCAGTCATACTTTAGATAATACATAGAAAAAAGAAGCACTATGGCAATTTTTGTAACTTTTGGAGTCTAAATATGTAAAAACACTGTCGGTCATATCATTATATACCTTTGTTTCATACTAATAAGGTTAAAATTACAAGTACAAAGCAGAAAATGTCATTACCGCTCAACTAATGACATACACCCGTATGTGTATCTGTCTTTGTAATTATGTTAAGTATCATTATGAACAAAATGTTGGTTGGTCTAATAAATAAATCTTAAAAATTAGGGAATTAGCTACACAAAGTATTTTTTATTTTTAATACAATCAATAGATAAATAAGAAGAACAACAACAATTTTAATAATATTACTTCATTAAAAAATAACGACCTTTGTATAAGAACCTTTATTTCATATGCAGAATTTAAAATACAATATTAATATAAAACAGTCTTAATCAGATGACGCCGAAAGAGATAGCATGTATATAATTAATGAAACAACACCCTTCAAAGATCTCTGTTTCAAGATAGTACATAATGAAAGTTTATTAAAAACAACTTTGTTTGTCAATAGGGATGATGACAGGGTATAAAAATTAAATATAAAAATCCTATTCAGTCCGTCAGTAAGACAGTTGAAAAATATTGGATACGTATTTTTTGCTTCAATTTACAAGAAATGGTTTAGGAAATAAGCATTTCAACCAACGTATCACCATAATTACTTGATTGCGTGTGTGCGTGCGTGCGTGCGTGTGTGCGTGTGTGTGTGTGTGTGTGTGTGATTGTGTGCGCGTGTTTGTGTGTGTTTGTGTGTGTGTGTGTGTGTGTGTGTGTGTGTGTGTGTGTGTGTGTGTGTGCGCGCGCGTGTGCGTGTGTGTGGGCGTGCATGCCTTAAGCATGGAGCAGCTCGAGATAACAATTTTTGAACACCTGTCCGATGACCGACCCTTGCGAAAGGTGCATAACAACAACCATCGCGGGCCACGACGCTTATCCACTACACTACCGATCTTCACACATATCATCAATTGAAATTGTAATACATTTCGTAAGAATATTATATAGCAAATATCATACTATTTGTTTGATTAAAAGTTTTAGTGATGTGTGAATAAAATTTTTATCTGCCTCTAAGAATCTGTGAAAGAGGAAACTACACTTTTACTGATACTTAGATAGCAAAAATTAAGTCACGAATTTAGAGAAAAACTAAAAGGACAATGGGCACTTTAGTATGGGGTTTGGTCCAAGTATTGTATCATTTCGAGTGATATATCATTTGAAAGATCTTATTCACATAAACAAATCTCGCCTATAAAAAGATATAGGGTCTCCAAGTTCCATTTTGTCAATATGCTTCATTTTTTAAAGTTCCCTGTCTATATGCTTAATTTTTCGTATTTATTAGTTAGGATTTGCAAGACATCAAAATCATATACAAACTCCACACTGTTTTTTGAATTCTATTATTGAATTGAATGTTTGATAATTATATTGTTTGTAGTAGTACTCTATATGTAATAAAAATAATGTTATTGTTTTGATTGTATATAATAAACAATATTTTCCGATCCTCCTTCATTTTTGAATTCGACAAAATAAACTACATATAATACATAATTATTTTTGAAACATAAAAAAGTTTATTTCGTAAGTTTACTCATAGTGCATGCAAGAGTTGGCAAAAGCAGTAGCTTCGGCGGCGTGGCGCTTACATTTTTAGTAGGTAGTAGTATTTTAATAAACTATGAATGAATTATATAGATTTTTCTTAATAAAATACATTTCACGGCGGCAACAGAAGTATATATAGGCATCCAGTACGCCTACATTAACGTCACTTTAGTGGACTGCATACAATTTTCTATATTATAAAAAGTCACGTTTGACATCTATCAATCTAAACTTTATAGTGAGGGTCCTTTTTAACATTTTCGGTTAATTTAACGAATCGATATTGTTTTCCAAAAAAAATTAATCGATTTCATTCTAATTATTACATTTAAAAAGGTTTATTGGTCAAAGTAAAACGAAAAAAAAATTTTTTAGTTCTATATTATGACAGTAAAAATCTTTTAATAACAAAGAAATTTGAAATGTTACCGTTGCCGTTACTTTGAAAAAAAAATGTTTACTACATTACTTTGAAGTTCAGACTGAAAGATGTCAAATGTGGCCTATTATAATGACCCTTGGTAATTCAAAATTGTTTATTTGAATGAATGTATTTAAATCGTGTAATGATCTCCTACGTGAAGTTGGCAGTAATGTGACGCAAAGTGTCATTAAAGTTAAGAAGAAGAAGAACTGTAGTTTCAATTTGACTAAATGGAACTTTGAGTCCCTGTATCTTTTAATAGAGGCGAATTTCAGCGTCGTAGTCTTACAAAAGAAATGTTTGTGTGAATAAGACCTTTCAAATGATATCTCACTCAAAGTGCTACAATTTTAATAAAACGTGTTTCCTTTTCCGAAATATTATTGTAGCGGCATATTTAAATTAAAACAAACACTTACAAGTACTTTTTCAATCAGAGTATTATTTATTTATTACCTGGTGGTGAAGTTTCCTAAGCGCGGGCGGTGTTGCACTGGCCTCAGTATCGGAGGATATGGCTCTTAGTAACAGCGGCGTATCCGAAGAGTCCGCCAACTCTGAACCCGCCTCGCTCGGCTCTGCTCCCTCACCAGCTTGCCTGACATTTTCAACTAACTTAAAAATCTAAATTATATAAAAAGGCGCAGTGGTAAGCGCGCCCGGTCTGCGAAATATTTGTTAACCAACTTTCACAAGGGCCAATTCAGTTAATTATTCCCAGTTAACATTTATACCAAAACAGGAATAACAAATATAAACGTAACAACCGGTATTACTGTTAAAGATGATTTAGTTTCTTGTGCCCATTCTTCTTATCAGCTAGAAGATGAAAATATTTGAATGAATGACTTTATTTATTTTACATTACTATACACAATAATATTGAAAATGAGAAGATACATATTTGTAAATTAGATTGGATCCGTCCTAAATGGTACATAAAAGAACTTTGAACAATAGAAAATCGTTTTCAAGAAACTTATTTGTAAATGAAAAATGCTTAAAAATCGACTTTGTCCCTTTCGCAATCCGGGCGACTGCTGTACCCACTGAGCTACCCAAGACCTAACAATACTGACGAATTTTTCAAGCACTTGTTGCTTTTTCGCTACTATAGAGCGTGTTTTCATCAAAGCCTCCCATCCAAACAGCCGAAAGATATATTTTAAACTTTCGATAAAGATAAAAATTTGTTCTTATTCTTATGTTTAATAAATTTTTCATTCATAATGCTATACCGGAAAATATTTCTAATGAAAAATACTTAGTGGGTTCAAATCGCATTTCAAAGTACCAGGGACAAAGTGTATGTTTTAAGTATTTTCATTAAGAATATTTTCCTGTACAAAATTGATCAAATATAGTAAACTTATTTGTATAAAGAATAGGTATTTTTATCAATTTCGACTCACTGTATAAAATAGTGTATGTTGACGTAGTTAGGTGCGACGGCGCATGGGGGAGAATCGGGTGCACGTGGCGCGGACGGCGCCAAAGGTAAAGTGCCCGCGCCAGAACTCTCATCAGTACTTGATGCGGTGCCGCCTACAGATATACCACTCAAAATATAGAACTGTTAGAAGCGAATCACGAATTTCTGACCAGGAAAACCAATAGAATTAGTTCTATATCATATGGACATAAACTGGCCTAGGCAAAATTATTTTGAGGGTTCCGTACCTAAAGTGTAAACAGGAACTATAATTTAATTTTGACTTCGCTGTCTGTCTGTCACCAGGCTATATCTCATGAACAGTGAAAGTTAAGCACTTGAAATTTAGGCGTTCCCATACAACAAATGTGATTTTTTTCTTTTTCATTGATAATGGTACGGAACGCTTCCTACGCGGCTCCGACTTGCACTTGGTCGGTTTTTTTTATATGCTATATATAAACCATTTTGTATCATAAAATAATGATACCACAGCTGTTGTTTTACTTTAAAACAAGCTTACAAAAAAAAGACAAATAAATATAAGTATTTTTGCTCATTTTAATGTTGTTTGTATATATTTAGATAAATATAATTGTTCTCCAGTAACTACAGGATAAAACTCATATTTATAAGTTTATTTATTTATTATAGGGTCATGATTTATTAAATATCCTATATCCTTAAATGTCCTAGTAAAGGTTGCTATCACAACTAATTCATCTATCGAACAATAGCGTGTGGCACACACATCTACCCTCAGACCTATCGCAATTATTGCATTAGCAATATGTATTAAATAATCAATTCAAAAGGAAGTTACTGGAGGTAAAAAAATTGCCCGAATGGCTTCGAGAAAAAGATGGTACGACCTTGTCCTTTTTACTTTCTTTCTCGACTTGGCGAGGGCGGGGTCACTTCCGTGACCCCAGATATGCAAAAATTTAAAATTTCTGTATACCTGCTTGAATATACACGTATTCCCCATCATTAATATCAACGGGAACTTGGTCATAGTAAGGCTCGTCTTCAGCTACTGGCACGGCGGCAGGGATGCTCTCTAACGACACTGGTGCGGACTTGTCCACCTCAACTTCTGGATCTGGGGTGGTTGATGTCACCTCCTCATCTATGGAACGCGGTGTCACCGCACCTCCAGACCGTTTCCGTTCCGACGATAATGAATTAATAGACTCGTAACTCTTCACCTTCGCAATAAAAAAATATTTCTTTTAAAAAAAACTTGAAATTACAAAAAAAAAATGTTGTTTAATCATAAAGATTTTTGTGAACACTATAATAATAATTATTATTATTTATTTATTTCCTTCACAAAGTTAATATAAGTACAAACAATTAAAAGAAACCAAATCATTCAGTTTGTGAGAGGCTGGTGCCTAACAGAGATTTTGATAAACCTGACCTATATATAGGTCACCAGGTCTCATCTCAAGGATATGTTGAATTCACATAATACAGGATAATTAGAGTATGGGGATGATAGAACATTAGCAAGAATCACACTTTTTTGATCCATCAAGTTTATGGAATAAAACAATTTAGTAAAGAAAACAATATGTCATATTGAGTTTAGGACTTATGAGTAATGTAATAAGTATAATTATTTATGTATTAATATATGTATATAATAATACTTTTTTGTTGCATTAATGTCCCCAGAGCTGGAGTACAGGTCTTCCCTATGTATTGAATCGAAGAAGAGTTAAATGGAATTAGGCGATTTTTATATGTATGTATGGTAATTATACTTTTTATAATTTTATGATATACCCAAAACTTCTATAGTTATAAACAATGCATAGTGACATTAATAAGAGAGGTATCTATATGATTTTCATAAATATCATCATGCATACTTACTCTTTCACTAATTGAAGGCGTGGAAGCTCGACTTGCTATGGACTCTCGGGATTCTGCATTACGAATTCTTCTACTGAGTGAGGACGGTGGACTATCATCAACAAGGCCGGATTCCGGCAATGAAGCGCCTCGTTTACTGAACACTTTCGGTGGAGGTCTGGAAAAATGGATTGAATAGTAATTAATCATAATTTGCGGTAGAGATAAAATAAAGCTATAAGGGTTCCACAATATATCCAATGATCCATGAATTTTATTTTTAGACATGTATATGCAAATATTTCAAATTATAAGTTTAATTACTTAGTTTTTATAGTCATTACCCAGTAAAAAGTAGTAAGTTGATTGTGTATAAAAATCAGATCTTGTTGCCCTTGCTATTTTTGCCCTTTCCCCTTTTGTTTGAAACGGGTATAAACGCGATAGATTGATAGTTAGGTTTTTCACCTACCTATATATATAACCGTTTGAAACACTCTAATATAATAACTAATCTAATATAATATAATCTAATATAACATCTAATCTACTAATCTAACATCTAATAATCTAATATATCTAATATAACAACGTGAAAGTTTAAAAGTTTATATATTCACTTATACCATAACCATCTCTCGATAAGCCATTGTTTAACAGTAAATATGAATTTGAAAAGTTTATGGTGCCAATATTTAAAAATAAATAAATTAATTCATTATATAAATATGTTTAGAGTAACTAATCTAATAACGAGAATCTATTTCCTTAGTGGTTTTATCAATATAATGTATATAAAGGAAATTTTATTTTAAACATTGATGTCACATCAGAGTACTATAGTAGGTGAAAGCCATCAATTTCAAACATAAAAATACTAATGAACATATATGACACAAATGTTTAAGTTCATAAAATTTCATTTCTTGTTAGACAAATACTCTAAATACTCTGATTTAACAACAAAAATAACAGATATAGTTAAAAGGTTCTTACAAACAACTGGATTTATTATAATGCATTTAATATAAGAACAAAAGCTTGTTATTATAATGTAAACTGACTCACTTTGGTGGGACTTTTTTCTTGGCTACAGCAGCAGTTAGATCAACTGGACTACTTTCAGTAGACTGTGGTAACTCCTCTGCTTTCTTTGCTGCATTCTCAGCTAATTTCAGACCATTGACTTCGATGACTGTTACAAAATCACCTGCTTGTGATGTTGGACGGTTTTTGGTTTGTGTTGGACTTGATTTTTCTACCAAAAGAATCAAAGGGAGTTTTAATTTTCAGTTACTTTTTAACTTACTCCAAAGTTATAATAATGTGCATATAAGACTTTCTTTCTATACTAATATTATAAAAAGTTAAGATTTGAGTGTTTATTTGTATACATTAAATAGATTCCAAAACTACTAGACCAATTTTAAAAATTCATTCATCTACAGGTAGCTATATCATACGGGCTTGACATAGGCTATAATTTACGCATGCGAAGCCACAAGAAATTGGCTAGTTAATAATAAACTAAAATAGTCCCTAAAGCTAGTCACAAAACACAAATCCCTAAAGCTTTCTAATTATTGCGTTATTTATATATAATTATGAGAGCCAAAAAAAAACATATTTTTGATATTACTGTTTATATATTATTACCATTAGTTTCTCTATTACTTTCACTCCTCTGGACTACTTCACTATTACATCTCCTCCTTGCTGCTTCAGCTGCCAAATTTGAAGAAAGCTCATTGATGCATTGGTTGACAGAACTCCTTTCACCAAGATGTACTGGCTTATGTCTGAGCTGCACATCTTCACATTCAGCAGTTTCAGTGGTGGAATCATCACTTTTGTTACTGCTATCAATGCTTACTTCACTCTTTTTTGATAAAGAGTTTGTGTTGGAACCCTGAAAATAAAGAAGGTGAGTATAGGTTAGTTATGAGGACTCTGATTTTCCTTAGTCACCTTATTGGTTGTTTGTATGTGATGAAAATAAAGAAATGCTTGATAAAAGATCTTATCTATTTTAGACAAAACATTGTGCACATCTTATAAAGTAATAAGATCTTTTTAAGTAATAATAAATATTAGTTTATCTTTTTGTATGTATTATTGTATATATCAATTTATGTAGTAAAAAACTTAGAGAAAACATTATAATGCATTTACCATAATATTTGTAACTTTAGAAAATTCTATGTTCATTAATTTTTTTTAAACATATTGAGTAATATCTATTTCAGTTTATATTGGCAACAAAGAACAAAAAGTACTACTACAAAAGTACTAAGTACTATGACAAAAATATGCAGACAATAAAACTGACATATCCTTGAAATACCAAATTAGATTATTAAAATATTATCAAGTGAAATTGTTCATAAACCTTGAAAATGAATAGTTTCATTGAAGAATATTAATAACAGAAATGTGTTGAAGCCAATTAACAGGATATATACTAATTAGGGCAGCAATGACTCATGTTTACAATTAAAATAATCACAAGGGAACAAAATTCAACTTTTTTTTTTGCATGGCATTTTATAGATGTTTTTTACTAATTTTGTGTGGCTGATTTTAAATCTATCATCTATCTTCATTTTTTTAACAGCTCTTGTTTTTGAGATTTAGCCATTGGCAATATTTGTGTATCAGGTATTCATTAACAGCATTCGTAAAACAGGGTTGTTCTATTTAAAAGCAATTGTTTGTTACAATGTTCACATCAAGAAATACTTGTAAAACCAATATTAAGTATTTCTGTAACAACTGTAGTGACAATACTTTAAAAAATTGAAGATTACATGTGATGAAGTATGTGTAGGTCGGTGGCGTAGTGGATAAGCGCCGGGACCGGCGATCGTTATCGTTAAGCACCTTTCGCAAGGTCGGTCATGGGATGGGTGACCAAAAAATTATTATCTCGAGCTACTCCTGCTTCGGAAGGCACGTTAAGCCGTTGGTCCCGGCTGCATTTCCAGTCGTTAATACCCTCCAATCCGCATTGGGCCAGTGTGGAGGGTCATGGCCCATCCTCCTTAACCATCCATCAGGAAGGCCTGAACAGGGGCTCAGGCCTTCCTCAGGCAGTGGGAGCATAAAGTATATAAATGTTTTATTGGTATAATAAGGATTTCCTTAGGTTACTCATGACATACTAACACTAGATGCCTTATGTTTAAAGTAAGCACAGTCACACAGTTTGAGAACTTGGACGAATAAGAAAAGACCCTATTTCAAGTAGGTATCAAACAAAAATGATCTCAGGGGAATCTAGCAAACATTATTGTGATATTTGGGTGGTCAGCATTAACAGGATTAACAGAATTAACTGTCCCAAATTATTTATCCTGACCTATTATTAATTACTCCATCAGACCTGGGCTCCAGTGATGAGTAATTACCACAAGTGTCTTTGTTCTATACAAAATCATCAATATTTGGAAGAAAAAACTTATTTTCTCTGTGAATTAAGTGAAACAAGAAAAAATCATTTATAAATAGTGAATGTTTCACTAATATTTACTCTAATTGCACTATTTTTTTCTTGAAAATCACAGTTTTATTATATCTCCAAAACAGTAGTTGTTACAAAAAATCTGACTACAGCTCTGATATCAGCATGTTAAAAATATATAATACCAGTCATAATATTTCATGCAATAAAAATGCTGTTCCCTTGTAAATACATTATTGGTAATAATTAACAAAAGTATCTATATTTTATTATTATTTTCCTTTCAAGCATAGCAAAGTACCAAGATAAATTAAGTATTGCACACATTTAAATTACAAATTGCATAGAACAGTTAGTTTCTTCCGCTTCACAGATCAATACATGCATTTACCGTTGAATATGTAATATCTAAGCTTTAAAATGTTTAAGTCCAGTTAAATTAATTTTAGTTAACCATAAAAGGCCAGTTATGAATTTTGCATGATTACACTTCATTTTTTATACAATCGAAATATAAACCTGTGAATGGGTACTAATTTATTAATGAATATATATGAATATAATGTTAAAAGCTTTAATATAATAACCAGAGCATATGCTAACATGTGCTGTTTTATAGAATTAAATTGTGTCTTCAATAAATATGAAAAGTACAATAATTATAAAAGTAAATAGGACTGAAGACACATGCCCATAATATTTGTACAGAAAATGAAGCTATAAGAAATATAATTAAACACTAGTATTACTGATAAGGCACGATTATATCATTATTACAAGATTGTAATTCAGTTTTGGTTATAGTTATGTTTCATTCAAACATAAATAGAATATATTCAGCAAAAACTACATTAATAATTTGACTAAGTGTATGACGACTTAATTCTTACCTGCTTGCTATCTGAAGTCTTATCATCAGGATCAATCACGTCAACTCCTGAGGGCGGTGCCCCTTTGTAGCCCTCCGCAGTAGCTTTATGTTTCTCGACATCTGATAGCAACGTTTCTAAATATTCAACATAGAATTCTTCCTTCTCCAATTCTTCTCTAAGTATAGCGACTTTCTGTTTGTGTTTAGCCAAATTAGCCCTGACATCTTCTTCCCAAGCGGCTGGTAAAGCACTCTCTGGAAAACGTTGCACCCACACACGCTGAAAATCTCCGAAGACGCTCATCTCTCACAAAACGATTTCATGACAAATTTATTTTACAATTTAATGGTTTGACTAAACAGTATATTTATTTTCACTGTAAAAGACGTATCATAAAATACTAAGTACTGTCATCAGGGACGTCAATTTCATTACAAAAAAATATTACGATAGAATATACATACAGAATTGAATGATCCTAAGCCCGATACATATAAAACGTAATACGATACTTTCTTATTTAGTCACATAATATCATCAGTTTTGAGTTACTCGCAGAGATGGCAGTAACGTCGCCACCAGGTTAGAGATGCTCAATATTAGAAAAACATCGATGTTGACATCGGTGTCATCATCGTAAGCCCAACATCGATGTGCGATATTTATCGAATACTGAACATCGATGTTGGAAAACACGATGTTTTTTTACAAAGGAAGAACTTTTTTGATAAAGAGTCAAACAAGCCAACTTTTCTAAACATGTATGTAAAATATATATTTCAAGATGTGTGTATGTTACATACATAAAAAATCGGTTTTAATTTTATCAATTTTTCGATGTTTTTTTTTTAATATCGATTAATTTAAATTGATATTAATATTATCAAATATTAAATAATGCACTGGTTTTGCGTGAGGCCATGAGTTAACATTGATGATAAATTTGTTAACATCAATGTTAAGACATTAATTTTTTTTTATTCCAACATCGTTGATTATCCTAAATCGATTATCCCTATTTTGAAATATGAAATAAAAAAAATAGTTAGAATTTCACGAAAGAAGTCCCACCGAATAACTCTTATTCCTTTATAATAAAAGCGAAAACATTGTGATCCGAGGGGCTTCTTTCGTGAGACGAACTTTAGTAAGTTTAGCATAAGTCATCACTCATACATGCGAAGCTTCCCGACACCGAAAAAAAATCTTCTTAAACCTTTATACCTTTAATGCAAAACAAAATCAGCAAGCAGTTAGTATCGTAATCTTCTTAAGGGCAACTTATTAATTTTTGTTTCTTTAAATAACCTATAAAATCGTAGCAGTCATTGAAGTACGTTATCGGTTAATTATAGGGTATCAAAGAGCGCTGAAGTCGACAGATTTATTTTTAACTTCTTTCGAAAATGCAAGCAAAGAAAAACTATTTGTTTGGTTACTCCAGTTACTGTGAAATCTAGTGAAAAATTGTTGAACTTGATATACGAGATCATCTAGAGCACGTTAGATGATCCTAAGGATATATTGATATTTTATTCATAAGCATCGATGAATCTCGATCATCCCTACACCAGGTGTTCCTCGTTCACCAAGACGATATAAATAAATAGAAGAGAGAGCCTTATATAATTTGAGTTGTTAAGAAAAAATAATATTTCTGTTTTATATAAAACTGACTATTAATAATTTTATGTAAGTACTCGACGGACACACACAATTATTAGTACTGTTTGTTTAGTAATACATTTTTGCTGCTTATTCGTATGTAATAATTATGAAAATTATTATTTAAAAGACAAAGAGTTCGAAAAACTCTCATAGATCATGCTAAGTATTTATTATAGTTAATTTTTATTGTGGTATAAAGGAGACGTCCAGATTAGATTCCTTTTCTCTACTTTTTAGTAATTAAGAACAAAAAATACTCTATGTAAAATGTCATTAGGAGTACCGCTAAATTCCTTAGCATATCCAAAAGGACCATGGACTTAGTAGGGCTTATTACAAGACCTATAAATCCGAAAAATCGTAATTATAAAAATGAATTTTATCACTATGAAATAAGGTATACTTTTAATTACTCTTTGTACAGAAGGTAATCCAAACTAAGAAAGAAAGTCACAACGGAGGCCGTATGTCTCGTTTTTCATTGTGCCATTAAAAAAAAATTCGTTCATCAATAATTTAAAATAAAATAACGTAAGTGGCAACGTTTGTATTTAAATAGTATCTGTTTTAAAATTATAAGTTATTATATAATCACATTAATTTCAAATTATTGGAAAAAGATCGATGAAGCATTTACAAAAAAAAAACTAGTGTCCGAAATCAAACTAGACATGGCTATGGTACATTCTTGATTTCTTCATGCCATGACAACCCTTCTGGTTTTCTTTCATGTATTAAAGTAAATTAATTTTCAAAACTCAATAAATAGCTCATATTTTATTTTGTACTTTTTCTAAGTCTCGAACTTTGTAAATTTCATTTTTTTTATATGTTAGTTAATATGAATGGAAATTACTATCTTAGGTCCATTATTTTCCTGCAATCTTTTGGTAGAGTCGACATCTGTTAAGATGCCTTTTTTAGTGGTTTATTTCAGACTGAGTATACATACTCATAAAATTCGACAAAGAGGAGATTACTGACCGATATTGACAGTTTGTGCAATCTTATGAGTAAACAAACACTTGCGATTCTGCATATATATTCTCGCCTCCCTTCACCTTGGACTCATGCATGGTTAAGACGTGTTTTTAGTGACTTGATTTTATAAAAATATAATTTAAATTAAAATGACAATAAATAATTCGTGCAAATACCAGGCAATCATAATACGCGAGGAATAAATACCCAATCAACAGCTGAATGGAACTAGCCAGTGTCTCCTCTTGTGTGAGTATTATGTGAATATCAATCAATTACACACATTGGTTTTCGTAGTGGAAAATCAACAAATGATGCTCTATCTGCCCTTACAAATTTTATTTCTACTAACTTAGATTAAGGCAAAAATACAATAGCTATTTTCCTTTATCTAGCGAAAGCTTTTGACACTGTCTCTGTTCCACTCCTGTTAAGTAAGCTTGAGAATATGGGTATTCGTGTAAATCAATTTCAAATTTTCAAAGACTATCCAACATATCAATGAGATATCAATGCGTTAAAATGGACAAGTACATCAGCAATAATAAAAAAAAATGCTACAGAATCTCACAAAGAAGTATGCTTTATTCCTTATAAATATTAATGACATAGGGCGCTTGTGCACTACACTGAATTTTCAGATTCGGCGGTCTGATTTTTTCCGGTCCGGAATGACATGAAAAACTCGGATGAGTAGCTTGTGCACTTGTCCGTTTTTTTCCTGATCGGAGCGGCGCAGTGTAGGGCAGCTCTCTTTGAAGCTACACGTCACTTACGCTAGGTAAAATGAAATTTTTGGAACGTCGGTAATTCCGTTCGAAGACGTAGAAAGGTACCTAAATAATGGTCTGATCGCTTTACATAAACCATAATAAATTATGGCAAGACGAAAGCATTTTTTTACTACTATCGGATGACTACTATCAGATGTAAAAACTTATACCCTTACTAATTTAGGAACAGCATTATTCACATACAATAGCTAAAAATATCTGTGACATTAGAATAAAATTACTGATAATGGTCTAGTACTTGATGTTTAAATTTTTAAACGTGCTATTTTTTTCGAAGTTTTGTAAAAACAACTTTCAGCGATTACAGAGATAGATCAATCGGTGGCGCCATTTCGTAAGCAAATCGAAATTAGTGCCGTGCTAGCGGAGAATTATTATGCTAAAAGAACTTTATGAGATCAGTTGACTGTATTATATATAGGCATAATTTTATACTCGTGGTGTAGTTTCTTTGAGCAGAAATATTATTCCCTTAGAATACTTCTTTTTTTTAAATTTATTAATGACACAAACATACATTTAAAATTTTAGATATTAAATACGAAAAAAACATTGAGTGTCACTTAATTACTTTTGTTAGTCTTCTGTTTATTCTTTGTTATTACTCCTGTTGTCAAATATTTATCTATACTTATCAATTGTCTAAAAAAATTTGATAATGACAAATTTCCAGGCAAACTTTCACTCCTATTTTTCGCGATAAAATGTAGCCTATGTCCTTTCTTAAATTAAGTCTATTTACTATATTAATTTCCATTTAGATGGGTTCAGTTGTTTAGGCGTCTAAGCGTAACAAAACTTATTTATTATGCTAAAAGAACTTTATGAGAACTTAAGCTATCGATACTTTTAATACGATTCTAAAATCTAGCTAAGTATCGATACTAGAACCATACGCTGATCAAAACAGAACTATACCGAGTTTGCCAAAGCATATGCAGTGATATATACCAACTATATTAAATCATCATATAAAATATAGCATTTTATAATCAACAATAAATATTGATAGTAAGTTTATTGGAAATTTACAATACTGCCGAAATAAATATCGATTCAAATTGATTATTTTTTCCCAAGCCTATTCTTTATGAATTTTCCGGATCGCGGACACAGCAGTTCACAAGCGTAAACACGTTTTTCATTGCCGCCATCACGGACCTGAAAAAACGGATCCGGAATAGAGAAAAGTAAAATTCCGGGCGGTAAAATTCCTGACAGTGCACAAGCGCGCATTACGTACATATGGCCTGACATATCGGACCTGAAAAAATCGGACCGCCGGACATGAGAATTCAGTGTAGTGCACAAGCGCCCATATACTATTTCTCGCGGTAACATAATATCTTATGCAGATGATATTGTTTTCGTGTTTTTAGCGAATTAATATATGGGATGAGGTATTTCTGAGTGCACAAATAGGTTTCATTAATGTTAAAAAGTGCCTTTATAATAATATGCTTATCTTAAATTCACAAAAAACCTAATATACCGCCCAAAAATATCGATATATCAACTTATCGATATTTTTCGTTAATCCTAATGTCAAATTTGACATGAATCTGACAAATCTCATATGTTTTTGTTAGATTTTGTATGGTTTTGTGTACAGAAATGTCAAAGGAAATGTTGAAACTTTTGTAAAACATTAATTTAAAGACGATTAATTAAAATTTTTATCTTTCATTGGTTGCTAAAAAACAACATATTTTGTAAGGAATTATGAATTAATTAAAATGGATAACAATTACGTAAAACATACTATAGACGGCCTCAAATCTACCTCCTCTACTCGAGTTCAAGAAACTTTACTTAAAATAAGAAGTAAATTGACTACAAATGACGATGGGATTAAGTTATTTCGTGAATGTGGTGGCTTGAATTATTTACTGCCACACTTACGTAAACCAAATGAAAGAATTCTTGATGTTACCCTTAGTATACTCGGCAACTGTTGTCTTGAAGAAGAAAGTAGCTTATTGGTTAGTGTATTTATTTATCTTCTGCAGTAAAAAACTTATTTTAACTTAGGTTGATAATCAAAATTCTAACAAATTATTTTTCAAATTGCAGGTTGGCAAGTTAAATAGTTTTGTACCCCTTGTCAATATTCTGAAGACTGTTTGTCGTGATAGTATAGTGGGTAGAGCTTGTCGTGTTATTGGAAACTTGGCTCAAAGAAACACCAATGCAGAGGGCCTGCACAATAGTGGAGCAGTTGCAGCTCTTCTGGCTGTAATTGAAAAGAGAGATAACAATACTTCTTACCCTACATTAGCAATGGCTGTAAGAGCTATTAGGTAAAATCATTAAGTAGATCCAAATACTATTATTCATTAATTAAAAATTAATTTTAAGATAAGGTTATAAGATTCAGAATAAAAGAGTATGTTAGAAATACATTATTTCTATTAATGTAGTAATGAAATAGAACATTGTTATATAACTTACAGGCAACTATGGATGGTTAATGATAAAAGAGATGAAATGGTTGCACAAAACACAGTGCGGATTATATCAATACTACTTACAACAGAATGTGAGAAAGCTGGAATCATAAAGTCTTCATCAAATCATGCAGCGGCAGAGAGTGAAGGTCTCAGAAAAAGTCAAGAGGAATTAATTGTTGGTATTCTAAAATGTATAGGATACTTTACCACTTACTCATCTGTGCCATGTTCAGAACAGGTAGGTACAGATATATTAATGTAAATGTTTTTAGTAAAAATTGTATTAACTTTCATGTCTATTTTTTTTATAATATAGAAATTTATACTTGTACTACATTAATTTCAATTACAATTCCAGATCCAAGGTGATGGTAGGGGATATCAGTGTTTAGTGGCATTGACAAAATCCTATGAATCTTTAGCTTTGAAATGCATAATGAACCTTTGTTATCTTTCTCCATGCCGACCTCTTTTGGGCATAGCAGGTGTAGTTGAATGTCTTGTAGGTGTTTTACAGAAATGTAAAGGTAATTATTTAAAAATTTGAGTTTTCAGTTATTTTGCATTGAATTTGTTTTTTATCTGAGAGCTGATAAGTTTATTTTATACACAGGATTTTTGTGGTGGCCTGAAGGTGCAGCACGCGCATTATCTTTGCTCAGTGGAGAATCAGTAAACAGATCACGCTTGCGTCATTGTGGTGGACTGCCATTGTTAGTTGTTGCAGCTCGTGAAAACCAATATGCTTTACATTCTTTACTACAGTATGTATTCGATGATTCAGGTATGTAGTCTACAATAAGAATCCATTTTCATTTATTTAAACTTTAAAGGCTATTAATTATGGGTTGAGTGTTGAATTTAATACAATAAGACAATGTTGATAAACAACAACCAAACTGTTTCAGTAAAAAGAAATTATATTTAAGACCCCAGCCAAATAACTTTAAATATCCTATTTATAGTTTTTCAAATTTATAAACACAAGCAATTTAATAACTTTGTTTTTTTTTTGCTTAGTTATTTGAATTGCTTTAATAAAATTGACCAGTTTTTAAATCCTTTATATTATAGAACATCAAATAGGGAATATAAAATTAATATGGAAGTTAGAAATACATAAAGCAATTCAGACCAGACAGTTACTGAAAAAAACTGTATCAGTAACTGACTGTACCATACTAAAGTAATTTTATGGTAGATATTATAATTTATTTATTTATTTAATGCCTTTTATGCCAGAATAGGGATCATGAATGGGTAAAAAAAATGCAATTCTATTTAGTCCGTCAGTCAGATAATAGAAAAATATTAGATACGTATTTTTTTTTACTTCAATTTAACAAGAAATTGTTTAGATAACAGGCATTAAAGTTGAGGAGTGGGGGCTCGCTACGTCACAGTTGAGTAGAAAACGTACTCTAACGTGACGTCATGCGAAATTTCAACTCAATGTAACGCCGTAATTTTATGATTACGAAAAAAATAAAAAAATACGTGTTTAATATTTTTTAACACTATACCTGACGGACAAACAAACAAAAATTAGTCATCATCCCAATTATAAATACACAAATGTACATTGTTGAAAAACTTTTATCTTAATATTGGTGACTTTCTGTTTGCCATTTGGCAAAGGCCTTCTACAGCCTCTTCCACTCATTTCTGTCTCTGGCTACTCTACTCCAGGTCACTCCAGCATTGGTTTGAAATCGTCATCCCACCTCTTATTCTGTCTACCTCTTCGTCTTTTTCCATTTCTTGGGTACCATGCACTCTTTCGCTCCATTTCCCTATTCCTCGTATCATGTGACCTGCCCATCTCTACTTTAACCATTTGATATTCACAGCGACATCATGTTCTTTTCCTTTTTATGTAATTTCTGAGTTTATCAATTCTTTTTATTCCTAACATACTGCACTCATTTGAGCGTTGGCAGGTTGTTAAAGCGTTGATATTTTTGTTGGTTAAGGACCAGGTTTGACTTCCGTACATCAGAACAGGAAATATACATATGTTAAAGAGTTTACTTTTTAGTTGTACATGGATATCTTTATTCTTAATTACTTCCATTGAGCTCCAGTAATTTTTCCACGCATTGCCACGCTCTGCCAGAATATCAGCGTTGATGTGGCGCTTTCCGTGTCGGATCAACACCAGCTGAGGCAGAGTCCTGGTTGACCTCACTTTCTTTCTCTTTTATTCATTACTAGCTGACCCGACAGACTTCGTCCTGTCAAAAAGATTTGTAATGTGGCAGTTTTTTTGCCTACGTATTTAAAAAAATTCTCCTGAACAGAACCGTCACCCTGGTGATAGGGCGTTGTGAATAAAAAATAATTAAATAAAACATATATAAGGATTTAAAAGTAAGTAATCGCTTTATTGTTAATCATGTGAATCATAATTATTATTGCAATGTATTAATAGTAATAGTATTAAATATAGAAAAAAGAGATTTTTATGATCATAAAAACACATTACACACAACAGCATTATAAAAGTAAACTATTCGAATTAAAAAAATATATAAACATTCTCAAGGAAAAATGCTGGAAGAATCCATCTACCTGTACCCCGGAATGGGACTCGAACCCATTCGCGATCCAGGGACTGCTCTAACCAATGAGCTATCTAGGACCCAACAGCTTTGCTACTACAGAGCGTATTTTCATCAATGTTCCGGCAATACATGTAATGACGTGGAAACTGATGCATTTTATCTCGCGTGCCGAAACTAATACAAAAGAAACGCGAGTTTCGGAACGCGACATTAAACTCCTCCAACTATGTATTCTGTGCTCCAACGCACACACGCACATTGTTTTGATAGATATGATCTTTGACGTTAGGAACACACCTACATTGCTTAGACAACAGTGAGTGCTTGTAATTTAATATGAACTTTATACCATAGCAATAAAGTTCAAATTGACTACGTTTTAGTTACAAATCATTTGTATGGGAAAAAGAAAAGGGCTATTTTTAGGGTTTTTCCAGCAATAATTCTAATTTTTCTCGCCGTAAAAACCATCCTTGAACTTCAACGAACATTTTAAAAAAAGATTTGGCCAAATTGGTCGAGGCGTTGTTGAGTTATGCGCTTACCAACACATTTTGCGATTCATTTTTATATATATAGATGTACCTTATTGATTCTTTTGTATTTTTATTGTGCTTTATGTGTTCCTAATAATGTATTATCTTGTTTGTGTCTTTGTGAGGTCAATAAATGTTTCTTCTTCTTTTTCTTAAGAAGAAGAAACTTTGATTCCTGATTTTTCTCTATGTAGTATTTGAATTTGTTAATACGTAGATCTTTTCTGTGTTTCCTCATGTTTTTGTTGATTTCTTTACTAATTTGGGCAATTTCTTAACGTCTTCCTGTGTATAAGGAGTTCTCTTGCTGTCGGCCGTATTTTGTCTTTGTCAACATTGTTTTTGGAAGCTCCTTTACTAATGTGAAGTAACATATGCTCTAGTTTATCGTAATTCTGTTTTATATTATCTGTCTCTGTGGGTTCTACCAAAGTTGGCGCGTGTTGCACAAGGACGTCTTCTGGGATATGTAACAATGCGAGTTTGCTCTTTGACTGACTATAATATTTCCGCGAAGACTTTGGGATGCTCTCATACAACTTGGCTCTCACCATACGGTGGTTGGTATTGAAGTTAAGTCGATTTATTATATTTACATCTTTGAACAATCGTAATTTGTTTGTGAGAATGAAGTCTATTTCGTTTTTGGAGTGAGTATCCGGTGATATCCATGTCCATTTTCTGCGTTTTAAAAAAATGTGTTCATTATATATATAAGGCGTTCTGAAGAGCAAAGTTTATTACTCTGGCTATTATCGTTGCGTTTTCCGGTGCTGAAGTTTCCAATTATTAGTATTCCTTTGCCGTTTTGTTCGCCTATCTCTCCATTGAAATCTCCCATAATTATAATATTCCTATGAGCATAATTTTCCAATGTTGTACCCAAAAGATCGTAAAAATCGTCTTTCTGGTCGTCGTTTGATACATTCGTGGGATCATATACTTACACAATAGACCATGTTTCATTCAGAGTGATGTTCAGCACTGCGATTCTTTCTGATACACCTATAAAGTTATTTATGTAAATTTTTAGATCTTCTCGCACAAGGAATCCCACCCCATGTAAACCTTGTGATTCGCCTTTGTAGCATATAATATACTTAGGATAGTCTAGTATTTCTTCCCCTAGTCTTCGAACTTCACTTAGCCCTATAATATGCCAGTTAATGTTTTCTAATAATGCCTGTTCAAGCTCTATGAGGTGTTCTTCAGTACTTTATGTTCTCGTATTTAGTGTTCCAATAAACATGTCTTGGTGTTTGGGGCTGGAGGTTAATGGTCTCCTTCTCCGTCGGTGACCAACCGTATTGGGAGATGTTATAAAAGTTATCTTTATTTTGCATCTTTCATATTGATTACATTTGTTATTCATCTTATAACTCTTATAGATTTAATAAACTAATTATTTTACAGCTTTTCAAATACTGCTAAATGAAGGGCTTGTCAATCTTTTAACTGATGAACTCACTAATTACCTGACAACTATGGATTATGAACATAGCAATGTAGAAGATGTTTCCTCTGTATATTTGACGGTCCCAAGCTGTTCTAAAGCAAATATCAAACCTTTGGATAAGAGCGATGTAAACACCAATCGAACCGAATCTAAAGGAAACTTATTTACACGGCGTAAAGCTATCGTTCATCAAAATGAGGATGAACTTAAAGTGGTCATAGAGAGAGATAACATGATTGTTGGATTCGTTGATGCTATTGATAGTGATGCAACTGAAGACAGCCAAAGTGAGGATGAAGACGATTCACAAACTAAACGCAAGTGCTTAAAAAGGACTAGATCTGGGAGTCCTAAAATTATTGAAAAGGTAAATAAATTACTTTAATAATGCTTATGATTTTTACATTTGATCAATTTTGCATTCACAATGCTATACTGAAAAATATTCTTAATGAAAAATGGTTAGAGCAGTCACCCGGATTGTGGAGGGTCATGGGTTCGAGTCCCATCTCTGAGTGCCAGGGACAAGTAGATTTTTAAAGCAAATTGAAGGATATTTTTATTTTGATGATTCAGTCTAGTATCTATTATCATCTCTTTTATCGAATGCCCTGTTTATTTATATATTTATTGTTTTAAAAAACTCAAAAGTCGGGCTTAATGCAAACGGTATTTTCTACTACATCTTTATTACTATATATTATTGTCCACTTGAAAAACCCCATTAGTTAAGGATAACTATTTTTGATTCATTATCTACTTAAGTAAGTTAAATATGTAAAATAAACAGATAGAACAAGTGCTTCAATTTTACATTTCAGAAATCACAAGTAATCAAAATGGCTAAAAAAGATTGGTCAGCTGGTGTCTATTGGGAACCAAAAAGCCCTGAATGGCCTTCTGGCAGCCAAACATCAAACACACATGTACCACTAAGTCCAGATAAATCTGATCAAGGACCCACATCTCCATATGCAGACAGCTGTAAATCTGGCTTCAGCCCTGAATATAGAAGTGATTCTGGCAACAAAAGACCAAGATGGGATTGGAGCCCTGAGTCTGGAGTAAGCAGTGGAGATGCAAGTCCAGTTTGGAATAATTGCAGATGGAGTCCAACTAATTCTGGACAGGCGTCACCTTTTAGCACCAATGAAGGTCAGTGTAATTTGTAAATTCTCACCGACGGCTAATTAGTATGTCTAGTCAGAGTACTCATGTAAGGTATACGGGTTGAAGAACACGCAGTAACGAGTTTAAGGTTTAAGGTGCATTTTACGTAATGAAAAAAAGCGTTAGCCGGTCTAAGCGCCCATACATATGCTTGGGTGCTTTTTGGTACTCGCAGCCCGGAGTGACATTTTATGAAGTTCGTATTGAAATAATCAATTTAAAGGCTTATATTTCTTTTACATTATATTTCCAATACGTGTGGTACCTATATGCAAATGTAATCTAACTACATAATAACGTCATGAAGAAAGGACAGCACGCCACAATGTATGGTCCCTACATACGGTTTTCGCCACATCCACTTTCATTACTCTTTTCATATATCGACGCTGGAAAGCAAACACGTAGTAACCTGCAATTTAAAGTGGAAAATCTTTATATTTTTCCAAAAAAATATATCTTTTTTCCATATAAATTGACTAAGGAACACTTTATTTGTTACTGTTTTTGCGGGTTACTACGTGTTTGCTTTCCAGCGTCGATATGCTTGTCAATTTTTATGTGTAATAAACTAAATAAGAAAAGAATGTTAATCACCTATATTTTCATAGTGTTACAGGGAAGCCGAATATAGTGTACAGCTAACTATCTATATTCATTCTATAGAAGTATGGCTTCCTTATTTCATGTCAGTTTTTTTTGTTCTAATTCGACAGTGGTAAAGCTATGCGGTAACTGTAATTGTGGTTATAACAGTAATGCATAAGATATATATTTTTTTTATTTATTTTACATTTTTCCTACAGATAGTTCAGATTCTGAGATATCTGGTCGTTATTCGCCAGTTTGCAGCGATACAGAAGGCGAAGTGGACGCTAGCAACACGGTTGTTGATTTCGACGCAGCTCAGGTGGCGAATGATCTCGATGATCTCATCATGGACGACGACGAGAGCAACGACGGAGATACGTCGTTGGAGGGTAAACAAAGAAAAAAGATTCACTCCAAATATTGTGTTGTTGATTTAGAATTGAGTAGCTCGGTGGCGTAGTGGATATGCGCCGCGGCCCGCGATCATTGTTGTTAAGCAACTTTCGCAAAGGTTGGTCACGGGATGGGTGACCAAAAAATTGTTATTTCGAGCTACTGCGTGCTTTGAAAGGCACGTTAAGCCGTCGCTCTCGGCTGCATTTTCAGTCGTTAATACCCTCCAATTCGCATTGGGCCAGCGTGGAAGGTCATAGCCCATCCTCCTTAACCATCCTTAGGAAAAATCTATAAAAAACAAAGGCCTAAGCCCCTGCAGTGGGGACGTAAAAGGGCTGATGATGATGATATAGAATGCAGTAATCGACTTCATTTGTCATTCGAATACTTAGTCAAATAAAATAATAGCTCTGAAGTTGTTTACAGTTACTGTTATTTATTTATCGTCTTGAAATTTGAGGGCGACACCATTTTTTTCATACATCTCAACAATTGAAAACCGAGTAAATTTTTATTCTTACAAAAGTTATTGGCACAGTGTTCTGTTTATGTAACACATAATTTATGATTACATAATGATTAAGGCAACTTTTTTTAGATGGTTATAAAATAAATGCTACCACTTTGACGTCACGCATCGCCTGTGTGTTAGTGCTCTTATTCCGAGTGTCGCATGGCGCTTGTATGATGAGTTCTTTACGCGACGAACCAGTGCCAAACCATACGCTTGAACTACTCACTGGTCAGGAATGCCTCAACGGTCTCTTGGATTATGTAGAGCGATGCAAGCGACCTTTAGGCAGAGCCGCTCGCATTCTAGCAAGAGTTTTAAGGTGCATTTAGTATATAATTCATACTAATATTATAAAAAGCAATGATTTAATTGTTTGTTTGCATTAATTAGGCACCGCAGCTACTGGGCCCATTTTAAAAATTCTCATACCTACGGGAAGCTATAATTTACCCGGTGAAGTTTCGGGATATCAGCTAGTTTCATAGTAATCAATAAATATAACTGCCCCCATTGATTTGTGAGGTAGACGTTGTACTAATAATTTTGTACTACAGTACAGTGGCATGGCAATTAGTAACAACTGTAGCTCTTCGCTCTATCTGGACAAATATGTAATCAAACAGGGTAACAGGTTTCATCATATCCGTCCGTCCATGGTTTAGCTCAAAAACTATTGGTAATGGAAAAAAAATTTAGGGTATCTCATCTACATGTAAAATGGGGGATGTTTTTTTTTCTATAGTGCTTATGCCTACAGTTTGGTTTAAGTTATCACTCAATAATTTTGTATTCATTTTTAAATCCTAAATCTGCCCATTCAGCGATTGCTAGATGAAACAAAGCCCGCCGGGTCCGCTAGTTTATTATACATTTATTATAATAACAGGATCATTTAACTTTAACTAATTTATTATTATCGTTTTAGAATTTGTAAATGTGTTTTACTTGTGTATGTCTGCAAATATAATATATTTTTTCAGCAACGCTCCAAGTTTGATGAGTATACTGAAGCACAGGCTAACCTTACGTCTCTATAACATGTCTATACATTCCAAACATCCACCTAATAAATGTCTACAGTGTAAACAAGTAAGTGAATAGCATATGTTATAAAAGGAATGTTGAAATTTTTTTAATTAAAGTTTAATGACCCCTTTAAGCTCTAATAAATGTCAAATTTGTATGGGTAATGTCGCTTTAAATTAAGGATAATTTTAATAGACGTTTGTGCAATTGGCTGTGAGTTGAAATGTCACATGACGTCACGCTTTCGTACATTTTCCACATAGTTGTGATGGAGCGAGCCTCTCCTCCTCGACTTTAACGTCTATTATCTAAACATTATCTCGTTAACTTGAGGCAATAAAGCGTATCTAATATTTTTCTGTTATTTGACTGACAGGTTGAATAGTTTTTTTTTATCCAAGCATCGTCCTTAATATACGCCGTCATCGGAGCTACAATTTGGTAGCTAAACGTTTTTAGAGATGGGTAAAATTATTTATGACGTCGATTTTGATAATTAATTTTATATTTTTTTTTTATTTATTTATTTAATACTTCATGTTCATATTACATTGGCGGACTTAATGCCTTAGGCTTTTTCTACCAGTCAACCACATGGGTGATGTGGAGATAAAAGGTGCTTGTGAACTTTTAAATTAATTTATTTTATTATAATTTTTTTACCCATCTCTCAAATGTCAAGCTACCACATTAAACCTCAGATATGGACTTATAATACATCGATCTTTTACGCTTTTTCATATTTCGACAATAAAAAGTGTCAAATATTTCAAACTGAAGCAAATATCTTTTTTTTTCAGATCATTAGGTTAAGTAGTAAGCTTTTGACCCAGTTGACGATTCACGCTGAATCCAGTTATGGCATGGGCGAAATAAGTTACAACCTACTGAAAGGAAACACTTCTATCAAACAAACATTGTCACTGTCACTGCCATATATAGTGAGGTATAATAACTATTAATAAATATCGTTAGCTACATGTTGTGGTGCTATGTAAATATCAACAAAATATTATGTTATCTGTAACTGTCATATTTCTTCAATTTACTTTGAACCAAACAATTTTGATTTTAACAATGCACAGTTTCTTCATTCAAGTTTTTATAAGCACTTTTGAATCATCAAATTTTTTCCCCTCTACCTCGTTACTCGTTCAGGATGTCTTTTAGCTGACAAGAAGAACAAGCGAAATAAACTTACCAGCTTATAAATAATAACATTTACATAAATCATGTCATTACAATATAAGTGCGTATTATAACAATAATAAATAAAATTTTCAGTCTGTAGGACAAAGGTACATATAATTAGTCATTAAAGCGAAGGCTAATAATTCTATGCAATCTGACATAACCTGATGTGTTGTTGCGTGTTAGTACTGAATCTTATCTTTCCTGTAGTGAAAGCTAAATATATTTCATATTAAAGAAAAATTGTTTCAAAGTTTTACAATATAAAGTTCCCGAGGTGGAGTTCATACCTGGAACCTTTTACTAACCGAGCGATTGTTGAATGTGAATTAACAATTCTTCATGACCCTCTGTCACATAGTTATTCTGTACGTACGTACGAAGAATTCATTTTCTCTTCGATAGTACGAGCCATTTGGGATGCCTAATAATAACGTAGAAGACCAATCTAAATATATTTTTAAGTAGAGCCAGAAGCACATCACGCTAACCAAAACTATTAAATATCTCAAATCTATTTCAACCTTAAATAGCTGATAATTGAGTTCAAAATTCATGCGGGCAATTTATATTCAAAGGACATTATGATTTGTATATTTCTTCCATGATATTATGATAATGTGTGTTTGGTTAAAGCTAAATTACGTTTATTTGTTTTTTAACAGGGCTGAAAGACAACTGAAGAAATATTTCATAGACTGCAGTGCACTTAATTTACTATTTGCATTGATCGCTGAAGATAAAGAAGATCTACAAGTCTGCGTTACTGCTCTTGGAAAACTTGCCACTAACGTTCATATTAAAGACCCGAAGACTCTAGAGAACCGCTTCAAAGATCATATATGCGTCAGTTACGATCCTATACTAGATAATCTCTCTAGTCATGATATAGTTACATTTCAGTTGGACGATTCGTCAACTGTGAAAGCGAACAAAATATATCTATGCCAAAATTCAGAATACTTTAGTGCGATGTTGATGGGTCGATTTAAAGAATCTGTTGAGAAATGCGTGCGATTGATAGACGTCACCAAACCTGCTCTAGAATATCTTCTCACGCTATTACATTGTGGTTTGAATAATCCAAAATCTGAAGTGCAGGTCTTCCCAATGTCTGATGATCTGGAAACTAATTTAGAAGTACTTTTGCTAGCTGACAGATATTTGTTTGAGAAATTAAAAGAGTTGTTGAGCAGTGCCATTTTGCAATTCCAAATGACACCTGAAACGGCTGATAAAATTTATATATGGTCTTTGAGTAAAGGAATGGGATTTTTATGTGTTGAATCAGTAGCATATATATTAACAGGAAACATGTGCGAATCAAAGCGTACGCGTTCGTTTAAAAGAATTTTGGATTTGGAATACAAAGAGCAGTGGTTAGACGATATCAAATCCATGATAAGACGCCAATTGATTAAATGAATTTCCTAAATTATATATAATCGCTAAGTATAAAATTAAATACAGTAGGTGCCATCTAACTTTGCTACTAAGAACTAAAGTTAGTTAAGGTATGTGCCCTCTTGCGTCACTTTCAAACCAGCTGTTAACTAAAATCGCGTAGGTGTGTGTGTGACGTTTCTCGTGACTAACTTCATTCGTTATTTGGCGCACACTGTACGTATGTGTATATAATTTGTAAAGTAGTAATAATTTGTAATGATGTATTAACTCAATATACGTATAAATAATAATATATATTAATAATAATTATACATAATAATGAATTTGAATATGTATGCAATTACTAGTAACAATAGGGTATTGGACGACTATCAAAAAACTGATTTAAATTAATCAATATGGATACTTATTCCCACAAAAAAGCCTCCTTTTGAATCCAAAACTTTGTTTAAAATGTAACGATTTGAAACCGTTTAAATGGCTAGGCTCGGAGGACGTGACTTCATACGCGTCATTTGTGGGAAAACAATAGATTTTGAGTTAACAAATTGAACAATCATATGCAATTTTTATATTGCAATGCACAGATAAGTAAATCCCAAAAAAGATCATTTAAACTGAATGAATTTGATGATCCTTTTAATAAATTTACACTTTGAATGTTTCCTACATAGTTTTAGTGCCAAATCATCAATGACGTCACGCGTTCTTATTGGTGTTTCGTTTGACGTGAGATACAGACCACAAATATTAAAATCATGTTTTTGGCCATTAAAATATTTGATGAATTAACTTTATAAGTAAATATAATTTATTTTTTATCTGATTACAGTCTGATACCCTATTGTCCAATTAGCGAAATTTATTGTGCTCTATTCCATTCTAAAATTATAAAAAAGAGAACTGGTACTTATGTGCTGAATCCCTACGTCTCACTCACTCAAACATTACCTTAGATGAGCTAAAGCATTTAATATTAATAACATTCGCACGGAGTGAACTTTACAAGATTTATGCATGATTATATTTTGCCTCTTTAATCAAAGATTTTATATTATTTAAATACAAGTACCTATTTTGACAGTTTTTAAAATACAATAATAATAATAAAATTCAATATGAGATTTATATATTACTGCATAACAGATCGAAAAATTTATCCGTTCATAATATGTGAAATCATTTTTTAAAGTTGTTGGTAATTTATTAAAATTGAAGCATGTGTTTGGAGATGGGGCAATAGGGATAATGCCTGAATAAAAAAAGGAATTCTATTTCAGTCTATCAATTAGACAATAGAAAAATGTTAGACACATAATTATTTTTTTTGCTTCAATTTAACCAGATATAGCTTAGACTACAGTGAATCACAGGCTTTAAAGTTGGGAAGTGGAAGCTCGCTATGTCAGCTTAGTAGAAAATGCACAAAACTTGATGTCATGTGCAATTACACTCAAGGTCGTTGTAATTTAGGGATTGCATAAAAAAGTAAAAATATGATTTCAACAATCTACCTGATGGACAGACAGTAAAAAAAATTAGGCATCGTTCCTATTCACATTTGCTCAAATTGCTAACATTCTTAATCCTTGGTTTCTAAACATTGTGCTCCATTTTTTAGAGAGACCATATAGCTTATATATATTATGAAATATAATCATCTTCGGAAATGGTTGCATATAAGTATAATGAAATGATCAATTACCAATAATTTTGTTAATTGATATTATCAAATTACATGTATCATAGGGATGAATAGAAATATGCATTTTATATTAAAATAAAACCCAAACAACTGTTTTATATTTAAATAAAAACCTTAATAATTTGTGTCATAACTAATTATTTATTATACTTCAGAATAAAATTTTAAATATTATCACATTGTTTCAATGTCAGAATTATTTTTATGCAAGTCTTGTCTTAATGTCAATTGCAACTTTATCTCTTGATTTGGAATAAGTATTTGTGAAGTTATGGCATTCACTTCATTACAATTCACAGATGTAAATTCAAATTTATTTACAATCTGAAAACAAGAGAACACAGTTACCTTTAACCTTTTAAATTTTAATATAAAATAATAATTTTTAGTATTCAACTTACTTGACTTATAATTTCAGTAAGCTGTAACATGGCTATCTTTCTTCCTATACAAGACCTAGCTCCCAAAGCAAAAGGCAATGAGGCTGAAGGTATATGGTTAACCAATTTAAAGTTTCTTGGATCATTTCTACACCAGCGAGATGGCATAAACTTACTAGCTTCACTAAAATTATTATTATCACGTCCCATAGTATAAATTGAAGCTATTATGGGGGTCTGAAAAAAATACCACAACAATTAATTTGTGTGATAAAATTTTATTTCTTTTTGTTTAAAATTCTATTGTATTTTTCCAATATTTCTTCTTTTATATGTTTATAGGGATTATCAAGTTCGGATGGTGCTTCTGGTATCTTAAGCTTTCTTCTTACAGTTGGGGAAATCAGGATCAAATTATGTATGAGACCAACTCCACTTGAAGTTATCCAATATAAGCACATACATGATGGAACACTTGCTGCCACAGGTATCATCATTATGGAAAATCCTCTAAAGATATTAGTAAACACATTATATATTTTTGAAGGTTCCCTCAATTTAGACATTCTTTGAATTTCTATTATAGTTAAATTAGTTAATCCAAATGCAACAGGTAATATCCAAGAATGATCAGGTTCTGTTAAATTAGGTATCCAACCTATGCCACCTACTGACAATTCCATGAATGTAACTAAAGCAGCAGGATCTCCTGATTGCATATAAACTAAATTTCTTAGAGCAAAAGACATGCAGACCCATATTGGAATTTGAAACCATATTAATAAACTAGCTTTAAATGGATGACAATTGTCTCTAACTATAAGATTCTGCCACTGCTTTTTAATGGATCTCTTGTACAAAATTATTGTTTGTTTGTCTGATAAGTTGAACATTTTTTTTGCTATTGCCGTTTCTTTCTTTAGCTCATCACCCATATCTTTCAATTCTATACTTATATTTTCCACTTTTGCCAGTATATAATTTTGATAAATACTAAACGGTAAAGTCATTATGCAACGAATTAAAATGGTAGCAGTGACTATGGTGGCCCACCAGGATAAACCAGTAATTTCATGATAATAGATTAAACCATCTTGCATATAATGTACTAAACTACTATTTGATATGTTATTATACATTTCTTGCTGCCATTTAACAATACTTTCAGTGGAGAACTGCTTGTATCGACTATACTTTGGTGTAAATACTGGATTCTGAAAAATGTTGCTTTGAAAAGTCGTGTATTCATATTTTCTAAGTTCTTTACTGTTGCACATACAGCTATAGTATCTTAAGTTAGACGTTGGATTTCTCTTTAATATAAATTTGCTTGCTCTTAATGAATTCATATTGATAAATTAACAAGAAACTTATTTAAAAAGTCAACATATGTATAACCTCAAAAATCTAACAAAACTGACTGACTGTTGTATTTGTTGTTAGAGTAGGGCAAGACAAGAAATTCAGCCCATACAGTCTAGTCTGAAATAATATTTATTTTAATTTCACGTAACGATTGAAGTTTATATAATCAATCTCATGATGACAATACTATACCTATTATTTTTTACACTATTCTATTTTTTCCACTCAATGATATGACGCATGCACTACTAAAGATACTTTAACCAAGCTATCAATAAGAAACTAACTTACTCCTTCATTTAGAATATATTGTCCCAAAATACTTTCCTGTGGTAAAATTCTTGTCAAAAAAGGAGCTACGGGATATAATCGCATTGCCTCTTTGACGACATATTTAACATAAGTAATTTCTCTTTCTCGTATCTGTTTCTTTTCTTCGTCATTATTGGAAAGTAATAGCAATGTCCATAAAGTTGTATAAGATGTCTGTAAATAAATTCTTCATATTAGTATAAAAATCACGCTTCAATTTATCACGTAAAAACTATCACTTACCCATAGCCTTTTCTTTAACTATTACATACCTAACTGCTAGGCATCACAATATTTAATATTTTTTGTTACGAAATTAAAAAAGTTCATATTCTAATAACATGAACCAACAAATTAATCGAATATAACTTACGACTTGTTTATCTTATAAAGTAAGTAAATGTTTTATATCGCTGTCTTTTTTGCGCTTTTATTCGGATGTAAGGTAATCAGATCGAGTATGTTTAAAGACAATTCATTGGTATTTTAAATAATATTCTCGGTTGTTTATAATTTAACATCTCTTAACTGATCGTTGTAGGTAAAATGTTTGTCTGTGCATCGTATGTTACAACTATTACTTACCGTGTCTCCCGCTGCTATTACAAAATCCGCTACAATCCTGGTTATGGTGTCATCACTCATTTGTTCTTGACAAAGTTTCCATATAAGTCCTTTATTCTTTTCTTTTTTATTTAACATTTCTTGAACAATTTTTCGAGCTGTTTTTGGTTAAAATATTGTATGAGTTTATTTAAAAGTAACATTTTCTAAAAGCATCTCACGCATTTAAAATTCATGCTTGTTTGTTTATTAATGATAAAACTATATTATTGACGCAACTTAAACAAAAAAAAAACAATCCTTATTCATTCATGCTGTAAATACAATCAAGTAAAATGAACACCTAGCAAAAGCGATGTATCCACGCTTTCCTTAAAGTCTCTCCATGGTTTTAAATTTAACTGTTGGTACCAAGACACAGGCAGGGCATATAATGATGTAGTGGTATGAAATATTTGTTTTACAGCTTCAGAAAACTGTTTTAACAACTGTTCATAATGCATACTTGGTGTCATGCATTGTTCGCCCAATAGTACGTTAACTATTACTGAAAAAGAAAACTGTAATTGAATTGCAAATCTTTACTAAACATTAAACAAACATTCTTGATTCGGTACTTACCATCTGTAGACAGTCGATACAAATCTGATTCTAATTCAGGTATAAAAATACCATGAGTTTCAGTTTCTATCTTCCATTTTTTCACGAAAGTATTTATGGTTTGTTTGATAGGTTCCTCTAACCATTTTTCAGATCCCTCTTTTAATACGTGTCTGTTGACTATTCTGCGATTCGTTAACCATTCCTCATTATTCATGAAAAAAAGTCCTCGCTTAGCCCCATATAATCGTTCGTATAAGAGCCAAGGTTCAGGTAATAGATGTACAGGATATTTTCCCTCTAATTTTAAAAACAACGTCTTCATAAGGGTAGGGTCACTTATGAATACCAGTTTGGTATTACCTCCTAGTTTTTCATAAAATATGGGGCCTAAATGTTCATGTCTATTATCAATATATTCATGTAACCTGCAATTAAAAAAAAGAACTAAACAGGCAAACCCGTAAGAAGTCTGCAGATTTTGAAATATAATATATGTGCGGAACTTTTTGTGCACAAGTCCCACTCACTCTTGACCGCTTTTACTCTTGCGTGGAACAAAATTAAATTAAACGTTTTTTATAGGGTAAATTTATTACTTTATATTCGGGGGCACTATGCAGCACTTTCACAACAGATTTTGACGCGTAAATTCTCCGTCCTTACATTAATATGTCAGCCGGCGCACTTTAACTAGGCACAGTCTTTTGGCTTTACGGCCACTCTTAAACAAATCTGAAAACTTACTTAGATCCACTTCCTTTTGCTAATAATGCTAACTTCGTACCAATCAGTGGCAACTCTTTTGGGTGAGGCATAGCTTCTATATTTGATAAGAATTGTACGCTTTTAACGTTATATTTTCTTTGATAAGCTGTTGCATTGCGGAATACTGGTTGTCTAAGATGGTACATTTTTTTCTGTAACATAAATATTACAATAACATAGGTAATTTACTTCAACTATGAACAATGAATTATTCGATAGAACACTTTATTTATTATAAACACATATTTTTCGACTACGTAAAGATTGTTAACACGCAAAGTGCTTACCTGCTGGCAGGTAACTTGAAACTAAATTGTAAATTGAATACGAGATCTTGAAACACGAACCCTGAGCACTATTTCTCGGTAAAGATTAAAATAAACCTCCTCATGGACGGTGAAGCTTGTTGGGATATGTGAATTATGCATGTTTTTGACCGCTGTGGAATAATAATATGCTAATTTCGTTTTTCTTTTTATACCTGCATTTTGTATTTATCTACATAAATCACATGTTCTGGAGATTAATATGTGTTTATTTCTGTATTTTAAATAAATATTCTTTTTCTTCATTATTGGTTGAAATCCTTAATAAATATAAAAAGGTACAGTCAACAGTACCGCAGGATTTTCAAAACTGTTCTAGTTTTATAAACGATTTTAAACCTTACGACAACATTAGGAACTAAGTTCAAAATCGATTGTATATTTTTATTTTTGATATAAGTGAATGTGGATTTTGGTTCTTGATGTAACTTGATATGCTGCTATAAGGAAGAAAGATTTAATTGTTTGTTTGTTTATTTCTTTGTATCAAGTAGACTCCGAAACTACTGGACCATTTTTTTAAATTACTCAACTACTTACAATTTCTGCCACAGTTAAGTTGCTGAAACACTGCTAGTAATTTATATATTCTGGTTGTTTTGAATGAATGAAAATTATTTATTGTATACCAATGGGCAAAACAAACATATGGATATAATAAATGTATATGCACAATTGGCGACCTTATTACTAAAATGTAATTTCTTCAAATCAGCCTTGCGTACTGGACAAAATTAGGGATATCTGGTTAGATTAGGGTGGCTTATGGTGTCTTAAAACGTTTTTACAATATCATTTACCTACATATATTTAATGAATTAATTAAATATAATAGATATTCTGGTACGTAATGCGTTCCAAAGACGTGCAGCTTGGACAGTATGTTCTCCACACGGCGATGATATCGCGGCAATGTACGCGCGTACCGTTGTATCGCCGCGGTATCGACGCTATTCTTTCGCTCGCAGAGACGGCGCCTAAACGAATTATCAATGAATTTACTGACATACACTGAAATTAAGCCTTTTTTCGATGGATACTTTTGAATTAACTTTTTTTTTTCACTTCTCTAGCTCTAAAAGAATGTCGGCGTCATGAGAATTCCCAAAAAGCATTAAAAAGAATTGTATAGTAATATAGTAGGATATTTGACACTTCGGAAAATTATTTTTAATTGTAAATTTTTATCAGTGTAATTATAATGTAAGATTAAAAATAATTTTCAATATATTTCATGGGCAGCTTTTCTCTTTTCGATGCCAAAAATGCTGTTTATTTATTTACGAAGTAAACAAATAGTAATGCAGAAGAGAAATTTTATTTTATATTTTGTATTTGTATTGGCTCTGGTTTTGTTTATAATAATGAGCTGTGCATTTACAAATGCTTCGCAGCAGCGATTCAGGCGGCCACAGCGCCATCTATCGAAAGCAGAATAAGCAATGTATCTGACTGTGATTGTTCTAGTATGTTTATTACGTTTTCGAAGTTTGATGCTGCAACAAAATGATAAACAACGAAGTTATTTTGGTCCTGTAGGTCACGTGATAGGTTAAAGATCTTAAATTTAGAGTTTATTTTTTTTAACAGATAACAAAATTAATGAAAGTTTTGATGGCTTTTAAATCAGCCGTGTTGTTGAACAGTTCAAATGTCATAATGATTCAACTAGAAAACTAGACGTTGAAAGTCTGTTTTAAGCAGTTGGCTGTGACATACGGGAATATTTTTTTTCAGTGCAAAAATTTTTTTTGGTGATTCAGTATCAGTAATAGAACACTTTTCCATAATTAGTTTAAATATTTTTATCCCTATCGAAACGGTAGAATATGGACACATTTTTTAAAATAAAACTTCAATGAAAACGTCTTCTCTTACCCTAAGTATACCACCGTGCATCCCCGCCACGCCCGGTAGCCCCCCGCAACAGCCCCCGCCGCCCCGCCGGGACCGAGCGACGCGCGCGGTAGTGGGTGCAGTGAGACTCATACGCACGCGCCGATGTGACGTGACCTCGCGTTCCCGCGCACGCGACGCGCCCGCCGACGTGAGTTTTACGAGATGGTACGAGTTTATCTTCTGAGTGGTGAGAACCTACATAAGCGCAATTCGGAGAAAGTATGCGACGAAGAGCATACCTCGTATGCGGGCCTTTGGGATCCGTAACCTCGCGGCCCCTAATGCTTCGAACCATTTTAACAGACGAAGTCCCAGAGTCAGTACCCACGATGCGGCATGTCTCTTTGGTGTGAGCCAGCCTGCGGTATTGAAGCTGCTAAAAACAGCCGGACTCCATCCGTACCACTTTCAGCCGGTTCAGCAGTTCCATGACCTAGACCCAGTACCACGTCGAGCCTTATGTGAGTGGTTTCTACATCACCGCTATGCGAACGTCTTGTGGACGGATAAGGCATTGCTCACACGTGAGGGACTGTTTCTTATGGGAAGAAGTCAAACGCCGGGATGTAGAAGAGGCACAAAGTCTAGAAGACTTAACAATAAAAAATAATAACGCTTTTAGTGAAGTGATAAGTGACACTAGTGTTTTAAATAAATTAAATGACAGTTTAATGAAATGTGCACGTTTATGTCTGGACAGACGTGGAGTTCATTTTGAACAAATATTAAAATACATGGTAAGTAATTAGTTAGATATTTTTTTTGCGTACATTATTGTAAATACGTAGTTGATTCCAATTTTTTTAAATACGCCTTAACGCAGAAGTACCTATGTAACATCAGCATAACGTTAATATTTTTTTCTAGGTAACGAAAATGTTTCTCTTTTATTTTTTTGCATTTTGATGGCCTTAACCATAAAAGTATGAAGGGAAAATTGGAATTACTCTTAGAAATCACCTCAGATCATGGCATAAAATCTAGTTCGAATCTAACAAAATGAGCGGCCAGTGACCCGTGTAGATAGGTACCTACGAGTACATACTTACGGCGTCGAGCGAGCGCTCAGCTGACGCACGGCGTGCGGTGTCCATAAATTAAGGGTATGTTCCGATATACACTGCGAGCACTGCGCAGTGGTCTTTCTGCTGAAAAATCCGTTCCGTTATGGACTGCCAGTATACTGCTACAGTACCGTAGGGAAATTTATGACGTCATGAATTGCCGCCATATTTGTACTGTGAGCACTGGAGATTTCGAGGTGCAGTGCTCGCAGTGCTTTTGACCACGTGATCAGTCGAAACAGATAAAATAAAATACTAACGTTTATTATAAGATGGATTTGATTGATAAATAATTTTTTTATACAATTTTCCAATTTTATAATATTTTCTTTTGAAAAGAGGGAATCTTTATATTTATATTCACCTTGCATTAACAAATTTGAAAATGGCGCCAAAAATAGGATTAACAGTATACTGGACTGCGTTCCGTTTTAAAAAGTCACCAATATAACTAGCTATAAAGGAACGGGCTTCCAGTATACTAAATTGACGTCATACTGTTCAGTGGTCGCAGTGTATATCGGAACATACCCTAAGTTTTAAAATCTCGATCTTTGATAAGCGATAACTTTATTATTTATTATTAGAACATATCAAAATAAAAAATACGTGTTTGTTTAAATTACTTAAAGTTTATTTTCACAAAATCTTCGCAGTGGTTTTAAATTATTCCTGTATATACATATTTGACATGACAGCTTCCTCTACGTCTGACGTTACAGGCCGGTAAACAGAACCTATTTTGGTTGCAACGACAGGGCGTTTTCGTCGTTTTTTAATATTCCTAAAAAAAATTCAATTTCATTACGTTATTTTACTAAAGCTTCTTATATTTTGTCTGTAGATTCTAAAAAATAAACTTTATTAGATTATTATCTAACAAGATGACAACAACAAGCAACTTATTTTCAATAGTGTCAAATACCCATTGTTGAAGTTGGAATTAGAGACGGGCAAAGTGTCTCAGACCAGCGAGCAGATAGGGGAAACAACCCAGAGATTTTGGGAATAAATCTGATTTGCCTGATAAACGCCCAATAAATGCCCGATCACAGGGCATACATTATATTGTTTTAAGAAAAGATTGTTAATAAATAAATAATTATATTAATGGAATTAATATTTTAGTATAGATTGTTATTATGACATAAATTGCTCGAAATCAATCTATACTTATAAAAGAGCTTGTTCTGATTAATTAACTAATTCAACAAAGCCAAAACTATAAAAAACCATTGAAATTGGACCCATAATCTTTGGTCAGTAGAGTTATTTTGTGTAGTTTATACTAAAAGAGGATTTTTGTCAATTCAACCCTCAAAGGGGGGAAATAAGTGTTGAAAGTTTGTATAGAAGGGTGTTAGTTTTAAAGTTGGTCACATTACACTTTTTTAACAACTGCACAACCTTTAAAGGAGTAAAATAGGTGTTGCAAGTTTGTATGGAAGCCCATTATTGCTAAAGTTAGATACTTTATAATTTAGTCAATCTTTAAAAATTCATAATATATAAATAAATATTTTTCAGTAATTGTAGAAATTTTTCTCTTTAAGGGTGGAGTAGGGTTTGGAAGTTTGTATGGAAGTCCGTCGTTTCAAAGCTTTATGTCTACTGATTTTTTTATACTTTTTATTACTTTTTTTCGTATAATATATCGTGAAAACAATTTTTAGACAATAGCTCAGTCCTGTATTTAACAAAATCGGGTATTTTATTTATACCTGTTTCGATATACTATACGCTTCACTATCTATGACTTTTCAACTTCTCTTCACTCTTCTGTCCGAGGGTGACTTGTCAAAATTGCAAATTCAACCAAACTGTGTTTGTGTCGATAATTCAATTCATTGGGCTGATTTTTTTTGATATATTTCAGATAAATAATACAAGATGACTGTGAAAAACAAAACTGACGAACCAAAAAAAGAGAAAACTGAGACTGCAGCTGCTCAGAGTGATGATCTGGTAAATTGTCCTCAAACTATTTAACTTAAAATTTTCATTGTCGACTGATTCTAATTCTAAATACTTTTTTCAGTCGGAAGAAGATAAACGTCTTCAAGAAGAGTTGAATATGCTGGTTGAAAAACTTGTGGTATATAAATTATCTTTTTAAATTTCTGTAATGAGTTTCTAATGCCAAAATGCCTACATTCTAACCTATTTTTTATTGCAGGGGAATGATGTTGAGTTATACTTTCCAGCCTTACAAATGCTTAGTAACCTCATAAGGACGTCTACCACCTCTATGACCTCTGTTCCCAAACCATTGAAGTTTTTACGAGAACACTATCCTGCTTTAAAAGAAGTATATGAAAAGATCAAAGATGCAAAAACAAAAAAGTTTTGTGCTGATGTAGTGTCTGTGCTGGCCATGGGTGTGAGTGGATCACAGGTATACCAATTTCTTATATTTCAAAATTATATTTAGTTTTAGAATCATACATAGTATTTTTCTTCCTTCTAATGCAGAGGAAGAACTCTTAATATTTATATTTAATTTTATAGGATGCTACTGAAAAGCGAGAATGTCTGAAGTATTGTTTACTGGGCACTATGTCAAACGTTGGCGACTGGGGTCATGAGTATGTGCGGTAAGTTTTTAAATATGCTTAAAGCGGTGGTTCTTAATTGGTGATTCTTGGAAACATCCTAAGTGGTCTGCTAAGGTGAATTTTAATATGAATCCTTATCTCTTTATCTAAAAATTTAACTTTATTTACATTTAGATACTGTAAACTTAATAGACCAAGTGAGTAATCTCTGGGCCAGTTAGAAATTTATCAAATGGTCAAAATGTTAATAAAGAGCCACTCACTAAAGGAAAGCGTCACTGAACATCTAAATGAGAAACTTTTAAATTAGTGTTTAATTTATTTACTTTGCAGACAATTAGAAGGTGAAATAGCTGAGGAATGGAATGTTGAGAATATGGAAACACTATTGCCATTAGTACGTGATGTTGTTGCTTTTGATATGCAGCATTCTGCTGAAATCCAAGCCTGTGATCTACTCATGGAGATTGACAGATTGGATCTTTTAACACAACACATGGATCAGAGTAACTATCCACGTGTATGTCTTTATCTTATTGGGTAAGTTTGTAAGGTTAGATATTTCAAATTCTATGATGATAAAAAATTTAATCAAACAACTTTAGATAGTTTCATTGCGTTTCTTTTTTCTTTTATGACATTTTGGACCCTTAAAGTTGTTTCATTTAATGGATAGTGTGTGTGAAAATATAAGAAATCAACAGATGGAAAAATTGTTTTAAAGAAATGAATAGGTATACAACTTAGTTTAAATAAAGAATCTCCTAAAAATGTTTTGTCAATTAATGAAATTTATAATATTTTATTGTATCTGTGATTGTTGCAGATGCGCTAGTTATGTAGTAGAACCGGAATCAACACAAATTTTACAAGGTGTGTTGGATACATATTTGCGGTTTGGTGAATATCCTCGAGCCCTTCTTGTAGCTATGCAGCTACATGACAGAGTCAAATGTGAGGAAGTTTTCAATGCTTGCAATGATTCGTGAGTATACAAATAAATAATTTAATTGGAATTTTATTGTTCAATGTTATTGATACTTTAATTTAATGTATGCTAATTTTACTTATTTCAGCCTTATAAAGAAGCAATTATGCTACATGCTTGCTAGACAATATGTCCCATTAGAATTGGAAGATGAAGATCTACGCACTATTCTCCTTAATGCACACATCAATGATCATTTCCTTAGTCTAGGTAGAGAGGTGAGTGCCTAGTTTGTTTAGTTAGTCTCATTTTTGTACCTCTCAATTAAACCAACTCTGATTATTTTAATTATATTTGCAGCTTGATATCATGGAGCCTAAAACACCTGAGGAAGTGTACAAAACTTGGTTGGAGTCAGCTGGTTCAGCTCTCCGTCCATCTCTATTGTCTGAGCATCCTGTTGACTCTGCTAGACAAAATCTCTCTGCAACATTTGTCAATGCTTTTGTAAATGCTGGATTTGGACGTGACAAACTTGTTACTACAGATGATGGCAATAAATGGATGTATAAAAACAAGGACCATGGTAAGTCATTGAATAATTTATCTGGTGAACATTATGAATGCCATTTTATTGAAGAACAAGCAAAACATGGTTTTTTAAATGTATTTAATCCACAGGCATGCTATCTGCTGCTGCATCATTAGGAATGATTCACTTATGGGATGTAGATGGCGGTCTGACTCCAATTGACAAATACTTGTATACGTCAGATGAGCATATAAAAGCTGGTGCGTTACTAGCCCTGGGCCTTGTTAATTGTGGTGTACGCAACGAATGTGACCCAGCACTTGCTCTCCTCTCTGATTATGTTTTACATTCAAGTTCAAACCTCAGGATCGGCAGTGTTCTTGGTAAGTTTATTAAAGTTACTCATTTATCACAGTTAAAGTAAGTTGCACAAATGTCAATTAAGGTTTAATTAGCTCTAATGAATGTCTAATTCTTATGGTAATGTTGCCTTAACTGAAGAAAATTTTAATGGACATTTGGTCAACTGGCTGTGAGATTTATAATATTTTTGATGCCATCACAAATATCTTCTTTGAAAGCCATAAAACTATATTAATCACGCAGATTTTTTTTTTATCTGTACTGAGAAACTAACGCAACGCGTTTTCTAGAAATCAGTTCTTGTGTATAATAATGAACAGATAAATAAGAGCCAATTAATTAATGTCTATCAGGTCTGGGCATCGCGTATGCGGGCACGCAACGTGAAGATGTCCTATCGCACTTATTACCAGTACTTAGTGACACAGCTGCACCCGCTGAGATTTGCGCACTCGCGGCCATCTCCTGCGGCCTTATCGCCGTCGGTTCCTGCAACGGTGACGTGAGTAATTTTTTTTTTTGCATACCAAGAATAGATTGAAGTAATAAAAAATATTGGATACATATTATTTTTCCTTCAATTTAAACAAGAAATGGCTTAGATAATAGGCATTAAAGTTGAGGAGTGGGAGCTCACTATGTGACAGTTTTCTAAAAAAATCTCCAAAGGGTGACATCATGCAACATTTCAATTTTCCAAAAAATAAAAATACGTGTTTGATATTCGTTAATAAAAGCTATAAACAAACAAACATTTGTCTTTTTAGAGTTTTTTACTGTTTTCTTTTCCATACAGGTAACCTGTGCTATTATTCAACGTCTTATAGATGACAACAAGGACTTGCATTCTTCAACATACGCCCGATTCTTACATTTGGGTCTTGGGTTATGTTTCTTAGGTAATAAAACATTCCTTTTATATTTATTTGGTGATCGTATATACGACCTCCGTAGCAGAGTGGTTTCTGAAGTGCCAGCTTCAATCCCTATCTGGTCAATATAGAAAATTGACTTTTTTGTATTGTCTTGAGTCTTTGCGTTGTGGTACCTTAGTTGTCTCAGATACTCCATAATACGGAAGTTTTATCTATTCATATTGTAATCTTAGCAATGTATGTGATATTGTCTAATATTTATATATATATGTGATGGTTACTAAAATGTACTGTTTTTTTTTATAGGTTGTAAGGAACGCACTGAAGCCACTATGGCCGCTCTGGAAGTACTACCTGAACCACAACAATCGCTTTGCCAGACAACCCTCTCGATGTGCGCGTACGCGGGCACTGGCGATGTTCTTGTCGTCCAACAAATGTTGCACATCTGCTCCAAACATTATGAAACTGATGTAAGTATAAAGCTATGAAACTAATATGCTTAATTTGTAGTCAATAATGTTGTACTAGCATTCCGTCAGCGGCTTCGCCTGCATGGGCCTTAGGGAATGTTTATTAGGATATCAGATCATATCATGGGCACGAATATAATTGCAATGACAAATTGAATAGTGAACAATGGTTACTATGGTAACATTTTAATTTCCTATACAAACTTCCACTCTCATTTTCATCCCTTTATTTGATGTTTTTCAGGATAAAATATAGCCTATGTTCACCGCATATGATATAGCTTCCTGTAGGTGAAATAATTTCTAAACTCAGTCCAGTAATTTTGGAGCCCATTTCGCAAACAAACAAACAAATCTTTCCTCTTTTTAATATTAGAATAGATTACATTATCTTTACAAAAACTATGTTACTTAACTTGCATACTTACACTAACTTGCATTTTTATTTAAATGAATATAAGTTAGTGTAAATATGTAAGGTTGTCAGTTTTTGTATATATATAAGTTGTGTAATATGTATGTGACTTTCAAGGCTGTCGATTAGAAGATATTCGTCGAAGTTCAAATTTAGGATTGTGTGGTTGCAATTCCGATGATATACTGTTGCTTGATTACTTTTTTGTTTCACGGTGGCTCTGGCCATTAAAACGTGATGAGTGTTTTATCAGCAATGTTTGTCACATAGGCAACTAAAATCAACCGATATTTTGTATACTGACTTTTAACGTATTGCCTTTAGATTTCCGTTATTTTTCAAATTTATGTGCACTTAGGTCATAGCAGTCCTTTTAATTGTTTTTTAATTATTTTAAATTAGAATGAGCAATCGTCCACTGAAGACACTGCATTCAAGAAGACAGACAAAAAAGAAGCCAAGGAAGGAACCAGCTCTGGGTCTACCAGCAAGGACGATAAAAATAAAAGTACATGATTTCTAATAATTTAGTATTGCAATTGAGTAATTTATATGTTGAAAATGATTTTAAAGCATTTTGGTTTCTAAGAAATTTAAAAAAAAATCAGTTGAGAAATAACTTTTTACATAGTAATGAAAGTTTCACAAACTGATTCAAGAAAGCACGAATTCGATGTTTAAAATAACCTATGTTATGTACCCCATGGCATGAAAAATAAATCAACAATTACAAAAAAAATCTAATTAGGTTTATTGTACTGTATTTTCGTTTATAATCTTCAGTACTGTACAGCTACCTCTTGAGATTACTACAGAGGTATTTAATTTGATTTTCATGAAAGAAGAGCAAAATAAAACACACATTATCAAAGACAACCTCAAATTGTATCGGTTCAAAAACTATGAAATGGGCTTTCGTCTGGTTCTCATTTATGAAAGGTGGAAGTTTAGAAGAAAATTCTTAGGGAAAGTTAAGTATTATTTGATATAGATTTGTTGATGAAGTTGATTGGGAGCTTGCTACCTCTTATTTGCTCCCATGCGAAGCCGGGGGCATTATTTGTTAATATATTATTTAAATTTCTTTGTTTAATATTTTGAATTTTTGAACAAAAAATTACAGAACAGCAATAATATCGAAACTTTAAACTGGAATTATTGTTTTACGTCATGCCGCAATCGTACTGCCTTAGAACTTAGAATTATAGGTAATCTAGTCCCTCTATACGATCTTTGCTTCTATTATGATAACAATTATTCTTGCACGCAGAATCGCAAATGGCCTTTGTGGGCATTACGATTCCTTCCATCGGTATTAAGTCTTAAATCTTTTCACAGTGAAGTTCAAAATAAATCGCTGATATTTAACCAATTTTTTTTTTGTAAATTATAGGCAAATCATCGAAGGACAGTAAGAACAAAGAGAAAGACAAGGAAAAGGAGGCCAACAAGGAATTGTCGTCGGTTCAAGCAGTAGCTACGCTGGGCGTGGCGGTGATAGCGCTCGCTGAGGAAACGGGCGCCGAGATGTGCACGCGTATCTTCGGACAACTGGTCAGTTTTCTACTTATTATTATTTGTGACAAAAAAAAACCCAAAAAATTCATTTCTGATAAGACCCAGTAGACAGACGGACATCGAAATGTATTGTTACTTTTTCCCCATCAATTAAATAATACTATATTATAAAGTTATTGACTTGTGTAAATTCAGTGAGAATAAGTGAATAATAACATTAGTGATAAGCGGATAATTACAATCAAGGGCATATAAGGAGTTTAGAATCCTTACATCAACTCAAATGTTACAGATTTAGATATAAAAAATTACTACCACCTTTGTAATACAAATAAATGGGCCGATCGTTATTTTAAATTAAGAGGAGTCCCTTAATTTAAAATAACTCTTCGGGTCCATAAACACCTTAGGACTCTTAAACAAAGTTTGAAAGACTCCTCTAAAACTTTGCTTGAGAGTCCCAAGGGGTTTATTGACCCGAAGAGGTTTGGACACTACAAAAAAATATATAATTTTTTCGTTTATAAATTAGTTTTTTATTTTTTTATTTAGGGTCGCTATGGGGAGCCGGCTGTGCGTCGCGCCGTACCACTGGCTATTGCACTATGCTCCATCTCGAATCCTCAACTGGCAGTTATCGATGTCCTGAACAAATATTCGCACGACTCCGATAATGACGTCGCATACAACGCTATATTCGCCATGGGTCTTGTTGGAGCTGGTACCAATAATGCCAGGTAATTATTTGTTTTAAACTATATATTGGCGATTTCGCGGGAAATTTTGACAAATAAATTTATTTTTATATTTTAACTTAGAGTGACTTATATTATATACCTATATTTTATTTTTACTTCCGGGTGATCTGTCAAGTGACGAATCGTTATTTGAGCTCCCACGCGTTTTAATAGAAAATTGAGTGTAAAATCATCTGCTTACCGCAAAAACACCATAAAAGTGTGGACTAAAGCTAGTGGCAAGTAAATCACGAGTAAAACGGTGGCAAAAAACTGTGCAAAGTGGTATAAAACAGTGCAAAACACCAACTAACCTAACAAATATAAACATAAGCTCATATAGACAACACGGTGGATTGGACAGGTTAAACAACATCACAACAAAAAACTTCCGGCATTCTGACACTTAACTGACTGAGCTGCCATAACCATAGACAATAAAAAAAAAAAAAAAAAAAATTGCCAATCGCAGTCCAGTGTTGCTGCTACCAAAAATATCCTACGAATTTGGTAGGTAGGTACCTATCTAGTAAATTTAACGACCATGGAGAAACAAATACAATTATTGCTAGAAAAAGTGGAAAACATAAATACAAATATGAACGATATGAAAGAAGATTTCAGACGCCAAATGAATGCTCAAACAGAGAAGATCACGAACGATTTAGCTTCAACAATTGATAAAAAGCTTAAACCAATTCTAGAAGAAAACAAAGTGCTGAAAAATGAAGTAGCAACTCTTAAAAACAAAGTTCGAAGCCTAGAAAAGGAATCGAGAAAGAATAATATTATCCTCCACGGGATCAAAGAATCTGAAGGAAACAGTTACGACCTTCAAGTTTTGGTGATTGACACGTTTAATGCCGTAAGCAAAACTGCAAATTTAGATCCTTTCGACAAATGGGAGCTAAGCGACGCCTATAGACTGGGCAAAAAACAAGACAATAAACAAAGACCGATACTGATAAAACTTACGCTTTCATGGAGGCGATTGGAAATTTTAAAACATAACAAACAATTCCCCACCGGTATTTATGTCACAGAAGATTACCCAAAAGATGTCCTGAAAACCAGAGAAGATCTAAAAATCAAACTGAAAGAAGAACTCAAGAAGGGGAACAAGGCTGTGATTCGATATGACCAACTAATAATTAAAGGGAAGGCTGACTCAAACATCACTAAAGAGAAAAGGAAAAGGTCACCCTCTAAAACACCCACACATACAACCACCAACGAAGAAATACCACAGAAGGCACCAAGCAAAATAAACAAAACAAACGCTTTTGAATTTATGAATCGCCCAAGGACAACGTCACAATCAACCACAAGCACACAAAGGGACCCCCGGAAACGCATCAAAACAGAAAAGACCACAACAACCAAAAACTATCTTTCCCCAAGCCGGTCAGCGGTCACCATGGGGAAATACGACCGCGACCCTCCAGTGAAACAGAAACATCACCAGAAGCAACACCAACAACAAAAACAACAAGAATACATTAGAAATAAAACCACACTGAACATTTGCACCTACAACGTACGGTCTCTGGCATCAACAGAGAGGTACCTAGAACTAAACAACGCGCTAGCACACATTAATCATGACATAATAGGATTAAGCGAAGTCAGAAGGATGGGTTGCAACATCGAGGAAAATGAAAACTATATCTTCTGCTACATCGGGCAAACAAAGGGCCTGTATGGAGTGGGATTCCTAATTAAAAGGAAGCTAAAAAATCAAATAAGAAACTTCATAGGAATCTCAGAAAGAGTAGCGCTTCTGCAACTTAAGTTTGAAGAGTTAGATCTATCAATAATACAAGCATACGCGCCCACTGAAAAATCAAATAAAATAGAAGTCCAGAAATTTTACGACGACATAAAAGAAGCACACAACATAGCTGACAACAAAGTAATCGTAATGGGCGACTTCAACTCAAAAGTAGGACATCCAAAGAAGGAAGAAAAGATTATCATGGGCAACTACGGCTATGGAGAACGCAACGAATGAGGAGAAGAATTAATTGACTACGCACTAGAATACAACCTATCTATAATGAATACTTTCTTCAAAAAAAGGCCAAACAGAAAATGGACGTGGATATCACCAGATCAGAAAACAAGGAATGAAATAGACTTTATAATGACCAATAATCCTAAAATGATTACAAATTACGAAGTAATGAGCAAGGTGATGTTCCCTTCTGACCATAGATTACTGAGAGCAACCTTCGTCTTGAATCACCCTATAAAAAGCAGAAAAAACTTCACTTCACTGCCGAGAACTATCAAGTCCGAAGAAGAGGCACAAAACTACTTCAGATGCTTGACAAGGAAATTAGAAAGTATATCAGAAAAATCAAATGTTCAGGAATATTACAAAAAAATAGAGGAATCAATACAAATCAGCATAAAACAAAGAACCGAGTCGCACCACAAAAAAACTAACAAAATCTTCAGTGAAAATACAATACGATTAATCAAAGAACGTACCGAACTAATGTCTACAAAGAAAAAAGACCCTGGACAGAAAAAGAAGCTTAGCAACCTGTTTAAAGAAACAAGGAACTCTATTAAAAGGGACTACAGCAAACATAGACATGAAATAATAACAAGAAATTTAAGAAAATACAGAAGCACCAAAAGAGCCATAAAGGAACTAAGTCTAAGCAAATCATGGATACAAAAACTAGAAACCAACAAAGAAGAAACAAAGTCAAGAAAAGACGTAATAGACAACGCAACTAAATTTTATAAGGAATTATATAGTAAAAATGAAAACAATATAGTAGAAGCAACAGACGAGACATTCAACACAAGCTCTATAGTGAAGCCAATTGAAGAAAGAGAAGTATTTGAACATATAAGACTGCTTAAAGCCGAAAAAAGCCCTGGCCCAGACGGTTTGTCAAATGAAACCCTTAAACTAGGTGCGCCAATTCTACTTCACCACCTAACTCACTTATTCAATATGATACTAGACTCAGAAACTGTACCAGAACAATGGTGTACATCAGACATCATACTGCTTTATAAAAAAGGCAATCCTATGGACATCGGAAACTACAGACCAATTAGTCTACTGGCGAGTATCTACAAACTCTTTTCTTCAATACTATTAAATAGAATAGCTAAAACAATAGATGAATCACAACCGAAGGAGCAGGCAGGATTCAGGGCAGGTTTCAGCACAACCGACCACATTCAAACATTGGACCAAATCATGGAAAAATATAAAGAATTCAGCAGAAACCTATATGTCGCCTTCATCGACTACAGCAAGGCATTTGACAGCATCAGCCACAGCGCAATATGGAACGCCCTATCACAGCTAAATGTCGAACAAAAATACATCAACATCTTAAAAAACATATACGTAAAAAGTACGAGTCGAATAAAACTTGAAACAAAAGGCGACGAAATAAAAATCGAGAGAGGGGTCCGACAAGGCGATCCCCTATCACCCAAAATCTTTATTGCTGTCCTAGAATGCATATTCCGTAATCTTAACTGGGAAAAAAAGGGCATAAGCCTAGAAGGCTGTAAGCTCAATCATTTGCGTTTTGCGGATGACATAGTCCTAATGGCCGAAACTGCCAAAGAACTTGAGGAGCTTATACAACAATTAAACAATGAAAGTATAAAGGTTGGCCTACATATGAACGCCTCAAAAACAAAAATCATGACCAACAGCCACCAAGTACCAATTAAGTTAGAAGGAAAAAATATAGACTATGTCAACCAATACATATACTTGGGGAAGCAAATGTCATTTTCAAAGTCGAACAATGTGGAAGAGGTAGAGAGAAGAATAGGCATAACATGGAGAAGATTCTGGTCACTGAAAGAAATCTTGAAAGGAAACTATAACATAAACCTAAAAAAGATAGTTCTTGATACATGCATTCTGCCCAGCTTGCTCTATGGCTGCCAAACGTGGACCCTCACAGACAAAATAAAAAGGAAAATAAGAACCACCCAAAGAGCCATGGAAAGAAGCATTCTTAAAATAAAAAAAGTACACAAAATAAGAAGCGAAACCATAAGAGAGCGGACTGGAGTTCGGGATGCACTTACCATGGCCCTTAAACTAAAATGGAAATGGGCTGGACATGTGGCACGCTACAAAGATAAAAGATGGACACTAATAGCAACCAGGTGGAGAGGTCCCACAGGGAAAAGAAATGTAGGAAGACCGTTTAAGAGATGGAAGGATGACATAGTGGAAACAGCAGGGAAAGACTGGCTGCTCAAGGCAAAGGACAGAGGAAAATGGGACAAGCTGGAGGAGGCCTTCACCCTAAGAGGGGTCCAACTTAAAGATTGACTTGACTAACACTACTAACAACTAGTCTATAGATATACTACTAACAATCTTACTAACGACATTTAGATTGTAAAGAAAATAAGATACCAAGTTGGAAATAAACGGCTTTATTATTTTATTATTATATCTATATATATAAACGGCTTGACCGATTCTCATGAAATTTTGTGAGCATATTGAGTAGGTCTGATTATCAGCCAACATCTATTTTTCATACCCCTTAGTGATAAGGGTTGTCCACCCTTAACATTATTTGTCTACACTAGAAATTACTTCGAAATAATTTATATGGCAAACCAACGTTTGCCGGGTCAGCTAGTTTATATATATATACATATATATACTAGCTGACCCGGCGAACTTCGTACTGCCATATTTTATTTCTCTAATCGCAACTGAGGAAATAAAACCCTTCCGGTAAAATAAACACTTGTTTAAGAAACAATTAATGAGTACATTTTATTCGTTTACATTCACGACATAAGCGAATAATTGAGATGATAACTATAAGTTAGACCAAAATACGGGTACATGTGAAATTTGATTGAAATCGGTTCAGTAGTATTGGAGTTTATTGGCAACATACATCATGACATAAAATTTTTATATATATAAGATATATATAGTTATCAACGCCCGTATTGATGTGTGCGTGTGATGTGGTGCAGACTGGCGACGATGTTGCGCGCACTGGCCCTGTACCACGGCAAGTCGCCGGTGCACCTGTTCATGGTGCGCCTGGCGCAGGGGCTGTGCCACGCGGGCAAGGGCACCGTCACGCTGTGCCCCGCGCACGCGGACCGCCGCCTGCTCAACCAGCCCGCCCTCGCGGGGCTGCTGGTCGTGCTCACCGCCTTCCTAGACTGCAAGACCAGTGAGTACAACGAACAGGTGGCCGGCGGGAATAAACCTAATGCCGGGTTTTTTTTTTAATAGACTGACTGACTTTGTCTGTCTGTCCATTAAGGTTTAATGAGGACTTTAAGATCTTGTTTCCATTATTATTAAATTATTATGTTATCATTATAAGACCATCGTTTTTTTCCCTTCTCTATTATGATATATTAATATGGTAATGACATGTTTTTTGTGAATGTCATTACTTCTATTAGAGCTGGTGAGTTTCTTGCTTGTTCTTCTTATCAGTCAAAAGACGTCCTGAACGAGTGGTAGGGAAGAAAATGTTGGACGATTCAAAAGTACTTTTGAGAAGTCTATTTGAATAAATATTATTTTGGGTTTGACTTTGACTCATATGAATATTCTATATTTGAAAGTTTGTATTGATAATGTCGCTTTAAACTAATGGCAATTTTACGTTTGCTTACGCTGTATGCCAATTACTTGACGTTGTATGCCAATCGTTTCCGAACTATGTTACACAATTATCCTCCTGATTGGGAATTTCCTGTGTTTTTCCCACTTTTGGGTTTTCCTCTAGTAACTCACGTTGAGGACCACACACTGCTCTACGATTGAGCAAGTTTGATTTGGCAACTTTTTTCATATTGCGCTGAGGAATATATATATATTTAGATGTATTTCATGTATATCTATAAAATAAAAATATTTTAAAAAGCCGTCTCCACCCCTATTCTGAAACGTTGTGCTTATACATTTATTATGATATTCTATTTTGTTCTATTCTAATTACTGAGCCATTGTAATGCGTGGTGTTTACTATTATTTATATACTAATATTAGTTATCGAGGAAAGATTTGATTGTTTATCTGCATTTAATAGCCTCCGAAAATACTGGGCCAATTAAAAAAAAATATTTCACCTAGGGAAGCTATATACATTATACGTAGGCTATAATTAATACTAGCGATGTCGTGGGAAAACAGCTAATCTTAACATTAAATGCTATAAACTTTAAATTTTATTCAATTTGGACAATGAAATGCAAATTGAAGACGGCGTCTTTCGTTATTAGAAGAAAATTTCCAAATAAAATGGCTGTCATTCATACTAGAACAAGCAAATTATCAATGAAAATTTAAATTGAATGAAGTATGTATACTTTTTGCTTTCTTCCTAACTGAATGTTATAAATCATGTTTGTTCCTTGCAGTTATCCTCGGCAAGTCACATTATTTACTGTACGTACTCGCCACGGCAATGCAACCCCGTTGGCTCGTCACTCTCGATGAGAATCTCCAGCCTCTCAATGTCAGCGTGCGTGTTGGCCAGGTAAATATTATACGTATATAAAAATTCATTTAAATGTTAGTAATATTTTGAAAAGGATAGTTTTGAGGAATTTAGAATCTGGGGGAAGTCGAGAAACATCTTTTCGTGACATGTTTATTGTAGTGTTATCAGAGGGATTTTATTTATTTGTAGTCATAAAAACGCCAGGTTACAGTGCCTTGTAACCTGAATTACAAGGTCTTTACGCCGTTAGCACACCGATGTATTCGCTTGCGAAAGCGAAACATGTGCGTCTGTGTAATGACGCTTTTCGCAGTTGCCTGCGAAACAGTACTGACAAGTAGTCGTTATTTCGTTTTCGCATACGATTGCATATGTGTACTAACAGCCCATACAAAAAATAGTAAAACCATTAAAAAACCTAGATAGAGACAGCTCACCTCCCATATTTTTAGAAAATTTTTGTTCTATTGGTATAATAAAATAGTTTACTTTATCGACTGGCACATTCTGAACGATATCCTTTTAAAAATTAGAAAAAATTATATATAACAAATATAACAAAAAAATTTTTTTGTTATATTGTATTATGAAATACAATATAACAAAAAAAATTATATGACAAGAACCGGCTTCATATATTTTTTTATACAGGCTGTAGACGTGATCGGTAAGGCTGGTACTCCCAAGACTATAGCCGGCTCGCACACTCACACCACACCAGTGTTGCTGTCATTCGGTGAACGAGCCGAACTTGCTACAGACGAGTACATCCCTCTGTCACCGGTCATGGAAGGATTCGTCATATTGAAGAAAAACGAGGACAGCGTCATGGCGTCCGTTCAATAAATACCTGCATTCATTTAAGCTTCATTTAACATAATGTATTATTATTATTCTCAACTTAATACACAATAAAATATATATATTACGTTTTATTTTTATGTTCTCGTAGACATATTTATAATCAAATTCCTAATCAAGTTATTTTGAGATATTTCTATAATATGAGAGAAGAAGCAATCAATTTCTCTAATCAAGTCATGGGTTCACTTAGCAAAGGTTTTGTTTAGAATTAATAACATATTAGAGGTCATCTTTGGTTACATTTTATACCACTGCTAACCTAAAAAAAGGGGAGAAAGCTGCTCGTTGCTTCAAGGACCGGTTAATATTGTATTTAGTCTTGTATAGTTCCTTGACGAACGCTGCCATAGACGAACTACTCAAACCAGTTACCAGATTGGTTGTCTATCTATGTGTAAAGACCTCTATCTAAGTACGCTTAATAACGTTTTCAGGGTTATTCCCAGTCCTAAGATCGGGACGCCGATTGGTAAAAGTAGTGGGTTTTTTTTCCAAATTAATGGGTTTAGTAGGAAGATCCCGCTCTTATACTTTTTTAACTTAGAAATACGAAACTTTATCACTTATTGTTATTATGATGGAAGTTGGCTAAGAAATGATTTTGGAAAAAAAACATACTCTTAAATGTGAAGTATTAAAAAAATTGCGGTGTGAAGTCGCAGGTAGAAAGCTAGTAAAATAAAAAGAATAGAAACAACAAAACAAAAGAACATGTAGTAACAGTAGTGTAATGAAGGTAGAATACAAAACGTTTATTTACTTTATGTGAACTACAAGGCGGGTAGGAAAAAACGTCAACAAAATTAACCACCGCCTTAGTTAGACTTCCAGTTTCTTTAATTTCTTCCATGGGTAAAACGACAGTGAAACTTAACACGTTCCCTATAATATTACTATACTACAATGTTTGAACTGTGGCAATGCGTTGTCGCTTTATTTGGATTTATTACATTGCTACTAACAGGGTATGTAAAACTTTATTTGATTTATATATTTTTGTGAACCCACCTCAAGACCTCATGTGAACCGCAACAAATACGAATGTATTCTAAAAGAGAAAATTCAAGTATAATACTATAAAATAGGCTATTAAATGATGGTGGCATCAATCAGTAATGTAATATACCTACTTAATATTTTACCAGGTTTGTCCTCACATCACCATTTCTGGCATATTGTCATGATAAAAAGGAGAATACAATAGAAAGCTCATCTAAAATATCATGGAACAGAATGGAGAACGACAGTGCAATTGATATCACTGCATCTTTATCACCAACACCAGCATATTATAGTTATTCAGTTTCCATTTAACAACAGTCCTATTATTATACAAATAAATTAATAATTTATATTAAAAAAATATCTTATAAAATAATTCTTTATTAGTAAACAATTTAATAACTTCAATGGTTGTCTTTAGTTTCATTTTTATTTTCTTCCACTTTTTCCTCATCTTCATTACTGCTGTTATCATCGGATTGTGATGAACCTGCTTGCTCCTTTTTATCACATTCGGAAAGTTTTCTTTTCATTTTTGCATTCTTTTTTTTCTTTAACCGCTTCGCCCTTTTCTTTGCGGTCTTTTCTTCAGCAAGTTTTCTATTTTCCTCTATTTTCATATGATACTCTTCATCCAGCTTTTCCTATAAAATCAAATTATAAAAATTTCAATGAAACTTTATAACTTGGTAATGACCAAAGTAGTGAGAAACTAGGCACTAGAACATTAGGGTAAAACTGAAAGAACAATTGTATGTTGGTACTAATGAATATATTATAGTAGAACCCGATTAATATGATTACACTTAAAACAATTTCTCACGTGATACGCCATTTTGCGTCAGTGCTTGCTACTCACATATTTCAACTGAGACCAATTACTGAATAATGTGATATATATTTTTAAACAGTATTAATAATGAAAAAATGTTTAAAAATTGACCAGCCCCATGTATGTCGAGTTGGGAATCGAACCCATGATCTTTGGCAATCCGGGCAACTGCTCTGAGCATTAAATAATTTTAAGCATTTCATCATTAATAAGATTTTCCAGAAATTGTGAAACCAAAATTAATAAAATATAGATTTATGGAATCTTAAAAAATCATCATACTAAAACATAACAGTCCATTACAGAATAAAGGGCCTTCTCCACATTAAATGACTGAATCCAAAAATAAAGCTGTTTTAAATATATACTTCCAACTAAAATAAAACAATTGGTTTTTCACTGGTTTTTGTTTACACATGACATGTAACTCGTAATGTTAAGACATCGTAAATTAAATTATAAAGATTAGGTAATTTTCAAATAAATACTATATAATTAAATTGCTGAATTCTATCTAAATTGCTTTGAATGTGTTATATAGTCTCGAAATTGAAAATAATTATAATGTTGTCTTGATCTGCCTGCCGGTGGTAGCTAAGCAATGGTTTGTTAGTAAACATTCTTTATCAAATTTGGTGTGGGGGATACTCTAGAACTATGGCATTTATATCTGTTAGATGATTACTAACAGTGTTAAAAAATTATAAATATCTCTAAAGATAATAATAATACACTTAAATTTGTTTATTTCATAACATAAAAATAGAAAGTATATGTCATATTGGACATTTAAGGTAGCTGGTATTTATGGAAACTCAGAAAGATCCTATCATAAATGCATGTTGGTTTATTTAATATTCACATTTATTTTCAAATGTCTAATAAATAGAAAAAAAGGTACCTTTTCGCTTTTTTCTTGAATAAATTTTTGACGTGCATACTCTTTTCTTCTTAGATGTCTATACACATGAAACTCCCCAGAGCCTGCTCCTGCACTCGAACCCATAACATTCCGCACAAAATCTGGAGGTGGTGCCAATGATTTCAGTCGTGGCGGTTCTGGTAGAACCACTGGCTTATGCTACATGACATAAATAAATAAATCAATTGAATGCTTGGATGGGAACATGTAGAAAATGAAATTAAAAAAAGAAAGAAAATCGACACTTACTGGATTTTTCATTAGCTTCTCAAGCTTTAACCTTTGTAAATCTGTAGCATTTTTTATAACAATAGGTATCTTTTCGTCAGATTTTGATTCTTTATCGCTCATTTTCAAAAGTTTAAGCGGATATAACTAAAATAGTATTTATTAAAATACCATGACACCTCCGAAAAACAACAACACTTTTGTGACTTTTTCTTTTTTAATTAATGGCTTATCTGCGCATTTCGCACAATTCTGCCAATGTCAAGTAAATAAATTAATGTTTACATGTAAATTGAAATTAATGAAAGATGTGTGATTGTCGACTTAATCCACTTTTCTGGACCACAGACTAGTAAGGAGATACTACGTTTCAGGACCATCCTTAGATACAAAGCACGGGGGGGACACTCCCTTAGTAGCCATAATTTTGCAAAGATAGTAGCGACATCCATTTTATTTCCCCAAAACTATTATGAGTACTACCAGGTGTGCATAAACAATACTAGATGACGCTACACGCACTCTCGAAAAGACGAAATTTTTTACGTATTTGGATCAATTTGTCAAAATCAATATGGCGATTACTGTGCTCTTGCGTTCATATATTTGTATTTTTTCTTCGTCATTTTGTTCTAGTGGCTACAAAACCTCAAGTTAAGTGTGTCGAGTTGAGATTTATTCTTCTCCACCTTACCGTGTATTTGTGCTGTGGATTTCTGTAGTTTCAGAACTTTATCGCGACAGGACGCTTATTTAAGTTTGTTTTGTGTTAAGATTATTATTGTCGTAATGCCCCGACTTTGTTCTTTCGGACGACACCTAGTGGTAAGCATAATAATAATCTATTAAACTTCAATGCAGCTAACTCACATCATGTTTTTAATTGACTTTAACAATGAGGTTATCAATTATTTATTTTCCTTCTTATCAACACACTAACGAAACAAAAATAACCAATAAGTTTCTATAACACACCGTATAAAGTGGAAAGAATGAGATAATAACTATATAATGGCTATATCTTTAATGTTTGATGTCACTATGCACTCATTCCCAAAACCTGAAGTTTTCTGAACGTTTCAAAGCTTGGGTTACATTGGTTGGTGGAAAACTGGAAACAGAAGGAAAAAGTTTGCGATATTCATTTTATACACAGACATACAAGTCGTTTAAGACGTTTGAATGCTTTGGCTGTCCCATCAGAGAATTAACAGGGTATGTATGTTTATTTTGAAATACAGTAAAAGTTTAGAAATCGCTTTAGGCACAAATCTTAGGAATAACATAAAAATGTGTAATGAAACAAACATTATGAAACAATGGGAATAAAAAAAGGATGGGCTGTTTTGACAAACTCCATATAGGTGCAGATGTGCTTGTGTGTCATGTGAACATTAATTAGTATGGCCCCGATTGACAGATTTAAAATCTAGACTTTAACAATGAGGTTATCAATTATTTATTTTCCTTCTTATTTTCTTATCAACACACTAACGAAACAAAAATAACCAATAAGTTTCTATAACACACCGTATAAAGTGGAAAGAATGAGATAATAACTATATAATGGCTATATCTTTAATGTCTATAATATTGCCATGACTTCCTGTTTCAGATGTCACTATGCACTCATTCCCAAACCCTGAAGTTTCCTGAATGTTTCAAAGCTTGGGTTACATTGGTTGGTGGAAAACTGGAAACAAAAAGAAAAAGTTTGCGATATTCATTTTATAGACAGACATACAAGTCGTTTTAGACGTTTGAATGCTTTGGCTGTCCCATCAGTGCATTAACAGGGTATGTATGTTTATTTTGAAATACAGTAAAAGTTTAGAAATCGCTTAGGCACAAATCTTGGGAATAACATAAAAATGTGTAATGAAACAAACATTATGAAACAATGGGAATAAAAAAAGGATGGGCTATGTTTTGACAAACTCCATATAGGTGCAGATGTGCTTGTGTGTCATGTGAACATTAATTAGTATGGCCCCGATTGACAGATTTAAAATCTAGACTTTAACAATGAGGTTATCAATTATTTATTTTCCTTCTTATTTTCTTATCAACACACTAACGAAACAAAAATAACCAATAAGTTTCTATAACACACCGTATAAAGTGGAAAGAATGAGATAATAACTATATAATGGCTATATCTTTAATGTCTATAATATTGCCATGACTTCCTGTTTCAGATGTCACTATGCACTCATTCCCAAACCCTGAAGTTTCCTGAATGTTTCAAAGCTTGGGTTACATTGGTTGGTGGAAAACTGGAAACAAAAAGAAAAAGTTTGCGATATTCATTTTATAGACAGACATACAAGTCGTTTTAGACGTTTGAATGCTTTGGCTGTCCCATCAGTGCATTAACAGGGTATGTATGTTTATTTTGAAATACAGTAAAAGTTTAGAAATCGCTTAGGCACAAATCTTGGGAATAACATAAAAATGTGTAATGAAACAAACATTATGAAACAATGGGAATAAAAAAAGGATGGGCTATGTTTTGACAAACTCCATATAGGTGCAGATGTGCTTGTGTGTCATGTGAACATTAATTAGTATGACCCCGATTGACAGATTTAAAATCTAGACGGCAATCCCTGAAAGCGGTTGGCTTATTTAATATATGTCACAGTGAGTATGACTGTACTGAATTAATAAATAAAATTAATTATTTAGTACCTAAGCGGGCGCAAACGAGCTCCCTGCGTAAACACTAACTGTTTGCTATATTTAAATTTTGTACAAAAACAGGCAAGAGATCTCCAGTGCATTGAGTAGCAAAATTTTATAACAATGGTTTACATGAAATCGACATATTCAATTTAAACAAAACAAAATTCAAAGAGTTAGTTAAGAAAGAATAAGTGAACTAAATTGCAATGCCATATCATCATAAAGTAATATATATTATCATATTTGTAACAGTTTTGTTTGTGTAGTGTTCATTTTTCTTAGTAAGTGTTTAAGCTGATAACATATGCAACTTTCAACTACTCATAGTAACTTGTAGTTAACGTTGCTTTTGCAATTATAAAACTGTGTACATCATATCATAAATTGGAATGCTATTGTAAAACTGTTTGTTGACCCAAATAAACAAAACAAAAAAAAAACTCCAAATCTATGTTGGCTTAGTAATAGTAACAGGACAAATTATAATGTTACTAAATTCTATACATACACTTTCCTAAAAGTCACGAGCACAGCTAGATTTGTAATGATTCATTTTAATATATTGATCAATCACATGATATTTTCTAATTTCTACTGTATATAAAAATTACCACCAATAACCATTACATATCCAACCAACCAGTGACATGTATAGTTATTGTTTTAGTAAAACTCAAAAGAGTATTTTTATAATTTCCAGGTTCAAGGGGAATTCTTGAGGAGCTCCCAGTTGCTCCTAATGAAGAAAATAGTCAATTGTCAAGAAGTTCAGGTAAATTTAACTTGGAACTATAAATTTGAATTAAATTTAAAATAAAGATTTTAATAATCTATTTTTTATGGAAGAAATTACATAATTGTTCATTTTTATTACAGGTTTGTTTCCAACAATGACAGAGGAAAGTTTGTATTCTTCAAAGTATGGCAACCAATCTCATGATAAATTGCAATCTTCCCAAATGTCCTCTTCAGGTAAATAAATAATTATTAATACACACTAGTATACTGGGTATGCTTAATTATTATAATAACTTTTTATATAATTTCATATCAATAATTTTATTATTATAAAATGTACATTTGAAATAATGACTATTGACATTTACTGACTGACATTAACGAGACATTTAATTAGCTCAGTGTGATCTTATATTAGGTGGAGGTGAATGAATATATAAATAAATAAATATTTAACAACATCACATACATTGCTCAGATTCCAAGATGAGTAGCTAAAGCCCCCGTATTATGGAGTATCTGAGACAACGAAGGTACCACAACACCCAGACCCGAGTCAATAAAGAAAAGTTCATTTTCTACATTGACCCGACCGGGAAACGAACCCGGGACCTCAGAGATGGCGACACCTTGAAACCGGCGTGCGAACCACTCGCCTACGGAGGTCGAATTTTGTTTAAAATAAGACTTGTATTAAGTAATATTCATTTTTTTTTATATCAACATATATAATATTCAAGACGCCTAAAAACAATTCATTTAGCACTTATATAAAGTTCACCTGTTTTAATTTTTGTTAATATAACCATCATTCTATATATCACTCAAATAAAGTTTTTTTTCTCATTAAGTTTAATTTGTATACCAAGTAATTAATATAACCATTATTTTATATATTTAGCAATGTTTAATTACAATTTTATTATAATCTCTAAAAATTGATACAAAGATTATAATCTAATTTATGAAGATTATATAGTTATACAACTAAAGACTACAAGTTATACTACTAAACATATATATAGTCAGTAGTTTTCTGTGGAAAATGTAAGAGCGAGAAAAAATTACTAAATAGAAGTAGATACTACAATCATTTCTGATATAAATAATTGATTTCGTTCTCAAATACTAGTTGAAGACATAGATTATTTTTTGGTATTAATAATATAGATATATCTTTAATTTTCAGTTGACTCTCAGTACATCCCTTATGTAGAAGATATCATCAGGGAACATAACTATAGTTCGTGTAGCAGATCTAAAAGAACGCACCTCCACAAGGTATTTAATTTAAACAGTTATAGTAAATAATTTTAAAAACTATTATCATGGACCTTTATTATAAACAGTACACAAAAGGTTTCTTTTTTATTTTACAGTTGCTGATTATATTACCAAAAAGTTTATGCGGCAGATAAATGCTATGGAGAATTAAGATTATTAAATAAACTAACGGAGGAACACATTGATCCTGAAAAAAATAATAAAATGAGAGTGAAATTAGCAACACAAGTATTCAGTCACAGTATTGCTGTAGTTGCTGAGCACCTTACGGCGCGAGGAGATTTGCAAGAAGAGTGTCGTCAACTGGTGAACATAACATTATTAATTGATGATTTATTTGACAGTCTAAATATCAACACGCTAAACATTCCCAATGGAAAAATTTATAAAGGTCCGGTAAAGCGAATCTCACCCATCACGAGTTATGGACTAGAGCAAAAAAAAATTTACATAGTGTAAAATTCATAAAAAAAAACAACAAAATATTGCTGGTCAAGTCATTGCAACAGAAAGTGTAATTCCTTCATCCAAAAATTTTATAAAAACAATTGAAAACATGGAGGCAATTTGGAAGGTTTTGTATCAAAACTATAGGTTAGATTGTTTGTTGACTAACAATTTAAATCAAGACCCCATTGAAAACTTCTTTGGGAATATCAGGAGTTAGAAACATAGCTCCTAACACTGTTGGATTTGAAGGAGCGTATAAATCATTGCTATTAAATATTTCAACACGCCTCATTCACTCAAAATAAACTGTGAGGCAGATTATAATCAATGTCTACAAAACATAATTTTTTTAACAGGAAATTTAAAAAACTACTGATATTCCCAAAAATGATAGTGAAATATTTATTAATTAAAATATTATAATGGGCTCTAATGAGAATAGTGACGCCGGTCAAATTAACTATGTATGTGGATGGGCATTAAGAAAATATTTGAAAAAGGCGAAATGCAATGCATGCAGCAATATATCGCAAGATAAAAATGGAGAGAACCTACATAATACATTTATAAAATCAAAAGAATATAAAAATTGGTTATGTTATCCAAGTACTCTACTAGAAAATTGCTTCCGTGATATGCAAAATATTACTCACATAACGTTAAATTTTTTTTTTACCAAAAGTAATATATCAGGAAATATACTTTGTTGTAAAATTATTTGTAACTGCCTCCTGTGTGTTCTTGTTCTTATCACACTGATTGTTTTTATTAACATTTTGTTAAAACAACTGTACATTTAATTATTTATAATTGGTGCAAGTCAGTAAATAGAATTTTGAGTGGAAGAATTAATTACCAGGGTGATGACGAGACCAAATTGACAGCGCAAGTATATTATAATAAGAGGAAACAATACAAAAACAGAAAATAATAAAATGTATACTTGTATTTTTATGAATGACTATGCTGATCATGTGCTGTATGCATTTGTTTAACTTATCGAAATAAACAACTTATAATAAGTGAACAATGTCGTTTCTTTTTCAAGTTTTTGTCCTCTTTTTGTTATCGTCGCTCGAAAAATACAAACTGTAAAAACCATAGTAAAACTTTTAAAAGAAAGTTGTTCATTATGCTCAATTTTCTTTTAAAAGTTTTACTACAGTCTTTACAGTTTGTATTTTTCGAGTGGCGCGAAGAAAGAATCCTATAACTATAATACATACCTACTATAGGTATACCTATATAGCAATAGTTTTTGGGGAAGTAATGCAGATGGCGCTTCAATTCTGATTGGCACTAAATACACGCGAGAGGGCACTCTTTTTCCGTATTATTACTGTACTCTTTGATACAAAGCCAAGAAACATGAGATATATACTTTTGGCACAGACCATCTCAGACGACACTGATTTCGTTTCGATTTTATTGTTGTTGATATATTAAAAAATAAAATGTATATTTCCGCGCAAAGAACTTTTAGTAAGATTGTTATGGACAGTAGATTATATACTATATATCGTTTAATTATTAGACAAACTAACTAAGTATAAATAGATTTATATTTTATGTTCCTAGATTTCTGCGGTAATTACCGATTCGCAAACTCTATTGTCTCCTTGAGAAGGTCAACGATAACGATAGCTATAGGTGTCTACCTCGCCTACTTTTCTTGTGAGCGTGAGATTGTGAGCTTTAATATCGGTGCTGTGAGCTTTGCAAGAAATCGGTTTGTTAATTAAGGTACGTAGAACTTAATATTTTCTCTATGTTTTATGTTTTGATATACCGTATAGAAAATTTTGATTTTTTATTATAAATCCAACAAGATTGAGTAACTTTATTTCCTTTACTAAATTAAATAGTTAGTATTTTGTATCTTCTGCTCACTAAAGATATAAATCATTAATTATCTTTTTGACAATAATACAAGACTTTACTTTTACTTTAAAATGTTACTTTAGGAACCACGATAACCTTATTTGACCTTGCGACCGGTACCGGTGTCAGTACTATATATCAGAAAAGAATGAGTTTTTAAAAACTTGTGTGTTTGTTACTTCTTCATACAAAATTGACTATAATAATTTTATAGGACGTTTCAGGCACGAAACCCCTTTTCCAAAATGAACCGATACCTCAGGGAACAACCAAATCTATTTTATTTTATCACACAAAATAATTACTAATATAAAACTATGAGATTGAATCACTTAATAACAGTTTCTCATCAAAAGTATATTTTAACATATAATATATGAATACATCGGTATAAACATTCCTATTGAAATATTTATTAGTCTTGTTATAGCAAGTTGATACACAAACAAAAATTAAGTATCTTCAAAATTAAAAAAAAAACCTTTTATTTTTGACCTCATCCACACCCAAAAATTTGTTTTATTTTTGTGTTTGATATTGATTGGGTGGTCAATATCAAATATACATTTTCTCATCAAAAGTGTATTTTAACATATAATATATAAATACATCGGTATAAACATTCCTATTGAAATATTTATTAGTCTTGTTATAGCAAGTTGATACACAAACAAAAGTTAAGTATCTTCAAAGTTAAAAAAAAAATCTTTTATTTTTTGACCTCATCCACACCTAAAAATTAGTTTTTTTTTTTGTGTTTGATCTTGATTGGGTGGTCAATGTGAAATATTTTGAACATTAGGGAATTCGTAATCTAGGTATAGTTTTAAAATATAGGTGATTATTTAAAATCTACATAGAGAAAGTTGTAGGTATAAATGTGACTTAATATTATTTATAAAATAAATTATTTGTTCATTGTAATCTATTATTTCATGAAATCACTTTTTTTTCAGAGGTTATTTAACTTATTAACCAAAATGCCAATAAAGTCGATAAAAGCTCGTCAAATATTTGACTCCCGTGGCAACCCTACAGTTGAAGTTGACCTTGTAAGTTATACAATTAGAAGTTAATGTCATTTAAAAATCAAACAACAGTTTTTGAAATTATCTTTTTTTTCAGGTTACTGAATTGGGACTCTTCCGTGCAGCTGTACCTTCTGGAGCTTCAACTGGTGTCCATGAAGCTTTAGAATTAAGAGACAATATTAAAGGAGAATATCATGGTAAAGGTGTACTTACTGCAATAAAAAATATCAATGATATTATTGCTCCTGCACTATTGCAAGCAAATATTGAAGTTACAGAACAAAGAGAGGTATTAAACATCATATTATTTTAAATACACAACCTACTTTAATATGAATTATATTAAAATTGTAGGTAAATATCTATGCTGATTAGATAATTATTTTGTTTAAAGATTGACCAGATGATGATTAAACTTGATGGCACTGAAAACAAATCCAAGTTTGGAGCTAATGCAATCCTTGGCGTGTCTTTGGCTGTAGCAAAGGCTGGTGCTGCTAAAAAAGGAGTGCCTCTTTACAAGCATTTGGCTGCTTTGGCTGGTAACAATGATATCGTTCTGCCAGTTCCTGCCTTCAACGTCATTAATGGAGGTTCCCACGCTGGCAATAAATTAGCCATGCAAGAATTTATGATTTTACCTACAGGTAGGTAAGAGCTATATTGTTGTGTAATGAAATCAAATTCTCCTTATAATAATTAATTTGTATTGTTTTTTCTCAAAGGTGCTTCTACATTCAGTGAAGCCATGCGCATGGGATCTGAAGTATATCATCATCTGAAAAAGATCATTAAAGAGAAGTTTGGCTTAGATTCTACTGCGGTTGGTGATGAGGGCGGCTTTGCCCCTAACATCCAGAATAACAAGGATGCTCTTTACCTCATCCAAGATGCTATCCAACAAGCAGGATACACTGGAAAGGTTATACTTCTAAATATATTACGATTATACACAAGTATATATATTTATTTGGTTACTAATATTTTGATTTATCATTTTATGCAGATTGAAATTGGTATGGATGTGGCTGCATCTGAATTCTTCAAAAATGGAAGTTATGATTTGGACTTTAAGAATCCTAATTCCAATCCAGCTGACTACTTGTCCTCAGACAAGCTTGCTGAGGTTTACCTTGATTTTATCAAAGATTTCCCCATGGTCTCTATTGAGGATCCATTTGATCAAGATGACTGGGCAGCATGGGCTAATCTTACTTCCCGCACACCCATACAAATCGTTGGAGATGATCTTACAGTAAGTAATTTATATTTGACCATTATATATATGATTAATTAGTAACAGGTCAATTGTATACATCTACTTATTTTGTGTTTTTAACTATCGAGATCTACAAGCCGTCAACTTACAGGTTACCAACCCAAAACGTATCAGCATAGCAGTGGAAAAGAAGGCCTGCAATTGTCTTCTTTTGAAGGTCAACCAGATTGGCAGTGTCACAGAATCTATTGATGCTCATTTGTTGGCCAAGAAAAATGGTTGGGGTACTATGGTGTCTCATAGGTGATTTCTTTGTTCTTTTAAGTGGCTCTTGAAAATGTTAAGGAAATTCTCAAAATTCTTTCTTTTTAAAATTAGTTAAAAAAACCTTTTTAACTTAATGCTCGATTTAAAGCCTAAAAACACATATAAATGTACTTTTTGTCCTGCCACATTTTAGAACCTCTTGAATATATGTAGAACCTCTTGAGGTTCTAAGAAACCTTAAACGGATATATTGTTATACAACATTAATAATACTATATCTATTAACAGGTCTGGTGAAACTGAGGATACATTCATTGCCGATTTGGTAGTGGGCCTATCCACGGGCCAAATCAAGACGGGTGCACCATGCCGCTCCGAACGCCTCGCCAAGTACAATCAGATCTTACGCATCGAAGAAGAACTCGGTGCCGCTGCGAAGTACGCCGGCAAGAACTTCCGTAGACCCGTTTAAATAAAACTCGCACATCTAGAGTACATATTTGCTTTGATCATTTATAAATGACAATTTTGTAGTTTGTCAATGTTAATGGTGTGCTAAGTAATCAAAATTCAACATTGAAATTACTGCATTTTTAGTTTAAAATCGCATATTATTTTAAAGTGTTAATTTATTGAATATAGAATATTGTGTAAAGATTAAGTGTAATTAGAAAAGCGTTGTCGGACATAATGTCATATGAATGTTTGTAGTATGATTATTTAAATAATATTTTTTACATAATTAGTAACGTTAATTTTAATAGATTCAGACTTAGCGAATATGGAGAAATTACAACTGCTTAGAATGTGTTGTCATGTCTTGTTATATCAATAAATACAATTTTATCTCAGAAAGTTATATTATTCAGTGCGTTTGATACAACTGGAAGCTATTCGCAGGCTTTTTATCAGCGTTTCTAGTCTCGTTTTAACCTCGAGATATATGATGCTCTTCACATATAATTTGACAAGATTTATGATCGAATTTTACTGTCTTGAGCGTCACCATTAAAAATTGTAAAGATCATTGAATAGCCAATTTAAACTCAATTCAAGAACCGTCAAATGATCTTAAATGGATCATCCGCTCATGACGGGCAGGACCATGAATTCGCGTGGGCTGGATTATAAGTTAATTATTTTTACCTATTACAACCTGAGATTACAACAAAATCAACTAGCTATTCAAACATTCACATGGGAATAAAACTAATTTTCTTTCCTTTACACGTATTATAAATTAAAAACAAATTTGCAGTTCAAAATTAAAAAGAAATCTTATCTTACATTATTAATACAAATACGAAAATATCAAAATATGTTTAAATTTTATTACATTAGAAAAAAAGTGGGAGCACATCTTCTTCTTTTATTAATGACTTATCTGCGCATTTTGAATACTTCGTCATTGATTGATGTTTGACGGCTAAGGTTTTTGAATCTTGATGTGCTGGTGCCCGTACCTATCAATTTTAGTGATGCAATACAACCGACATCTACCGAAAAAAATCATATTCATATTATAATTGTTAACAAAATTATGTTTATGTGCATAAATATAACAGGGACGATACTTAATTGGAGACATTAAACATTGAAGACATTAGTGTAACATAAGCGATATTGATTGCTGCACAGCTTTTTAGATCATATTTTTAATTTTTAAGTATATTTAAAAATCAGTATATTTCGAATTCAATCAAAATATGAACAATATTATGTAACTGTAAATGTGATACATATGTTGCAGCCAAGTGGTATAATCAGCTGACCAATAGGGTATTTGACACTTTTCTGAAAACTATTTTAAATCGTTGTTTGCTACATTATAAACATATTGTCTTAATATTTCATTGGAATCTTTTCTATTTTTGGTGAAAATAATTGTTAAAATTTAAATAGCCAAAAGCGCGCGAAAAACGCTGCTCTATGTAATGGCGCTGATCGTGACGTCACAGGCCAGTAAATATGTCAAATCGATAAGTAACAACTGTCTTTAGAGTAAATTGAAATAATAATTTAGAAAAGAAATTGAAGTCGTAGTGCGTATTTTTAACGTTTTTTATTTTCCTCTGCTCTGGTTTTCTTTAAGAAATGTGTTACAAGTGGTGCGTAGTGCCACAATGTACTAATACTTCTATAAATAACTAACAAACTTCGAGTCTAGAAGAAAATAGATTCACAATCACAATAGTATAGTAGCTATATAGAGTAGAGATGGGTGATAAAATTAGGTAAGGTTCGCTAAAATTATTGAAACTTTTTTATTTCATATCGATACGTTTGAAGGTTTTCTTTTTGGTTTTTTCCTTGTCATAAACATTTTACGACTCATTTATATTTGCCTGTCAGCAAATTCTCGCACTTTACAGCCTGTCGACCTATAGATGGATGAGACATTAGTACGAAAAAGAATGTTCTATTATTTGTCTGTCCACTAAATGCTAAAATTAAATGGTATTTGATAATAAGATATCAGATCCCGATGATTTTTTAAATTAGTTTTTAACTTGGAGAACAGTATATATCATCAAAATCGACTTTGTAATTTTGAATGATTATATTAAGGTTCAAGAAATGAGAAAAACATGTAAGTTGCTCTTTTTTTAAATTGTTGTGGCGTTTTCCCTATTTCTTTGTTTTTTTAAAACGCTTAGTAAATGATTCTTTTTTTCTATATTTCTTTTTGGCAGTTCTTATCAGTAGACGCGGCAAAGTATTCTGTTATCAGTAAATTACTATAAAATACTCGATACCTACAGGTATCGATATTTTATGTATCTTTCTAACACTAATTTGACATAACAGCTGATGAAGTCACAGTTGGTTGTGACAACGACCAATTATAGGACATTTTCGTCGTTGAATAAATTCCTAAAAATATTACATGGAAAAAGCGCGGGAAACTTTGAAGAAGCGGGTTGTCTTTTTTTAGTTTTCTAGTTTTTAATTAATAATTTGGATAGTGGAACTTATAATTAGTGTAAATTTATTTTATTTTAGTGTATTTGTGTATATTCTATTATTTTTATATTAATACTTCGAGTTCTGGTAAGTCTATCATATTGTTTTCCATGAACGATCCTGATGACCCTGGGGGGTCAGCCCCCCAGGCGTCTAATTTTGTTACGATCACCAATGCCTCAGAAATGGATACTGAAGGATCTCTATTTGATACGGATTGTTCTGATTCTAATCATAATTCCAAGCGCAAAAGATCGTCATCACGAAAAATATGCAAACACTGCAATAAAAGGAAGAAGAGAAGTCAAAACAAGGGTTCTGATCACATTTCGCTTACAAATATTGACTGTCACTGTGATGTTTCTCAACCTAGTAATAAATTTATTGGTATAAAAGATGTTGAAGCCAGGGTTGCCACCTTTTCGGGAATAAAAATCGGGACAATCAAGTAGTCATCAGAGACGTTTGGATTAGTTCGAAGTTTGGTCTAGTCATGGTCCAATCCAATATAACCCATAAGACGGACTACAGAAAATAAAACTAGTTTGTGATCTAATGTGAATTTATTTTTAACCGACTTCAAAAAAGGAGATTCTTAGTTTAAGACCATCCTAATCGGCCATTTAGTCTAGCTTTGAGCTAATCTTTATACATCAACGTGCCATTTTTCTACAAAAATGTTTAATGAGGTCATATACGTGCCATCAAATGTTGCCATCCAATAACTCTTTATTTACTACAAAAAAGGTATTTTTTTCTAATTGTACATTGAATTTCATGATTGTACCCAAAATATTTTGCCACATGCCACCAATGGCACGTGTGCCATTAGTTCGCCATCCCTGTCTAGCTAATCACGATCTGACATAACACAAAAAAGAATGAAATATATATATTTTTTAAACAAGAACCAACTTCAAAACTTAAAAGTAAAAAAAAGAACAAAACTAAACTATTAAACTAAGCATTAAACTATTTCCGTGTGTATTTTTTATTGCTTCGGGCCGCTTTCAATAGTTCTACGTCATTTTTATATTTGTTCACAAATTCTGAACAAGATATACCTATGTTGAGCGAAATTAGCAATTCTGCTTTTATTAAATCTACCGAGCAACGATTTCTGATATTAGACCATTTCATGGTCATTAGTGAAAATACTCGCTCAAAATATGCATTTGAAAGAGGAATGCTCAAAGCACGAGATACAACATTAAATAATGCGTTTAACTTTTGCTCCTTTGCGGCTTTACAAAGGCGAACGCGGTACATGCGGTAGATGGCACGCAACCGAGTGAGCTGAGATCACATTATAGTATTATCAAAAATCGGGACAAAATCGATAGGCTGTCGGGACGCGGGACAATGTCTTCGAAATCGGGACTGTCCCGACAAAATCGGGACAGGTGGCAACTCTGGTTGAAGCTTCCCACTCGGTACCGGAACAGGTGTCTCTGCCACATTCATCTCAAGTTTTAGATAACATTTCTCGTGTACCTATTGGTAGAATTCAATATCAAGCTTCAGATGCAGCTCCTTTTATAGTATATATTCAACGAGAACCTACATCTAGTAGTGAAAATAATACAATACACCCAGTTTCATTAGGACGCTTTTTGAAAAAAAATTTTTTCCAAAATATAATCAATGGTAGTCTGAAAAAAATCGGTAGGAATAAAGCCTCAATTTCGTTTTCAAATTTCCAAGATGCTAATAATTTTGTTAATAGTAGTAATCTAAAATTAAATAACTACAAGGCCTTTATTCCTACTCACAATATTACTCGAATGGGAGTTGTGAGAGGTGTACCTATAGATTGGACAGATGATGATATAATGAGCAACATTTCAGTACCAATAGGCTGTGGAGATATTCTTAAAATTAGAAGGATTAAAAAAAAAGTTGTAAATAATGGTAAAACTGATTTTATTCCTATAGAAACAGTGATTTTGACATTTGATGGGCAAGTTTTGCCTAAAAGGATATTCTTATGTTACAATTCTCTTCCTGTGGACTTGTATATTTTCCCTACCATACAATGTTACAAATGCTGCAGGTATGGCCATATAAAATCACAATGCCGGTCAGTTTCAAGGTGTTTCAAATGTGGATCAGGACACTCTGGCGATAATTGTGCTGTAGAAGAAGAAAATTTTAAATGTTGTCTATGTTCTGGTTCTCATATGGCTACTAGTAGAAAGTGTCCTGAATTCTCAAGACAAAAAAGTATTATGGAGAGTATGGCTAAGAACTGCATTTCTTATGCAGAGGCATTGAAACTTCACCCACCTGTACATAAATCATATGCTGAAATACTTACTTCTGCCCCTCCATTTTATTCAAATTTGAATCAACCTATACAAAATAATTCTCTGAAATGTTTCAGCCCCTCAAAAAAAAATTCAAACTCAACCTCATATAAAAAAAACTGTATTTATAAAACCCAAACAACCTTATTCTCCTTCAAAAGGTTATGATCATGCAACTCATGCTGCAATCATTAATGAGTTTAATATTCCTTCATCACCCAATGGTAGTGCTTTTGTGAACAATAATGATTCTCCTCTTTTGGATCTCCCAATTAAAGATTTAATAATTGCTCTTATTCAGTCCTTGTCTAAGAATAAACTAATTTCTCTACCGCCCAACGCTGCTCTTTTTGATAGTCAAGACATAGTTTCAAATCTTCATAATGGACACAGTAATTCAGTGGAATTGTAGAAGTGTAAATAGCAAAAAATCTGATTTAATTTATCTTATTAACAGATTTAATCCTTTTGTTGTCTCTATCCAAGAAACATGGCTTCGGCCTGGTTTTAACTTTAAACTTCCTGGTTTTGCATGTATCCGTGAAGACAGGCTAGGAAATGAAGTGGGCTCTGGTGTGGCCCTATTTATAAAAAATCATTTGTTTTTTAAACACATTCCCATTCCTAACCATAATACTGACTTTTCTATAATTGCTATAAATTATTAATAATATCTGTTTTGTCTCTGTATATATTCCTTACCCCTCCTCTCTTATATATGATGAAATTGAAAATATTTTAAATAATCTTCCAAAACCCATTATATTCATGGGTGACTTCAATGCCCAACATACTTCTTGGGGTAGCTCTTCCTCAAATCACTATGGCAGTAGAATACTTGATATGTTACATACACATAACTTATGTTTATTAAATACTGGTAAACCTACACATAGAACTCAATCTCATGAAGGAAATAGTGCTCCTGACTTATCAATTGTCTCTCCTAGTCTTGCCGTTTCCTTGACATGGACTACCCTAGACTCAACATTCGGTAGTGATCATTATCCTATTCTTATTTCCTTCCCAAATAATACTGTAAAAAGGCCACCCGAACGTTCACCCCGCATGAAATATAAATTAGACAAAAATAAATGGGATGATTTTTAAAAAAATATTGAACAGAACATTCACTCTCTTCCCAACATTGATAAAGATAATCATTCCCATTGTGCCTCTTCTCTAGCCATACTTTTAATAGAAACTGCAAATAAAATATTTCCACTCAAAAACAATCGGCATACAAACATTCCACCTCCACCGTGGTGGGACAAAGAGTGTACTGTTGCTATTAAAAAAAGAAAAGAAGCTGAAAGAAATTATACTTTGCACTCCACATCTAATAACTTTAATATTTTATGTAATTTAATAAAAAGTACGAGGAAATTATTTAAACAAAAAAAATGGGAAGGGTGGAAACGATTCTGTGCTTCCATTTCACCGAATACTTCTCCGTCAGTTGTTTGGATGAACATCCGAAGGTTTCGTTCAACATTTAAAGAACCCACTTTAAAAAATATTCCGGAGCAACTATTGGATAATTTTTTGGATAAGTTGGCACCCCCATTTGTTCCGTGCAATAACACTCTTCTTCAAATTCCTAAAGTTGTAGGTGGACTCGATGCTCCTTTTAGTCTTTCTGAGTTACAAGGTGTTTTATCATACGTCAAAGACTCTGCTCCAGGCTGTGACAATATTCCTTACTCCTTTCTTACACACCTGAGTGATAATAGTTTAGCATATCTTCTAAATCTTATTAATACCATTGTAATAAACGGTAATATTCCACATACTTGGAAACTACAAGAAGTCATTCCCATTCTGAAACCAAATAAAATTCCGCAAGACATTTCCTCCTATCGACCAATAGCTCTTTCATCAGTACTAACCAAAATCGCTGAACATCTCGTTAAAAACCGCCTGGAATGGTTCGTTGAAAGTAAGAGCTTACTTGGTAAAAGTCAGTTCGGTTTTAGGAAAAGTAAAAGTACTATGGACAACATCGGCATCCTTACCACTGATATACGATTAGCTTTTACTTGCAATGAATCGCTTTTAGCTGCCTTTTTAGATATCTCAGCTGCATATGACAATGTAGTTTTAAGCATATTACAAAAAAAACTTATTGATTTAAATGTACCCCCACTTCTTATAAATTTCATAACTAATATTCTTACAGAACGAACTATTAGAGTTTGTCAGGATTCCGTAAATTTAAAATCAAGACTAATATGGAAGGGTCTTCCCCAAGGATCCGTATTAAGTCCTTTGTTGTATAATATCTACACTCACGACCTGGAAGATGCTATACCTAAAGATACTAATATATTGCAATATGCTGATGACTTACTTCTGTATTGTTCTGGCAAAACAATTGAAAAATTAAGTTTCTCATTAACGCGCTCTTTATCTCATCTTAAAAATTGGTTAGATGAGCATGGTTTCACTTTATCTGTATCTAAAAGCATGGTCGTTCTTTTCTCTAGAATTCGACTTTTGCCACCTTTTTCTGTTTACTATGACAATGAAATTTTACCAACTAGTAATGAAACTAAATTTTTAGGGATAATATTAGATCATAAAATGTCAGGTCTGTCTCACTGTTATTATGTTGTAGCTAAATGTGAACGAATGTTGAATATCCTAAGATGTCTGACAGGAGTTTGGTGGGGATCTTCACCATTTTCTCTAAAATTACTTTATAATTCATTAGTTAGGAGCATTTTAGATTACGGGACTTACTTTCTTGAACCATGTAGCGCACTAGGATTAAAGAAACTTGATATTATACAATCTAAGGCCCTTTGTATTGTCACTGGTGCCATGAAATCTAGTCCTATTAATGCTTTACAAGTAGAGTGTGCTGATCCTCCTTTGAAACTACGCCGTCAATTTCTTTGTGACAGATACCTCTTTAAAGCTTTCCAAATTATTAATCATCCCCTCTATGATAAATTATCTCGGCTCTCAAAACTTATACAATCATCCTCATACTGGTCTCATAAACAACTACCATGTCCAGTTTTAAGTTTTCGAAAGTTTTGTTCTTTTCAATCTCCAACCCACAGATCAGCATTCCTTCCTATTTTTACCCAAAACTTTGAAGCGTTAATCCAGGTTCCCATAGTTAATTTTAATTTAGATTTTCAAAAGAATAATTTAATTTCAAAGTATAATTTTAACTTCATGTTACTTGAAACATGGAACGATTATCATCATTTGTACTGTGATGCTTCAAAATTGTCTTCAACAAGTAACGTTGGTGTTGGAGTTTATCATCACCAGTACAACATTGTGCAAAAAGTGAAATTGCCACCAGAGACATCCGTTTTTACTGGTGAATGTTATGGCTTATATAAATCACTTGAATATATTTTAGTTATGAATTTAAAAAAAGCTTTGATAATTTCGGATTCTAAAAGTGCTCTTGAAACTTTACATAAATATCCGTTCAAAAGCAATGTATGCTATCAAATTATTGCAGACTGTCGCTCTTTACTACTGAAATGTTGCTCTAAAGGTTTTGATGTAACTTTTGTTTGGGTCCCCGGTCATTGTAATATTCCAGGTAACGAAAAATCCGATCTACTAGCGAAAGAAGCGATTAATTCTGGAGATCTGTTTCCATATAAAAACTATTGTCATGATTTAATTGCTCAGGCTAAAGTATCTCTTGAATTATCGTGGCAGGAAAATTGGCAATTAAGCAGTGTAAATAAAGGAAGATTTTATAAGCATATTCAGCCTAATATCTCGTTAAAACCATGGTTTAATAAAATTAAATTGAGTAAAGTTCCTACTTCAATAATAACCAGAATGAGGCTGGGTCATACCTGTACCCCTTCTCATTTAAAAAAACTGCAAATTCTTCAAAACGATTTGTGTGAGTGTGGCACCGAAGTGGGAGACATCAATCATATATTTTTCTCTTGTCCTTTATATGATCATTCCTCCTTTTATGACTCCTTATTATCACTCCGCATTCCTCTTCCTACCTCCATATTATTCCTTTTATGTACTAACGATACAAATATTTATCACATCTTAGCATGTTTTATAACTAAAAATAACATAAAAATATAGATATTTTATATATTACCATAATTTATTATCCTTTATCCTTTCCCACTATCCAAATACTAACTTCTATAAATATCCGAGTTCCTTTCCTAATTGTTTCCCTACCTTTTTATATCTGACATGGCTAATACCCAAGTCGGGTGGAGCCAAAAAAAAAAAAAAAAATACATTTTCTTTACGTTATTTTACTAAATCTAAACATGTTTTTTCTGCAGATGTTAAGAAATAAGCTTTATTAGATTATATTATCTATCAGAATGACCACAAAATGCAACTTATTTTTGATAGTGTCAAATACCCTATTAGGTGGCGAGCCCTTTAATGAGGAAGTATTTTAAGAAAATAAAGAAAGCACTAAAAGCGCCTCACTAGATGGCGACTCTACCAAAAGTTGATTTTTGCAGGAAACAAAAACCAATCAAAGATATAAAAAAAAACTAAATTTCCAAGTTTGAAACTTAGATATGAATACAAATACGAAAAATTACAAAAAATATGAATTTTTCATTGAGTTGTGAGAATTCATTTATCGTTATACATGAAAGAAAACCGGAAGGGTTGTCATGGAGAAATCAAGAAATTATCGAAGTGACATCTAGTTTGATTTCGGGAACAATTTTTTTTTAATACTTCCTCATTACTTCATAATTATTTCTTTTCTATTACGTCGACTTCGTACAAAGTTACGTTCTATCTTCCTTTTGAAGTGTTAAATGTGGTCTATTATAATAATGCAACAGTATTCTGTTCGAGGTCCGTGCGTGGCTAATTCATCCAATGATAATTAAAGAACTGTAAATATATTCATGCCGGTAAATGTCAAGGCGCATAATATATTTATCGAATATTTATTAACGTAGTAAGCAAATAGAATTAAAAAAGAGAAATTGAAGTTAAATTTTATATTTTGTATTGGTATCTACTCTGGTTAAAACTCATATTCTATTTATACTTTTTCGTATTTGTATTGATATCTTAGTTTCGAATTTTTCAAATTTCAGTTTTTTATTATGTTAGTTAAAAGGAACGGAAATAACTGTCTTTGGTTCATTCGTTTCCTGCCATAATCAACTTTTGCTAGAGTCGCCATCTAGTGGAGATGCTTTTTTAGTGCTTTCATTTTTTTAAAAAAACTTCCTCATTATAGTAATTGTCCAAATCCATATTATGGAGATTATAAGCAAACCTACTACCTTCTAGGAGTACGTATTACCTCGTACTAGGTTAGCCTTTGCTAGGGCTCCGTTTAATAATATGAATTTTGACAATACTGAGTGCAGTCTCAGCATAAATTTACTCCAATGCTAAACCTTGTTTATTAATAACACTATTATAGATTATTATCTAACAGGATGACCATAATAGACAACCTATTTTTAATAGTTTCAAATAATATAATCATGTGATAGAAACGCTTCAACAGGCTGTATGGGATAGATTCTTTGCTGTTAATTAAATAGACAAGATAAAATATTACAATAGCACTGGTTACTGGTTTACGCAAAAAAACATAAAATAAAAACATTAAAATAATATTTCCGTCCCCGTACTAAATTAATATGGTTCGAGTAACAGCGATTCTTGCTCGCGTTCCTATGATAAAATTTCGTAAAGGTCGCGCTGGAGCATCTGCTGGTGCGTGTCCCATGTCTACTCCTAAAGTTGCCCAATCAGCTGCTCAAGTAAGTCTCGTATGTTATTTATATATCTGTTATGACATTTCCCCTTACAAGGTTGATTATTTAACCAGATAGCATTGTATAAGTCAGTAACGATATATTTAGTCTTATTATGTATCTTTATTGCATCTAATTGAGTTTTATTTGATTACCTATAGCCACAACCACAGCAAAGCCAGCCAGCAGCAGCAATGAGTACTGGAGCGATTCCAGATATTGATCTTCCAGCTCGCTATCAAAGACAACCACTGTCACAGGAAGAAATTGACCATATCAACGGCGGTGGAATCGTTTAGTTCCTTCATCTAACCTATTGTAGATACTATTTCAAAATGTAGACCTTTTAAATATTCTTTAAATTATTTTAGTTAAGAGTTTTTATTACAAGTTGTTTCAATATTATCCCAATGCTGGTGTGAACTGCAAAGCATTCAAGTAATTGTTATTAATTTATTATTCTTATTAGTTTTATTACACTTTAGAGATACTAAATGTAGTTCACTTTGTCAAAAATTACAGAAAGATCCTTCATTAAAACCAGAGCCTAAACCTCCTCAAGCATTGGCAGTTATCAGGATACCACATGGTGTCCTTGTGGAGGCAGGCAAGAAACAGAGACAAGTTATGTCCTTGAATATTGTACTTCAGAAAACAGGAAAATAAATGTAACATGATATTAGTCTCCCAAAATCAAAAAGGTATATAATTGTTGCACATATTTTTATATAAAAAAATATAAAGTGCCTTTACAGATTAATATATTCATTGTTTTCATTTTATGTTATCATTTTGGCATATAATCAACGTATAAAATGTACAATACATATATAAGAGAGATCAGCAGAAGTACTCTAATAATAACGAATGTTGATTTTTTCGTTTTGGACGGCCCACATCTGTGCAGCCGGCCCGTCGTAAGAGCCATCAGTATTGCTATCAAATTTTGTGATGCCAAATTTGGCAAACCTCTTTTTCCATTCCTGGGTCTGAGGAAGTGTCAGCAATGCTTTTGTTATAGACTTCTTAACTTCATCTGGAAAAATTTATATAGAATTTATAAGTTTGAGCAGCCTTGCTCATTCACATTCACATTTAAAACTAAAAATATGGAAGTTTAATTCGAAAGTTAGAACATACTGTGACTAAATTGGCTTTGTTATGGAAACCATATATTCTAGGAAAGTGTTATAGAATCATAGAAAATAAGATAAATTTGAAATACAATGGACTTGTAGGTAAGGATTCTTTTTCTGTATATCTCTAAAATTTTTGGTGTGGTAGTTTCGGGAATCTGGGGCTCGGAGCCGTAATCTTTTGCCTTTTTTATTTGAGATTTTAAGAATAAGCCCTTTCCAGGGGTCGGAAACCGGTATATTTTTCGAAACGTTTTCATCTTAAATACCTAAAAAACACTGTGTTTCGGTTTCGTTCGAACAGAACGATATAAAAAACGATTTTGGAATAAAACAGAATTATATTGTTTTCGTAACCGAAAACAATATAATTCTGTTTTATTCCAAAATCGTTTTTAACCATTTATTTTGCGTTTTTTTTTGCATCGCTTACTGTAAATAACGTAATAAAATAAATGTACGCCGCCCTTACAGCCCGCGCGGCACCGTCTTGCGGATTAAACCGGTTTTTTAAAGCGTTCTCATTTCGTTTTCGTTTCGAACGCAATCTTGCCCAAAGAACCATAAGAAACGTTTTAAAAACGTTATTTTAAATAACGTTTCCGAGCCCTGGCCCTTTCATTCGATGTATTACAAAAGATAGTTTAAGGTTTAATTTTTTTTCTTTTTTTTACCTTAATTTCAAAGGAAAAAGGACAGACAGTTGAGTGATCCTATATGGTTTTGTTTTTCCTATTCACGTGTGGAACCCTAATATCTATAAAGGGTTGGATAGATATCAAGCTCTCATCTCGTATTTACATTTTGAAATTATATTGAATTGACATCAATAGAAATACAAAATCTAAAGCATGATGTTATTATATATTTTGAATAATATGTTACCAAAATTGTATTTTAGCCAACTAGCCCATTTTGATTGGTCAAAATCTTAATAATTTACCGCTATTTGGTATATAAATACGTACCATAGAGATTATTTACCTTTAAGACTAGTATTAACCACTATAGGATAGGGTGGGAGTCTTCCTAGTGTTTCTAATAGTATGATATCTTTTCCACCATCCTGCATATATTTTTTAGAATATAATAGAGTTGTTGAGTCAACAGCGGCCCACTCTGCTTGTTTAGATAGCACCATTTGAGCTGATGCCAAATGAGATCCAGACCCTGCAATAAATTATGAAGAGATTTATGGATAAATACTTCATGTTTAGAACGAAAGAAATCTAAAACCTATGTATAAGGAAGTACTCCAAAATAAAGACTAATATTTATTATTATCCCGCGACTTCGCCCGTGTAAATTACAGTCATGGGTAGTCACATGCGTCGCGTATGTAGTTTCTTGTATGGTAGTTTTCGGAGCCTATTCAATGCAAATAAACAAACTTTCAAATCTTTCCTTTTAATATTAGTATAGATGTCTGCTAAGCGTTACTCAATTCTGTAGGGCAGTGTTTCCTAACTTTTGGTCTTTGGAGGACCTTTAGGTGAATCCAAGAGTCCGTAGAGTCCCAAGATTGAGGGAGAGAGAGCAGCATGGTGAATGTGCGCTAGTGGAATTTCAACTGTATATTTAAAAGTGTGTGTAGACCAATAATATTCCAATTATTTTTTTGTTATATAAAACTATCTAAATAAGCTAAAATGTATAAAATGAGAAAACTATATATTTCTAAGGTTTCTCATGATAAAACGTATATTATATATTAGCTGTTTTCCCGCAGCTTCACATGCGCAAATTATAGCCTATTTCAATGCTGTATGATCTAGTTACCTGCCCTGCGATTCTGTAAAAATCCAGACCCGAATCCGAATTTACGTCATTCAGTGTAGAAATTCTATTTATTCAATTTTTTTATATAAAAATTGATTGAATATACGTGTCTCAGATATTCTATTTCTATGTCATTTCGAAACTCATATCACGAAACATTATTATTATTACCAATTCAAGGTTGAACGGATGCCGCTTTTGGAAGTGAATTCGGACAACTGAGTGAATTCGAATTCGGGTTTGCACTTTTACAGAATCGCAGGGCTGAGTGGATTCGAATCCGGGTTTGGAATTTTACAGACCGGCAGGGCTGTAGGTGAAAGAATTTTTTAAAATCGGTCCAGTAGTTACGGAACCTATTCGATGCAAACAAACAAAAAAAATTTTCCTCTATACTATTAGTATAGATAATTAGATAAAAAAAAACAAAGTTATCCCAAAAAGTCACCTTTTTCTTCTCATAAATTGTATATATGTATATAAAATTGTATCCGATAGCTCATAAGCTATCGGATACTCTATGAATCATTATAAAGGTTCTGTAGAACCTTTATAAGATTCAAGATTCGTAGATTCATAGAGTTTGAGAGTTATTAAGTAAAAATAGTTTTTGATGTGAAATTCTCTGTCATTATTATCTCGGCGCGTTGACTTCTTGTTTCTCTTTAGGCCCAGCATCGTTAACATTAATTCTTATATCACTGATTCAGTTGGAAAAAGCTTGGACCTTAAGTATTAATAGCGCATTTTTATGAAAAACGTTACACATCTAAAAAAATTGGGGTAATTTTTTGATTGTTAAGAAAAATCTTTACTAAATAAATGTTAATCGATTTCCTAGCGACGACGTGTACCAAAGGTCAAGAAATGTTCAAGAAACGATGCTCAAAGGTGTATTTACAATTAATAATTCTTACTTAATGTGGATCCGAAAAATGATGCATTTTCTCCTTTCTCTTTTAACGTTTTTAAAATAATTTTACTTCCGCTTAGAGATTCTTCGTCGCTGTAAGCAAACGTACACCCACGGAGATCTAACAAAGTGTTAACGTTATGTGCTCTGTGGAATAAACAGTAACTAAATTAATATGAATCTAGTAGTAGGACTCGATATATTATAAAACAATATTGGTTATCGTAAAACAAATAATAATAGGAGCGTTCTTATCACAACCCAATGACATGTAGCTGATAATATTATTATCTAAGTAATTAAATTTATTTCTCTGATGGTAGAAGACGAGTTTTTAAGTCGTTTTTTATTCATTTGCTTATAATTTTCCATTGATGAAAAACTGAATAGGTAAGAGTGAATTCGGCGATTGATAAAACATAAAACAAGTGAAATATTTCGCAGGTTTCTTACTTTTTGTCACTGTGAATGATAACGTCAGAGAAATAGCCAGGTTCATTGTCCACGTTCATTTGGTGTGTGAATACCGGCGTTACAGGTAGTAGTTCTATGGACTTATTGCCAGCCTTCCGAAGGCGCATATATGATCCAGCTGTCATGAATCCTACAGAAATTAAAAATCTTTTAAATATTTGGGACTGGCGTTCATATTTGAGAAGTTTATATTTGGGACGATTAAATAAAGTAAATAAAGTATTGCGACAGCAGACTTGCAAAGTACGAAGTGTAAAATCCATTACCAATCCTATTAAGTACCGTTTTACAGCTTCGCTCTTACAAATTATTGAGTGTTTTTATCAGTTGTATACTGGCGTGTCTGCTTTTGATTAATATTAAATAGTTATTTTTTCGCAATAATTATATTATTATGAAAAGCGAAAGCGTGTTTGTTTTAGTAAAAAAAAACTTTATAAAACTACCTATTTTCTACAATCTTCAAACTTTTAGGTCCCGTGTTTTCGTTTTAATTTTGGTGGTTACGAAATTCCAAAAATACGCTTCCTGTTATTACTATCGACAACCCCTTAACTACGTATTTCGCAAGTGTGCTTTCACAACAACAGAACCACCAGATGTCTCCAGAAATATATAGATATAATATTCTTAGAAAAATATCTACTGAAAAGACAACTATCTCAGATACTTGACGGAAATCAAACTTATGACCTTTCAATTATGTAGGTATTTTTCTTTAAGAATTTTTAGATGTTTTCCTAAGATAAACGTATTTAACATTAAATTTCATCGCTTTATACTGAGGAGCTTATTAAATAATATACAAAAGGTACCAACCTAAATCCACTTTATTACTGGTAAATGGGTCTGGCCGGTCTTTGAATGGGCCTGGCGTTCGGCTCTCGTACTGTAAACTTGTGTAGCATTTCAAGGATTTCTCTAGCAGCTCCATAATCAATTCATATAACTGCACTGGATGTGTTGGACACATGTAGGTAATTATACGTAGCTCCAACTTTTCTTCAGACATTTTATAAATTTAAAATGTAAACGCGAATTACAACAAAAGCACTCGATACTACATCCGAGAGTAAAATACACTATTGAATGATGTTTGTGTTTGTACAAATAAAACACTAGTTCATCAGTATTATCAAGTCAACACTGCACGCGGCGGTCACGATTAGCCGGTTATAGTAAACTTACCACGGTGACGTCAGACGCACGAGTGTGAGGCGTGCACCGTCATTTACTTTCTACATCTTATTAAGTGAGTAGCTCGGTAGCGTAGTGGATAAGCGCCGCGGCCCGCGATCTTAGACGTTAAGCAACTTTCGCTAGGGTCGGTCACGGGATGGATGATCAAAAATTATTATCTCGAGTTACTCCGTGCTTCGGAAGGCACGTTAAGCCGTTGGTCCCGGCTGCATTTGCAGTCGTTAATACCCTCCAATCCGCATTGGGCCAGCGCGGAGGGTCATAGCCCATCCTTCTTAACCATCCATAAGGAAGGCCTCTGCAGTGGGGACGCAAAAGGGCTGGTGATGATGATGATCTTATTAAATTGCATGTTACTACTAAATGTTTTATCCAGAATTAGTTATAAAAACTAATATCCTACCGACGGTTGAAGGTCTAGCCAAAATATATGATAACTTATTTATTGAAATAATAGTAACATGACGATAAAGGACCAATAGATCGTTTATCATACCTTTACCTACAACGAAAATGTTCGTAATATTAATTAAAGTCGATTTTTTTTGTTGAATCTAATTCGGGTTAGATTTAACTAAAAAAAGGTAATATTACTTGTTCTTTAATTCCCTGAAGTTTACAAATTAGCAAAACTAATAGTTACGATGACGAAGAGTAGCCAACTTTTAAAACAACCTTGTCATTTTTTACTGAATCAAGTATTAAAAATAAGATAGGCACGTTGATTTTAATAATAAAAATTAAGGCATTGTTAAGATTGATACCAAATGTTTTATCGACCGCTGACTGTTTACGTGAACAGTATCTAAAATAATAGGTATTTAATCATTAACAGTTCAGTAGTTCTTAATATTTCGAATAAACAAAATAATTTTGTTGTAAATTAAAAATAAGTTACATTTCGATGTTCATGGTGACAAAAAAACATAAAAATGATCATACTCATTAGAAGGTACTAAAACTATGGTGATATTTTTTTTTTTTCAATATTTGTACTTGCCTCTCTTCATAACAAAACATACTTTATGTTCTCTAGAGACACGCGGACAACTAGACGCTTTCAATGATACCTCATTTGTCCAGTTACGATGAATAAATGATAAATTGGGGCAGCACGAAAGCATTTCTTTTACTACTATCAGATGTAAGTAAAACCTTATACCCTTACTAATTTAGGAACAGCATTATTCACATACAATAGCTAAAAATATCTTTGTTCTCGTACTTGATGTTCAAATTTATAATCATGCATCTTCGAAGTTTTGTAAAAACAACTTCAAGCTATTACAGACATAGACCAATCATTGAAGCCGTTTCGTAAACAAAGCGAAATTAGTGGCGTGTAAGCGGAGAATTAATATGTTAAATAAACTTTACGGTGGCGTTTAAATAGGCCATCTTTTTTAGTAAGTTTTAAATGTCATGATTTAACAATAATCATTGTAAGATCAGTTGGCTGCATTATACAACGTGTCCCAAAATTCAACGATAAGCGGGCGCCAAGAGGTAGACCTGCTAATGTGTACTTATTGAAAAATAAGAAAAAAATTATATCTTATTAATCTTTTTTATTATAAAATTAAATTCGAAAATTTTCGAAAATTTACACCTTTTATGATATTTTCAACTACCACGACCACAATTTCTCAATTATGTTCAATCTTTTTTTGGTATCGGATACCTAAGTAGTACTAATATTCGCTACAACTGTTAAAAACACCAAAATGCCCACAGTATTTACACAAAAAACAATCAAAATGCATTTTTTTCCTTAAATTTTCACAGATTTTTACGTTCCGTATTCTTTGACTTACAGTCATGTAGAAAAAAAAGTATGGACACTACTGCGGCAAGTTGTTTTTAAAATTGACGCAGCTCATGAAGATTCCATAATGGTATAATACTTCATGATAACTAGCAACAAACTAAAAATCATACCATTTAGAATCAAGAACCAAAGTTGTGAGTAATAAATTGTACTGTTCCGAAATGTTTTAATATTTACAAAAAATATTGAAATAAAACAATAGTGAGTTTTAGTCTCATTCATTTATTAATAATTAACATTACAGTAAATGTTCAAATTGTTTTCCACCGGCATTAATACATGCACGACATCGCCTTAAAAAAGAGCGTTTTATATTTCGTGCATACCTTTTAGCATTGATATGTGACGCAGCCTGACTAATTTTTTGCCGAAGCTCGTCCATTGTCGTAATGTGTTTTTCATAGATTTTGTTTTTGAGACAACCCTAATAGAAAAAGTCCAGGGGGTTTAGGTCGGGTGATCGGGGTGGCCATAAGATAGGACCAAGTCGCCCAATCCAACGCCCGGAATACTCTTGCTCCAAGTATTGTCTCACAGGACGAGCGTAGTGAGCTGGGCAACCATCATTTTGAAACCACATATTTTGTAGATCTTTTAAGGGGACGTCTTCAAGCAATTCTGGCAAATCATTTTGTAAAAAGTTCAAATAACTGTCACCATCCAAGTTTCCAAGTTTATAATTTGGTTCGTTTGTTTACAAATGGTGTGCATATTTTTTTACTGTGACTAGTTATCTTAGATTATTATACCATTTTGGAATCTTGATGAGTTCAGTCAATTTTAAAAACAACTTGCCACAGTGGTGTCCATACTTTTTTTTTACAAGACCGTAAGTCAAAGATTACGGAACGTAAAAATCTGTGAAAATTTAAGGAAAAAATACATTTTCATTGTTTTTTGTGAAAAAACTGCGGGCATTTTGGTGTTTTTAAGAGTTGTAGCGAATAGTAGTGCTACTTAGGTATCCGATACCAAAAAAAGATTGAACATAATTGAGAAGTTGTGGTCGTGGTAGTTGAAAATATCATAAAAGGTGTAAATTTTCGAAGATTTTCGAATTTAATTTTATAATAAAAAAGATTAATAAGATATAATTTTTTTCTTATTTTTCCATAAGTACACATGAGCAGGTCTACCTCTTGGCGCCCGTTTATCGTTGAATTTTGGGACACGTTGTATATATACTTACTAGCTTTTCTTTTATACGCGTGGTATAGTTTCTTTGAGCAGAATCCTTTTTCTTTTAAAATACTTGTGTTATCAAATATTTATTTATATTTATCTTATCAATTGTCTTAAACCAAATTTTGATAAAGACAAATTTCCATGCATACTTTCATTCCCTATTTCCACCTATTTTTCGTGATAAAATGTAGCCTATGTCCTTTCTTAAGGTTAAGTCTATTTCTATATTTATTTTCCATTAAGACTGGTTCAATTGTTTAGGCGTCTAAGGGCGCTACACTGAATTTTCAGGTCCGGCAGTCCGATTTTTTCCGGTCCAATATGTCAGGCCATATATGTAGGTAATGCTAGCCTGTGCACTGTCAGGAATTTTACCGTCCGGAATTTTCTTTTCTCTATTTCGGACGTGATGGCGGCAATGAAAAGCGTGTTTACGCTTGTCTACGAGAAAATATTGTTTTGGAACCTCTGATTTAGTTGATAAATAAATATCTTTCTTAAATCCTGTTTTATTTGTATATATATATTTATATGTATTATTACTACATAATTAAAACATTGAAAACTCAAACGTTTCCCGAACCTTATCCATGGTATGCGTACCCATTGCTTTGTTCTTGCTATGCTGAAGGTCACGGAAGCCAGGGCCAGTAAAATATATTTAAAAAAAATTCTTACTTTGATGCTGTGTGAAAAAACCTAAGAGTTTTTTTTAAAGAATAAAGCCCACTGTCTGTCACTGCGATTTTCTTTTATAAATTATAAATCGATTTGTCAATAATCGATTTTAATGAAAATAAATAATCGATTTTTGCGAAAAAATCGATTTTTTTTTCTATTATTTAAAATCCTACATGCTTTGCATATTCCAATAATAAACCTAAAAGATTCATATTAACAATTAATCAGATTAAAAAAAAATAATATGAATAAAAAAATTGACAATTCAAAACTAAAAATCAAAGCAAACGTTCTTTTAAACTTTCAAGGTAAGGAATAATAAAACCAAATATCATTATTGATAGAAATTCTCAGTATCTTTAAACGTTATATAATAATAAAAATGAGCACCCCAACAAAATGACAACCTTATTGTCGCAAAAAATTAAATATAATAATAAAAAAAAAATCGTCATGAATGTAAATGTTTAGTTTTCGATAAATATCAAACATCGATGTTGGACTTACGATGATGATATCGATGTTATTCTAATGTCGATCATATATACCTACATACCTACAGATGGCGCCGTTTTTATATAATCAACTTTTAAGTAATAATGCTTCGAGTTTTTTCATTTGGCGCATAGATGATGCTATTTATGAAAATCGATTTAACCGCGCAATTTATTTAATCGATTTGTTAAAAATCGATTAATATGAAATGGAAAATCGATTATAAAAAATCGATTATATTAAAATAATAATCGATTAAAATAAAAATCGATTATTTTTTAACATCCCTACTTTGTTTATTTTTCACGTTTCAGCGTGAGCAGATAAACTCTCGTAGTGTTTGTTACAAAATGGGTAAAGAAGAAGCATCAACAAAAAAGCGGCGTAAAATAAACTCCAGTTCTTCAACTGAAGTCGGCAAACAAGGACCGGCTGATCTGTACAAGGTTAGATTTCAGTTTCGTTGAGATTTGGGTTTCTATCATTTTTTTACTGTGCATTGTTAGTCGCGAATTCAAATATTTTACCTATGTTATTCATTCATTTCATTTTTCATTCATTTTAGCGTGTAGTTGAATTCGAAGAAATTGAATCTCAACTACGTCCTGCTGAAAAGGATGCTGCTTTGTTTCGAAAGATTTGTCACGATGTTCGTCAAATTTTTTCTGATATATCAGAACTAAAATCGAAGGACACTGATGAGGTAATAGACATTATTTTGATAAAAACATATACATGTTGTTGAATTTTATTTTCTTATCACATTCAGAACTGAATCATTTGAAGTCCACTGACTTGTACCTACTTTTGTCTAAATGCAATGTGAAAGATAGTTTCTAGAGGCAAAATAATCTCAAGTGGTTATGTGTAATCTTCCTAATTGTTATCAAATTGAATAATTTTAGGCAAAAGAAAAAATTAATTCTAAAAGAGTTGAAGCATCCTTGCTGCTAGTTACCTTGAAGAAACTGAATCGGCTGGAAAAAGTGCGTACTAGAGCTGGTAGAGAGGCTTTGCATAAAGAAAAACAGCAAGTAGATTCTACTCATTTACTATTGCAAAATTTGCTATATGAAGCTGATCATCTGAACAAAGAAGTGACTAAATGCCTCCAATTTAAATCAAAAGATGAAGAGATTGAACTTGTACCTCTTGAAGATTTTTATAAAGATGCACCTGAAGAAATTTCTCGACCAGTTAGTAATATAATCTTTTATATAAAAAAACGTTTGAAAAATATCATAAGTGGAATTATATTTTAATATAATGATAATTCTAACTTTCTTTTTGTATTTTGGTTTAGGAAGTCACAAAAACTGATGAACATCAGTTACAATTGGCAAGACTTGAGTGGGAGTTACAACAGAGACGTGACTTGGCTGGAGCTTGTAGTGAGTTGGTTGCCTCAAAAGAAAGAGTAGCTGCTGCTATAGCTGCGGCAAGATCAAGATTGGATGCCCTAGCACCTCACCTGCGAGATGTTCTTAAAGCAACAAAGCCACTTCAGGAATGCTTAGCAATGAGACTGGATGAAAAACGTGATGAATCTAGAGCTGCTTCATTACTGCCACCACCACTTTTTCTTTTGTTTGCAAATTCTAGTGCATATTCTGATGCTCTTGGTGAAGAAATTGTCACACTTTGTAAGTATTCATTCAGTCTAACTGTCAAAATATCTTCCGCCTTTATTTATTAATAACATGTAATAAATTTCTTCTTAATTATTGTGATGAATTGTAAAAATTTATTGAGAAATATATTTCTAGCCATATCCGGTGATGAAGATGAAGCTCGTAGACTGGAACAACAGAGCAGTGTAGAAAATGAATTGATTGTCTCAAATGATTCTGATTCTGATCAAGATAATAATGATGAAGATCAAAGAGAAAAGAAAAAGCGTCACCATAGAACATCAAAGATCTCTAAAGAAGAAAAAGCAGAGGCTAAGAAAAAAGAAGTGTTTAGAAAACATCCCTTAAATGTCCAAGTATCAGTAAAAGTTCAAGATGGTACTGCTCTAAATCTAATTTTCTCATACTTACTACATCTCAAAATTATTACAGTGAAATTCACAGTGTCATTGCCAAAACCTGTAACTGGAGTATCAGCAGCTGATGTCCTGAATGGAAGTTGCATATTGAATGAACTTTACCCAGCAGATAGTGGTAATGATTCACCCCACCCAGCTACTGCTTATTTACTCAAAGTAGCAGGGATTACTGAAGATTTCCAACATTTTATATCTGAAGTTGGAAGGCCTTATATTTGGGCTCAAAGAATGTGTGGTTTAGACTTCATGGCCACTGTTTTTGACAATCAGAAAAATAACAAGACATTCCAGCCTTGTCCAACTCTGAGTGTAACAACTGTGGAGCACTTCATTTTAACTCTTAGAAAGAGAATGAAGTCAAGAGTAGATTTGATGAAGGAATTGCAAGACCTAGAATGCGGTAAGATATTACCACTGAAAGGAATTTATGGGTCCATAAGATTATCTGGTTCATTAACACAGTGGCAGTCTGTAGGATGGCCTGAATATAGTCAGTCACCTTCTACAACATTTTTGATATCTGAGGGACTTGTATCACAAAATGACATGCTTTATAGAGCTATAATAACACGGCAATCTGCCAAATTAGTTGCTCTAGTAGCACTTAAAAGTGACTATCCAAAGAAGAGCCCTATATTTTCATTGACATTACATTGGAATGGAACTCATCATTCAGGCATTAATGATGATATTCGGGATATTGAGAGGGTGATTAATACAGATTGGTGTGTGGAAAGTTCTAAACAACCTTTACTAACTATACAAATGACAAAGTTGTTGACATATATGGATATTTTATTAGAGACTTCTGGTTCTTTAGAGTTTCCACCAGACAAGGTAATGTTTAGCCCAGTAAGAGGGCGCAATAGAATTAAACCATACAAGTTTATAAAACAAGGCACTGGCATATTTGTACAATTTTAAAAATAAAACATTTGTCGTATTTTATACTTTATTATTTAACTGTTTCGACTATTATCCATAGATAACCTCAAAGTTTGTATAACCGTTTTACACATTTCATTTTCTCGTCATTAATATAATAAATATTTGAACAGATATATTGCTCATATCCCCAGAAACTAAACGTCAGGTGTTATAGAAATCTCAAACAGCGAGGCACACCACCCTAACCATTCAGACCAGAAACTTAAAAAAAAAAACTGGAATCGAAACCGGGATATCAAAGATAGCAAAAAAATATAATATAGAAAGTTTTTATTTGAGCGCACTAAAAACCTAAATAAATAAATTCTAAACATTTTAAGTAGGCATTTATAATCAAACTTTTCTCTAACAGTAATGAGGAAGTATTTTAAGAAAAAAAAAAAAAACCACTAAAAGCACCTCGCTAGATGGCGATTCTACCAAAAGTTGATTTTTACAGGAAATAAATGGACCAAAGATAGTCATTTCCATTCCTTTTAACTAACATATTAAAAAACTGATATGTATTTGCAAAGTTGAAACATAGATATCAATAGAAATATGAAAAAGTACAAAAATAATATGAGTTGTTTATTGAGTTTTGAACATTATTTCACTTTTTAATATTTGATTTCGACTTCACCTGCGTAAATAATACCTATGTATGTATAATGCGTGTTATATAGCGTGTAGATGAAAGACTTTATAAATCGTTTCAATAGTTTCGGAGTCTATCCAATGCAAACAAACAAGCAATCAAATCTCTCCTCTTTATAAGTATAAAATTATTGGAAAATATTATGGTGATATATGATGAAAAGCGTATTTTGTTTGGTTATAAAAGGAAAGCATCTGATTCGATTTCGATAAAATTTAAATGGGACTCGTCCATTGAGCTGTCTAATAAAAAAAATATTTTGAAATTCGGTCAACAATTTACGGAAATATGGGTATACATCTACATTCTTTGTATGTTTGTTTGTTTGTAATGAGGCTCAAAAACTACTGGACCGTTTTTAAAAATCTTTCACCATTCGAAAGCTACATTATCCACGAGTAACATATTTTATTTTGGAAAAAAAATAGGGTTTCGTAAGATATTTGGGTTTTTCAGACACAATGTGTAAAAAATCAACCAGAAAAGTTACATACTTTGCGTACGCTGCCTAAACTTTAAAAGATAGAACCATAAAATGTTCTATTTAATTGTAGAACTTATAAATATCTACAAAAAAAAACTGCCCCGACACAGTATACCTATCTATGTCGAGTGAGGCACAACAATCATTTTTTTTATTTAAAAATCTTGATTCTTTTGGACTACATTCAAACGCGCTTAATTCTTATCATAATAAATATTTCATCACTAAGTACAGTTTGTGTAGTAGATAATATTTGGTCTTTGAATGATTAAAATCGGACGTTTGGTTTTGAAGTTATGGCGATATTAAAATATTACGATTTCTGTTGCACGGCCCGTAGCGAAGTGGGCGTCACCAAGGCGGGAGTACGCGTGCGGGAGGGGAGTTTAGATCTATGAGTAAGGTATCAGCGGACCACGCGGGCGAAGCCGCTGGCAGAAAGCTAGTAATAAACATAAAAAAAACACATCGCAGTCGAACCTATAACCTATTCCTTTTGGATTTTGAAATCGGTTAAAATTCCAACAAAATAAAAGAAGGTACACCGCTAGATAAGTATAATTTGGCTACGACCGTGCTACGACAAAAGAAACCCTGTAGATGTGTAAATGTTGTACTTTGAATGCCACGGACATGGACTTTAAGATACTGTATTTTTAATCATAATCTTTATCATGGCGAACCCCAAATACGATCTCCTAGGTAGTTGATGGATAGGCCGGCACTGGTGGCGCTGCCAGACTGACGTCAGCTTAGCAGCGCCACATTATTTCTTCTTTTCCAGTCTTTTTGAATTCATTAAAAGTATAGAAATTTAGCCGTGGCACTACTCAGCCTACTCGGGTGAGCCCAGCAGCGCCACAGACACTCGTTTATCTCCGGAACTATTATACGTAGACTACTTACGTCACAACTTTTGTCCCTATTTCGTAACAAACTGGTAAATAAGGGACCGTTATGGGTTGTGAATTCATTTCAAATAGAGAGAATGGCGCTGCTAACCGGACACACCAAAATTGCATATATTGTCGAGTTTACTATATTTTTTGCTATCAACGTATTTTCCGTCAGATTTGCAGTCTGACGACATTGATACTCGCTGATAATGTGGTTTTATATTGGTTAAATATTTTTTTACAATTAATCTAGCACTTATCGTCATATCAACAAAATTAAATATTTCATCTTTATATTTTTAGTACCCATGTACAGATGTTTTGGTTAACGTGTAAATAATATGCCAATGGTATGATGTTAAAAATAAGTATTTATTAAAACAAAACAAAAAATTTATAATACAACAGTCTTTATTCTTATTTCAATAAAGCATTGGACACTATGAGGTGAGAATACATATTATGATCACAATTTGTCAAATAAAAAAGTAATAATGACTTGAGGGCATAAAAGTAAAAACATTAATTCAGTTATTTTAAAGAAATACTAGTACATAATTTGTAGCTTAACCTAAAAATGCCATAATTATTTTTATTGGTCGATAATGAGATCTCTATAGCATTATGTCTATATTGAGATATATACTTAATAATTTCATTCCACATAATAACACTACAGTAGGTAATAATAAAACTTTACCTATGAGACTTATTTGGAAAAAATACTACGTTTCTACTCTTTTTGTTATTTTTTAATGTTTTGTAAGTTAATTCTACACCACGAGGGAGGACTGAAAAATATGTTACAAGTTACTGAAACTTTGTCGTTCAGTTTACGATAACTCCTCACAATGGAAATTGTAGTACAATTACAAACCTTATGAATACAAACAACCATTTTTTCAAGAAAGAATGCAAACACACAGCTATATATAGTCTATATCGTATTAATTTCAAAGCTATTATCGTCTCAATTTTTCGAGTTGTAACATTTCCTAGGCGATTATTATACTACAACTTGCATGATCTTTTCTCTATACTCTGTTACTTCACTTCATATAAAAAATATAGTTCACTATTGCAATCTCAAGTAATCTTCAATCATTTCAGAACATTTTGTGTACAATGATTTCTTTTTTTTGTAATTTATATAATTCACTTACTCCATTTTACATTTTTTTATTATGTTGTCCCTCAGCTACACTGAGTCAGTTTCATAGAACAAAATAAAATCACTTCTCATGTTGCATCTACTGTGCTTACGCCTATGTTTACTCGCTTATTGCATTATGAGATCCCAGCCTCGAGTTTCACTTCCATTATTTTACGCGGCCCTTTGAGGCAATTTAGCCGCCTTTGAACAGCATCCCGATCTGTAATAATATAAATGAACAATTATTATATAACTTTATTATACATCGCCCAGATCTAATTAAGTAGTTTAAGCAATTTTATAATTCCACTTTTTCATAAGACAATATATGAATGTTCATTTTCTAAATTGACTTTATAGGGAATCAAACCCGGGACCTCAGATATCACACGACACCTCGACGAGCTTCTAATTATATCACATTAAAAAATGTGATATAATCTATAGTTTTATGTATTGATAAAATTGAACGTTATATACGTAAGATATGTAACAGTAACAGACACTTTCATTGATAAAAAATTCATTAATTAAATTAGATAATTTAATTTTTAGGGTTCTGCAGGCTTTGCTGTCCTTCCGCCTGTCACGAGGCTGTATGTCATAATTGACAGTTAGACAGTTGAAATTTTCACACATGGTGTATTCTGTTGATGTTATTAAAATAATATAAAGCCAAATATTTAAGGGGGTTCTTATACAGTCATTTTTTGCCCTTCTTATATAGACAATGGTACGGAACCGTTAGTGCGCGAGTCCACTTCGCATTTGGTCGGTTGTTTGTAAATAAAATCAAGCTTATCCAGCTGACCTGGCAAAACTTGTTTTGCCATATAAAGAATCATGCCCACTTTCCATACACTGATTGACCTCTCACCTGTGTTTTTTAAAGATCGTGTCTACCTACATTAGTGATGATTTAAATTAGTTTTTGCATAAAATATAATAATACCAAGCAGAATAATATCTTTCATCTGGAGGCCAGGGAAATTCGTGATTTGTAAATAATGTTTTGAAGTTATATCAGCCGTCAAAACTTTTTATAGTTTGACTCGTAAATGTGGATATAAATTATGACGTAATTGTTAATGTGCACTTTTTAACCTTATGACGAAAGAATATTTTTCCGTAGTAGATGAAACGAAACGTAACAACCGTCATTGTACGGTCCGAATCGCATTGGGTTAGTGAAGCGGACCGTCATTGTAGGGTCCGTCGATCGAATCGAATAAGGGTAATTTTGAAAATATTTATCAGCCTCGCAACTTTTATCCTGATTTTATTTTAAGACTTTATTACATGATTTATCATATTATACAAGTAAAAAATGAGCTACATTTTGAGATATATCACATCACTAGACGCGTCAGTAAATTTTTAGGTCATAATTGGGCACGATTATTTGGGGCCACCATTATCACTTAGGGATGTAACAATTCTATTCTAAGACGTTGTACAGCTGATGATGATGATATGAATACGTACATTTAGATAGTGTGGTGCGGTGTGCTGGATGCAGAGGATGTCTCTGCACTAGAGAGTGCAGCAACACTTGCGCGGACATGTAACGTCGCTCGCACTCCTTCACGTCACCAAACAACTCCTCGATCGCTGCCATTTGGCACTGAATGAATGAATAATAATGATTATTATATTTTATCAGCTTTACATTCACAATGCTATACTGAATATAGATTGAATAGAATAGAAAGCGTTTATTTGGCATAAAATACAAAGTAACAAAATATTACATAGCAAAAAATATATAAATTATACCAAACGGGCCTCTGCTCAGTATGAGCCGAAGCAACATTTGCTACGGTACTGATTTTCAGCAGATGCCCCGAGACTTGAGGTTAATAAGACACTTAACATTTATAATTAGCAACACTTATATTAGTTACTCCATTAAAATTATTTAATTAAAACTACAATTAAAATAACATTTTAGTATAACAAATTCACACGAATTTCTAGCATGGGGTTAGAAATGGCATCAGGCTGCGGAACTTTAAGAGAAAGCAAAAATAATAATACTGGAAAATATCCTTAATGAAAAATGCTCAAAAAAATCCACTATGTCCCTGGTACTCTGAGATGGGATTCGAACCAGCGACCTTTCGCAAACGTGATCGAGTGATGGAACGCACGATGAAATTATAAAATGAGTCTTGTTTTAATAGGTATGAGGTGTAAAATCCAAAATGCCTGCCATTAGTATCTATCTCACTCGCACTCAGCAGGTCAGCTGGTGCGCTATTTGAATTCTGTCGATTGGCCGATTTCGAAATAAGTTGAGTAAAAGTGATAACTCAAACAAATATTTTTAATCACTAGATGAGAATTTATGATGAATAACAACAGTATTTAACTTATGAGAGTTCACGGATTCTGATTTATCAAATCTATCAGTTACTTTAAGATTTGCACTCTACAACTTACGACGTGTACAGATAAACAGGGCGTGCATTCATCGACCATCGAACGATCACAACTCGCGCGCAAAATACAGAACGTTGCGATTGGCCAAAATTTTTGCGCATATTTAAAAAATGATATTTGCACAAGCACAGCGGTGTAACAAATAAATATGTATGTACTTTATTTATAATAAAAAATGCATGTATGTTTTTCAAGTGTTAACAAATAGAATAAAACAAAAGAGAGCTATATTTTTAAATGCACTTTACCGTTTCGTATTATTGGATAAATTATAATATCTATGATATATAAATCAAGCTCACCAGTTCGATGGCGTGTTCGTAGAGGATTTTATCGCAGACAGCGGGCGTGATACCCGCTTCATGGAGCCTCCTCGACTCATTGACGATGCATTTGTACTTCCCGTTCATCAGAGATACCACTGAAAAATGTTTATCGTATGACATATCGTACGACAGTGTTATTATAAATAAGGTTTTTCAAAATGTCTCGCGGGCCGACTGATGCCCACCGTGGGTTTTAACCATTCACAATAAGATGATTCAGCAGATTCCTTATCGTGACATGGTTATCGCAAGATAATTGACGTGATTTCCGCGTGAAAGATTCAATTGTGAAATCTTTGATTGTCATAGGAAATAAGGGCCCTGATGTGGACAATATTTGTTTACGAGTTAACCTCGCATCAATAAATTATCGATTCCAGTGATGGACCAATATATAAATCAGCCTTGTTCAAATAACCATAAGGTGTAAAATATAACGCATTGAGTATCTGTTTCACTCACACTCGGCAGGGTCAGACGGGATACTACTTGATTGGTCGACATTTGCCGCACTTAACTTCGCACACACCGCACATAGGGTTACCACAATTTATCGTAGTTCCGCAATGGATTTTTACATTGTAGAAATCAAAACGTATTAAGGTTTAAACTTGGAGAAAATTGGTAGTTTTTTATATTATATAAGCTTATACTAATTTACTATATTAAATTTATTTTATAAAGAATAGAACAATTTTTCAATGAATTATTAGGACATGCCAGTCAATATTATGCTGAGGCATGATCGCGATTGACCTTTTTATAGTATTGTTGCTTTCTTAAGTTGTGTCCTACAAGTGAAAATAGAGGTTTTTGTTGTGTTCTGAAAATATGAACATTTTAACTTATAAATATTTAACAAAACAAATGTCGACGACGACGAAAATACACTTTTTGTTACCATAGTAAGGCGTGACGTCACTTCATGAGCGTTTTCGGCCGACTAGGAGCAGTTCCACAAACAACAGCATATCACCGACATTCTATTAGATCTACATTATTTCTCAGATATTAATAGACTATTTATGTATAAAATAAAAAAGTTGTCAACTAGCCTATTGTTATTGTTTTATTTTTGGTTAAGAAATGTTTCTTCTTATTTATCTTCTATATGTCAATTGACAATAGTAACCCTTTGAAGCTGACTTACTACACTTAAGCGGTACATTGGACAAAACATATTTGTTCCGCGAAACTGCTTAACACTTTATTGGTGGACACACATCGTAACGTATGATTGTATAGAGACATACCGTTCCTGACTTGAGGCGTGGGCTGCAGCGTGCGGTTCCGGTAATGAGCGGCGGCGAGTCTCAGACCGGCCGCTAGCGCTTGCATCGCCTGCACGAGCAGACCGAGACGCACGCTCTCGTTGCAACGTTCTAAAACCACCACATCAACAAATAATCTCTTTATATATATTATTATATGCCAAGATTGCGTGAAGTGAATTAGTTAAGTATACTCATCATCATCAGCCCTTTATTTCGTCCCCACTGCAGGGGCTTAGACCTTCCTTATGGTTAAGGAGCATGGGCCATGACACTCCACGCTGGCCCAATGCGGATTGGCGGCCGTTAACGACTACAAATGCAGCCGGGACCAACGGCTTAACGTGCCTTCCGAAGCACGGGGTAGCTCAAGATAATATTTTTTGGGTCACCCATCCCGTGACCGACCCTTGCGAAAGTTGCTTAACGACAACGATCGCGTGGCGCGGCGCTTATCTACTAGCCACCGAGTTACTCCACCATTAGTTGAGTATACTGAACAATTTTTAATACAGAAGCAACACTGAATTCACGAAAAAATGACCAGCTATTTCATACAAAATTGTAACACCTACATTCGATGACAGTATGATACAGCTGATGATTTTTTCGTGAATTCAGTGTTGCTCCCATAGTAAATTTTGTTTAGTATAGTTAACTAATCCACCCCACGAAGTCTGCCAGGACTCCATTTTGTAGATAAGATGTAATATAATAATATTACAACTTATATATAAATGAATCCCTATTTCCCTTGGTCACGCCATTACATGTGAACGGCTGGACCAATTTCGCTAATTCTTTTTTTTTTGTTGTGTTTGCTATTACCAGGGGAAGGTTCTTATGAATGAAAAAAAAGAAAGAAAATTGTGTGGGAAATTTAAGAATATTTAACCTCCATATAAAATCAACTAACTACAGCTTATTAATTATAAATTAACTACAGCTTTGGATAATATAAACTTTTTAATGTAATTTTATGAGAATTGACAGAATGCGTTAAATAGCATGTAATAAAAAAAACAAAACTATTCGAATTCCATATTCATAATTAAGAAAGGACAACGTCTGTCCGGTCAGCTAGTAATAAATAATAATATAAAAGTTTATTCACTTAGGCGGTACATTTTTATTCTGGAAACTGGAGGGATGGTATTAACATTGGATTCTATTGTATTAAGGTCTGCTAATCCAGTTGAGACCAACGGCTTAACGTGCCTTCAAAGCACGGAGTAGTTAGAGGTGATAATTTTTTGGTCACCCATCCCGAGAACGGCCCTTGTGAAAGTTGCTTAACGACAACAATCGAGGGCCGACATGAATTTATAAATACATTTTGGAAATATCTTTTGAATCCTCTCTGTTTACCGCGCAAGTGATAAGATATAGAGAGAAATTAGTGTCATACCATCAGAGGCATCCATAAGCGCGGCTATAGGTGCACCGCAGGAAACCGCCAACTCTGATAGCAGTTCAGCCAACATAAGGACGAAATTTAACTGCGAGAACACCTTGCTGTGCTCCTCCTACCGAAAAAAAGTTATGTTTTATATGTTGTTTAATTTGGATTATTTTTTCTGAAGTTTTCTTCACTAATTGACTGATTGTTTTCGTTGGACAATTGAAATTCATGAATTGAAATATGATTTTCCTTTATTTAAAAAACTTATTGAAGAAAAATAAAAACGAAAGTTTTAGAATACATTTCATAAAACAGTCATAAAAGTCGGGTAGCCAATAGGGGAATACAAAATGAGCTGAGGGCTAAATTATTTTATTGAAGGCTGAAAAACCATAAAAAGGGCTAGATCTAGTCTCCAAAGGGTCAATTGGCATCACTGGTTACCGCTAGTATGGTTTCCTCTTGTAGATTGGGTATGTGCAGGGGCGGATCGGGCTGGTGCAGCTTCAGGCCGCGTAGTAACGTATCGGGGAGCGCCACACCGCGCTTCGGTGATCCACTGCCGCCGCCCTCGCCTGATGCCTTCAGCGTCAGTGACACCGGGGGCGAAGAACCTGTCACCAAAAAACATAAATATTACACATCATATACACTTCTCGGTAGGGTTGAGATGACGTATTTGCTGGAATTATTTATTAGCCTTTTTACGTCTCCAGGATTACAGGGGCTCAGGCCACATGGATGGTCAAGGAGGACGGGACATAACCCTCCAAACTGGCCCAATGTGGATTGGAGGGTATTAACGACTGCAAATGCGTGCCATTCGAAATATGGAGAAACTTATTTTTTGATCATTTGCGAAACCCGTGACTGACCCTTGCGAAAGTTGTTTAACAACAAATATCAGAGTATAATGCGAGCGTTGAAAGTAAACAATATGTATCGTTCATTATAGAAGTGTATCGTATCTGCGGAGTACCAACTATTGTAGCGGGTACTGTACACTCATTCCCAAAATTATATCTGTAGTAAGTTCAGGGCAGGTGAAAAAAAAGCGGACAATGAACCAAAGTATTGTGTAAGCGTTGAAAGTAAACGATATGTATTGTTAACCATAGAAGTGTATCGTATCTGCGGAGTACTGCTTATTGTTATAAAGGCCGGGGTCAGCGTTATATAACGTCCCGTACCTTCAACAAAATTCACTACAATACGAAAACGATACAGAGATCAATGGATAGCGAAATATTTTTTTATGGTCACCTAATATCTGTCATTGTTTTTACACTTACCCTAGGAATAAGAATATACAAAAAGTTCATTAACTCTACTGGGGACGAATTCGGGAGCTCAGAAAAGGCGGTACCTTGAATCCGGTATACGAGTTATTTAGTCACAGAGGTCATCAAATGCAGTAATCTTTTGTGAGTGATGTTGCTAAGAATAAATCGTTTATCATTATGATGCAACGCCCTCAATTAATAACGTTGGTTACATAAATTCCTTTTTATTACCGAATGAATTATTGTAGCGATTGACTATTTATAACGTAATATTATTTATGCCAACTTGGACTTGTTTATTATAGTCTCATTTTGTAACATCATCTATGACGATAGATACTTAGCTAAATGCTTATTCAACATTAGTTTTCTAAATAAGTATAAAATGAAATAAGATTTTGAAAAACGAAATCACTTTTATTTATTCGTATTCTGCTAACTAATATAAATTAATCCATCAATTAAACATATCCAGGGCCGGATTAGGCACGTTGCAAAAATAGCAAATGCTACGGGTCTCGCCAATAAATTAATGTTTTTAAGTCAGTGCTAAAAATACATGAAGTCAAATAAGCCATGGTTGTGACTCATAGTCATATTTTTAAGTATGAACATAAACTGACAAATATAACTCAAGTCACAGATTAGTTGTGTTGTGTTATACGGATAGCAAAGGACGATTCTGTTTTTTTTTTGTGTGTATGCGTAATTTGTTACATGCCCCGCTCTGGCTTAATTCGGCACTGAACATATCGCTATAAATAAGAATATTTCTATTAAAAAGTAATATAAAAACAATTAGAATATTTTTATTTATTTTGCTTTTTTGTTGTTATTTCTTGTAATTTTTCTGTCATATTTGTAAACTGTATATAAATTGTGTATGTGATGTGTGTTGCGAAATAAAAATCCAATTCTATTATATTCTAATATCATCAGTGTCATACGACATTCATAAATAATGATACGTTTTTAGCAATATGAACATTTGTAATGGAGAGATCTGTCTTTACCTGATCTGCGTAGGGGGCTGGCGTTAGTGGGCGACACCTGCCACAAAGATGGCGGCGGCGAGCTGCCAGAGTTGCTACTCCGGCGGCGAAGACGCGGCGTGCCCATAGTGAATGGTACCTGCAGATAATATCAATATTTACTAGTCGTTCATTTCAACTACACAATGTATTACGGTTCGGAGCTTCAATACTTAACTCACGAGTTTTAAGTTAAATTTTATCGATAATAGTATAATATTATTACTTGTAAATAAGTGAATTGTATGAATGTGTATGTGGCGGTAAAATGATAAAAAGTCATAATAGTTTTATAACTTAATTATATAAATAAACATTATGCTCTTTTAATTTATGTTACAAACTAATATGTGACAGAAAAAGCTTGCCGATATAGGTTTAGAAATGCCAATTCCTGCGTTAATTATATTCATAAGCGTAAACTAGAATTTACTTAAATTATCTGGGTAATGATGATGTCCAACGCGAGTCGAATGTATATGGAATATGAACTTAAATTAATAAACAATGTTTTGAAGACATCATATTTATAGCCTACATTAAAATAAAAACCATTGAATGGAATTGCAACGTAACATAAATTATTATTTGTTCACAGTAAATAACATCCCAAATGTTTGTTTAAATCTCTTTGTAGAGATTTGGCTCTACAAAGAGATTCACGTAGGTACTACAAATAGTACCTACGTGAATATCTGATGACGTTGAATTGTGTTTTGTGGTTTGATTTGACGTTTAGTGAGTTGATATAAAATGGGACTATGGCGTAGCGTTATGGTTGGAATATTCAAATATATTTTAACTCAATGCATGCATGTATATGAATAATAATAAAAAATGGAACTAAGATAAGTGAGGACTAAAAATGCAGTATACTATAATTTGATAATCGTTCCGTCATTATTTTGCCATGCGCATAAAAAATCATTATTATATATAACTGATAAATCATGTACAAGAATAATTAAGTCCTACAGAGTTATCTATCATGGATTGATTAGTTATCGACCTGAATCATATTATGTAAGATAAACTTGTACCTGTGTAATACATGTAGTTACATTGTGTATGAAATGTAAGATTGATTTAATTGATATTGTTATATCAGTATCTATCCGAGTTTACTGCGATAAAGTGTAAAATGTTGATGAAGATTTGAAAATCGCAGAAACATTTAAAATAATGCAATCACGGTACAGCTTTGTTACGTTCCATCACACTTTTATATTTGCCATTCCATCAGTCTCCCCAAAAATTTTACAGACTTTTCAATAGGTCTAGAAGTTAATATGCTTTAATTAATGTCATATACATTGTAGTATAAGATTATGATTTCACTAGAACTGATGAAGGTTTCACACTTTTAAGACCTTTTAAAACGTAACTATACGCTAGGCCTCCTTTACCTCACCAACAAGATTTAGGCTAGAAAATCTCATATCTGATTTTGGTATTAAAATTTACCTTCATAGTCTCATTAAATTCCGTGACTACGTTGTAAGTTATTAACTCTCTTACACAAAACGGCTGAGCGCACAAAAAGGTTCAGTACAAACTACAGCGAAACTGCTGCCGATAGGAATATACTTATGTCATATGATAATATTAGTTAATTGGTGTAGATATTAGCTTTGAAACTTAGCTAATTGAAGAATGTCTTCGATTTTTGGAAGTTGTCTAGAAAGACCCTTTAATAAGAATGACGACTGGGTAAATAAAAAAGAAATTCTCTTTAGTTCGTCAGTCAGATATTATAAAAAAAATATTAGATATGTATTTTTTTTTAACAGGCATTAAAGTTGAAGAGAGGTGGCTTGTAACAATTAGTAGAAAATGTACCAAAGCGTGACGTCATGTGACATTTTAACTCAATGTATCGTTGCAATTTAATGATTACGAAAAAAAGTACATGTTTAATATTTTTCAACAATCTACCTGACGGATAAACAAACTAAAATTATTCTACATCTCTATTAACTTTAATAACCTCTTTGGAACAATATAAAAAGGTTTTAATCGCGAATAACTTTTGACCCTGAATAACTCACGACGCAGACACGAGATTATAATGAGACTTTTCAGACAACATTGAGAACGTTATCATTACTCTCATTCTAAGACTTGACTTTCTTTCTTGTCAATTTGACTGGGATATACGTTGTTTTTCTGTATTAATTGTAAAGCTAACGATTTAGTCTGCTGGTTGTTGATGCTAAATTCATCAAATACAGGTATGTATCTACACGTAACTTGTTTGTGGTCTCATTGCACTGCGATAAACTAAGTTATAAATATTAACGTGACGTAATTAAATTGGTTTTGTCACCTCTGCGAGCTCAGTTCATGCTATAAATATTTGGCAATTGAATTGCTGCAGGTATGTCAGTCTTTAGCATTTGCGTACTTAATCGTAAATAAACTCTATCATAACACATGTAGTATGGACCATTACCGTAACAAAAATATTTACATTTAATAAAATGTGCTACTCTTGGCTGGCATGTCCAAGCGAGTGTATAGCAGCTCGGGCTCGCTACCGTCTATCCCGCGTACCAGCCATCCCGGCAATTACATTCACGCGCAAGGAAATCGACTCACAATGAGTCTCCTAATTTCGCTTTTTTTTTATTCATACACTTATTAATAAATATCATATGTTAATGGTTTAAAAGTCGTAATGACCTCACCTTTGAACTAATAATTAACATTTATTCAGTACTATTCGATTAGGGTAACAACCCTTAATGTCCCATTCTAAAAATCCATCATGTATAATTATTATATATTTATATAAATAAATCATAATAAATGTTTGAGCAATATGGAGTGGGTTGATTAGATTGCTCGCAAGCGTACATACATTGTAAGCCCTTAAGCGTGCGCGCAGTGACGATTTTTGTCTCTTGTCATCGTGCTTAAGGATCTTTTTATGGTTATAAAGTATTTATGGTTCAATTTACAATTTGTCAGCACTGATTCGTCTAGATTTATGAGTTATTCACTGACTTCCATTCACCTAAACTTCGCTTAAGAAACTTTACGGTGGTGCGTGCATTTGAACACGTGGCAATTAGGTAATTTCCATAGAACGGACAAGAGCACGGTGAAAATCAACAGTGCACGCGATATTAATAGACGGAGAGCTCGAGAGAGAAATGTGCAAGAGCTTTATGTTTTAGTATGATGAAGTACTAAGGGGATCACTTAGTACCAAGTGCAGAGGTCAGGTGCGGCGGGAAACAAGCTACTAGTTAAATTAAAGTCTGAGTATTTTTTAACTACTACTACTACTATTTTTTACAATTACTAAAAATAATTTACTAATGAATTAACTTTCAACCATTACGAAACTCTCTTTCGGAGTCTATTTTCCAATCAATTTCGAAATCTGCTGAGGCGCCGCGTTTCAAGTTATGATGTGCAATCTGAACATTTTGGTCTGATTTTTTTTCTATTAAGTATTATAAGCTAATTTTAAACTATTAAAAAGCATCTTTAATATGTGTTACGATTTTTCGTACTTAAGATTACTTGAACGCATTCGCGATCGATCGACGTTGCAATTATGACGTTTCGTACTCTTGATTTGGTAAACTAGCGTCAATTGGCTCAATATTGCGTGGTTATTGTATAAAGTAAATGACATTAAGAAAGTATTATGGTTATAATAGTGTCTTAATAGAAGATTGAAATTGACATTGAAATTGCGTTCGTGAGTAAGCCTGCTTGTGTTTTATCGCCTGATCTCCGCACTGGGTATCGAGTGATGTTATGTTACCTTTAGTAGTTCAATATTCTGAAATATCAAGCTTTAGAAAGCTGTTGCACATTTATGTCACGAGCTCCTAGACTATTAGTGTGGACTCACAGTGGGCGGTGATAGTGAGCCGATGTTGTTCGTTCGGCTGGTGGCGCGTCGCACGTCGATCGGCTGTGAGCGCGGCACGGTGTTATTCGATGCTAGCTCGATCGTGTTCTGGAACCCGCCCAGATTAGTCACGTGTCAAAGCGAACTCGTTTAGATACACACAAACGCTTTGACGACAGGCTTTTACCAAGCTCATTTCAAAATTCATTTATCGTTGATAATTTTGAGAAAAAATAATTAATATTATTGGAAATGATATTGTTTCCAAATAATATTAATACACATTTAAAAACCGTAGCTTCTAGCGTTCGGTCGGTCTCCGCCTACTGCGTAAGAGAGAGTCTTACGTAAAGATATTCACGTTTCTACTTTCACAAAATGCTAGTCAATTTAGATGACGTTATGCATAAGTTATGTACATTCAATAGGGATGAAGACTAATTTCTGTTTATTTGTCCGTCATTTTCTACAAAATTGTGACGTAGCGAGCTCCTTGAAGCAAAAAAATACGCATCTAGTATTTTTCTATTATCTGACTGACGGACTAAATAGAATTTCTTTTTTTTTTACTCAGTCGTCATCCCTATTATGTGAATAATTTTTTCAAAATATTACGAAAATTGATTGAATAAAACTTAGAAAAGGACAAGTAAAAGCCCGCCTTAGCGTAACGAACACGAATATATGTTAGTTTGCTGATACACTGGTACACTCTTGTTTAATCACTAAACAGGGTAAGTTAAAAGTCAGTGCACAATTTTTTTTCTTATGGTATAGATAGAACGCAAATGAAAACAAATAAACAATTGCAATCTCGTATTTAAAAAAAAAAAACAAAAATCAATCTTAACATATCATTAACATAGGGTGTTTATAAGAAGTAACATATTTATAAATATCTGTTTTTTCTTATTTATCTCCGACGCTAGTTGAGAAAAAAAGAACTTTATAGTAATGAACACATTATAAAAATTTATGCACTGATTACAACTTTTCCTGTGCTTAAAAAGATTAAATGTTGTCACGCTTTGGAAAACATATAGCACGTGATATGTAAATAAGATATTTCAGTTTTGTTTTTGCTATAGATTTTTAATTTCTTTAGGTTTATTTAGAAAATGTATTATGAGTATGCTTAATATTGTACTTTAGATTGTCTTCATATAAAATGACCAATACAGGTATATAGAGTCGTTAGATTTTAATAACACCAGTAAGTGTAGTGTTTGAAATTTATAGTGATATTACATGAATACTGCCGGGTAACTGTCTATCTAAGGCGTGCTAAACACGATCAGTTAGGTATGCGATACACACTACATAAATAAAATAGTGTCCAATAAAGAGACGATCATGTATATATAGAACTGAATGATGTTTTGTCTACAGAGATTAACGACGAACGCTTAATTTGGTTATCGAATATACTTAATCTTGACAAATATTTTTTTTCTTTTGTGTTTCACATCTTGCCTGTCAACGACATAGATAAGAGTCAAATGAGTTCTGCAAAATTACTTTAATGAGTTACTTGCTAGCCATTACGATTATTATAAAAATTATTTGTATCAACTCTTAGCTATAAATTGACTCACATAGTTATCTGGTAATAAAAAAGGTGAATATAATTCTTGAAGATATTGAAAGTCGTTGATCTTCGTTTTCCTGTACGAGAAAATTAATAAAATGACAAACGAAACGCGTTTGTGAAGAAACACGAGTAAGATTCCCGGTGTGCAAAGATATACTTATTCTATATTATCACTTAGCTAAACATAAGCAGTTATTGAACTACAATTTATTTAGATTTTATTTTGTTCGCAATAGGGCATCGGACAATATTCCGAAAAGCGTTATAGCGTCTTGAAGTATCCAAACTAATATTTCACTATTGATTGATCAAAAATGTCGTATAAACGATACCTTATGTCAAAAAAACAGAAAAATTACCATCCTAATCAGTATGCATGTGTGCTGATTTGTAATGCAAATAAATGAATTATCTAGCTATTTAATAAATAATTATTTTACACTTTGAACGTTTCGCGCTTTTCTCAGATAATATTATCACCACCACACTCGCTGTGACTGGTTTTTCGTTTGACGTTAAACACAGACTACGAATATTCATTTATTACCTTTTTTAAATACAATTTTAATAATTATAATAGATAAATAATCTAATTTATTTTTCTGATTACTGATTATATATTAGTGATTTTCTTTAGAGTTTATCTTAGTATTACTTAGGTGGGTAAATATAAAGTGTATTGTATTGTATACACGACTGCACATTACCACAATATGTTATATGTCCACTATAGGGTAGTTCCGGTAGTGAATATAATTCACGAATTTGCACAAAAACTTAAGTTGACATCGTAAAAAACATAGATATTCTGATTTTGAGTCTTAAAAATCGCACGATTATCTTAGAATTAAATCTAAGTTTGTTTGTGTGTCACGCATGGACTACTACTATGAAAGAACTTATAACTGTGTATAAGGAGATGCGGTGGTGACTGTACATACCCGGTATTGTACTGTGTCTGGAGGGTTGGCGGGCGGCGGTGCGGCCTGGAGCGGCAGGGAGCGGGGCCGCGGCGTCGCCTCGGAGCCCGAGGAGGCCGAGCACTCACCCGACCCGCCCTCCGCGTCTACCATCACAAAACCGTCGTCGTCCGCCCAAGTCGTGCCCGACGACTCGGCTAAATCATAAAAACAAACGTAACCATTTCCGGAACAGTCTTCAAAGCTTCCATTAATTATATTAAACGACTATCAGATTTATTTTTCACTAAAGTGTTATTAAATAAAGGAAAAAACATTTTTATTAAACATGGCTACTGGTTGCACTCGCAGCAAAGACGTTGAAGTTTGGGTTTTGAAATGTGACGTCATACGATACTCCGTCATGCCATCTCATCCGTGCTTCGGTTCTCCTAATTTACATATTATTAATCGCAATAAATTATAAATCGTTATAAACCAGGTATTTGGAAAATGCGTGCTTGTGTCATTTAGTGGGTGTTAACGACTGCAGATGCAGCCGTGACCAAAGGCTTAACGTGCCATCCGAAGCACGGAGGAAAATAAATTTTTGGTCACCCATCCTCCGACCGGCTCTTACGAAAGTTGTTTAACTTCCGTATCGCAGACTGAATTCACTAACCACTGCGCCATCGACCACCAAAAAAATATTATGAACATTGTAATTATTTCAACATAACATAACCAGTATATTATTTATATATTATCAAGTATCTCCAACTGCTCTAGTCCGACATTCATGTCATTCGAAAATAATTACTTATGCAATTAAATATAATAATAACTCGTCAATAACAAACGACTCGGATGATATAATTTTCCACTATAGTTTACAATAAATATGTGTCAATGTAAAATTGCAAATAGCCTTAGTTTAAGTAGATATCCGCCAGCGGCGACGCCCGCGTGATAATGAATAGTATTATACATAAAAACCTTCCCCTTGAATCACTCTTTTTTTTGTGAACTCACGTTAAATACCCCGATAATGTTTCGCAATCAGAACATTAACGTGAAAATAAGAACCGCCATTCAAATGTTTACTGACCATTATGTCCGCAGATTGGTTAGACCGGGTTATCAATTTGTCAATTATATGCATTATATTACTTGTGCCATAAATAAAATTTATGTAAAACTTAAAAAAGGAGATAAGTCATTAACTGTGTGTATGTTTCAAATTGAATTCAAATATATGCAGTTTATTACGAGAGCAATTATGAAATAATTATCTGAGCGACTGTCGACGTCTGATTTTATCAAATGGACAAAATTATTTTTGATAAGAAACCAGCTACTATATGAGATTTTTAGATACAGAAATATACCATTAAAAATTAGAACATTCATTAGAGCTTAAAGTGGTAATTAAATTTTAAGATTAATATACTTAATGAAGAATGCTTAAAAAAACACTATCTCTTTGACCTTTCGGAATCCGGACTATTCTAACCACTAAGCTTAACAGGACAGGACTTAAAGCACATTTTCGCTACTAAACACTAGATGGGTTAACTTATCTAGTATAGACGTAATCGATTAGGTATAGGTACTTGTAGTGTAAGACCATAATATAACTTTAATAATATCTTCAAATATAAATGTACAAAGTCATTATAGAAACTAGAGTGTATACGCCAGTTTAAGTGAATCAGAAATTGTGTTCTAGTTGTATAGGTTGTAGTAGTGCGCTAAACGGGAGCCATGTATTGGCATTTCTTTGAGTAATTTTTCATAAAAATAACATTTGTGTTCCTAAAGTTTGAGTGAGAATGTGATAGATTTATATATTTTTGAAATCATTTCAACTTTTAACGTCCGCGACCCGCGTATCATTGTTACGATGTTATAGAGGGATGAGTTGATACTACTCTTTGTTCGATATAAATACTACTGGTAACGATATCACATTCGATACTTTAATAAAGGATTAATACTTGTGAGTATTGTTTAAATTCATATACGACAGTTACTGCCTTATTTATTTAAATTAGTAGTGTTCTTTTAGCGGTCAAAATTCGTCCAAGAGACCTATTTATATATATTGGCGGCAAATAAGTCCATTGCATGTCATTTCGCTTGATTGGCTGTCCTGGTAAAGCCATAGTGCAGAGGCGCCATCGTGATATCAATCGTTACGGTACTAGACTGTTTTCATTCGATATAAGTACTCAGTATCGAATGTTGGTATGATCGAATGCCAGTAGTAGTATCAAACGAAAAGTATCAATACAACATGAGTATTCAGTGCAGTATCGGTGCATACTTAATGGGAGTACTATTCTTCTGTATGGAACTTACCGGATGAAGTGGGATGTGTTTTTTTCGGTGCCGCGAGCTGTTGTGGTAACGGTGCAGGCGCGGGGGCAGGTGCGGGGGTAGGTGCGGGGGCGGGGGCGGGGGCCACTACCCGGGGCGTACTTGACACGCGTGACATTGGATTTGCCGTCGTCGCGCCCATGCCGCTGCTACCACCCGCTGTCGTATACAAACATTCATTGTAATTTTTTATCCATGTACCGGATTAAGGTCAAGTTTTTTTCAGTCAAACTTAACAAAGTGAAGGTCCGATTCTAGTGCATTTGAACGTATTTTATTTATATTTGAAAGAATGCCCAATAACGGTGCCGATGCGATTGATAAATATATAATAATGATATCATTAATGCCTAGTGCTTACAACGCAATATACAAGTTCGCGAGTATTATCTAGTACGATCTCCATTCGTTAATTAAGAATAATCAAAATCATACATTTTACGTAACGCTGTTAAACAAAGCTACATCGATCAAACTATTAACGTTAGCCGGGCAGCAATCAAGCCGCATCATTAGGATTTCTTGAGTGTGAAATAACGATACTGGTTATATAAATATAGTAGGACTTCTGAGTGTACGCGACTTTCGTTTACATAAGTTAATTACTAAGCTATATATATGTTGTTGAATATTATTAAAACACACAGTTCAATAAGATGACTGTTGTGTCAATTCATGAAGTGGAATTATGAATTCGTGATTATTTTTATTTACATCGAAAGCCATGCTGTGCAAGCTGAATCATTATGGAGTGAAAAATTCATTTTGCTCACTTTGTAATAAGAGTATCGTATCGTAAATAAATTCAACACCCCATGCACAAACATAGTATACTTGTCTGGCCTAGAAATATGTTTTATGTACCCTGGCTCTGCCATGACTCTTCTAAGAAACAGTTAGTTTCGGCGCGACCTTCGAGATCGCTCTCCAATATATCAGGAAGATCAGAATCCAAACCTAAACAATATTCGTTATATGTAGAGCAAGTTTCAATTAAGATGGTACATGAATTTTCGTTTACACAGAACAGACCTACCAATACCAACGATGACCGGATGTACAATTAAAAATAATGAGCTTTGTTTCAATAGCAATAAGGTGCAAAAATACAACGTATAAAATTTTGGTCCCACTCAAACTATGCGGGTGTTGGACACGAGGATCGCCCGATGGCGCGCTACTTGAATCTTTCTGATTGGTCAACATTTGTCGCGTTTTGAAATTTAAACTTTTGCTCAGGTACACAGGTACACCAGTTGATTTTGGACTCTACCTTCAAATCAAGATTTAAAATCAAGTGAACAATTTTCTCAAATTTGTATAACCTGACGCGCTATTGACTGTACATCGGCTGCGTCTTACTGTACTTTACTTGAAAGTTACATGTTGGAAACCGTGTCAAACTAAAAGCGCAGTTAATGTTTATGTAGTAAGCGCAAGGGATACAAAACAGGTTTAAATACTTATTAAACTTTATATTAATTTCGTGATTTGATCTAAAGCTCAACTCTAGCTAGAAATTATTATTAAATACGTAAATGCCGAGAGAGCGGAGTGCCCTTATTGCACATATCGCAATCTCGCGTTTCATACTTTCAACATAATCTACTAAAACTTTAGCTTCTATAGCTATATAACGAGAATGAATATAAGATCTGCAGAGCGATTCCGTGAAAATCTGAACCCGAATTCAAATTCACTTATGTGTCCGAATACCGTCCATTCCATTTTTGAAATGCACTAATGCCACGAAACGTTAATGGCAATTCAAGAAATGAAATGAAAATGTGTTTATTCAAGTAAGCTTGTTACAAGAACTTTTGAATCGTCCAAAAATACTTTTTCCCCTACCACTTGTTCAGGACGTCTTTTAGCTGACAAGAAGCACAAGCGAAAGAAACTTACCAGCTTTTTATCATAAGTAATGACATTTACATAAATCATGTCATTACCAAAATAATACATATATTGAACAATAATAATAGAAGTTTCAAAGTCTGTAGGACATAGGTTGGTACATACCTATAATTAATCGTTATAGAACAGAGCGAAGGCTATTAATTCCATGCATTGCGATCCTTAAAATAATCATCAACTTTATAATTAATAGCCTTAATCATAAGTATATTCTTTATAAGGTTAAGTGGATGACACTTTCGTAGTGAATTCGGACAAATGAGTCAATTCGAAATTGGGTTTTTTAACAGAATCGCAGGACACGTTTCTTTTTTTTAATATTGACGTGCATATACTCTTACAAAGGCATATATCAATGTTGAATCGAAATTAAATAACCTTACACAAAACATATTCTATAAAACCTTAAAGATTAGAAAAATAGTAAAAATAAGAGGGCTAAATTAAATCAACATAAGTAAATTGTCCGTAATAGATTTGAAATTTAGAACAATGGAACAGGGATGGCCTCGACCGACCGATCGACGACGTCGTCAGTTAGTTAGTCATCGAGCACTTACTTCTATGTTTCATTTGTACATTTAGCATTGTTTTTTAAGTTTCATTTAATATTGTTGATATGTGTCATAATAATTCTATTAATTATTTAGTAATACTTTTGTGTGAAGAACAGAATATTATTTACGGAAGTAAATATAAAGAGTCATATCAAATAAATTACTGTAATAAATAAATGGTTCAAATATTCAAACAAAACATCGATAACGATATAAACATTTATAACTGTGTGTTGACGAAATACATTTATTAATAAACACCGTATTGTAGGTACTGGCAACACTGATTGTATATAGATTGTATGGACTCACTCGATGTATATCGGGGCCGTTGTAGGAACGGATGGTTGAAGAAGGCTTCGAAGGGCATACGCTCGCGTGGGCTACGTCGCAGTAGACCAATGAGGAGATTACATAGTTCTGGACTGGTTCCCGATGGCATCCTGTATTATAAACGAAATCTCCAATTATTATTTTATAGACCATGATTGCAAACATATAAGTGCAAAATTCATTCCAAATTAACGTTTTATATAAACTTTATTCTGAATTGAAGATTAATTGTTTTATTGTAATCGTTATCCTTAATCATTTATAAATGATTTGATAAAATAATATATAAATGATTAATTAATCCATAACGAAAGATACTAAACGTCAATGTTAATCTGTGTAACATATTCACCTCTACAAATAATAAAACTTATAACTATAAACACTATTAGTGTATGCAATAAATTATAAATCGTATTTCATTTTCTGTCCATAAATAAAATGAGAAAGTATGTGTGTCTTACGCTTTCATGGCCAAATAAGGCTAGGCTAGCTAGCTTATTTTTTTTTACAAAATATCAATTATACACTCTGAATTTACGCGGATGAAGTCGCGGTGGTCGATAGTAATTAATATTCAATGCACCTGTATCGTAATTTAGGTGACCTTTATATTGAACAGAATAAAGATGTATATACCTACCCAAATCTATTAAATTAATGAGTCAATTGGTGCGTTTGTAAGACCTTCAAATGATAATTAATTCATTATAAAAAATGCTAACTACGAAATTCGAACACAGACTACTAATAACACTCTGATATCGCGCTAGTTTATATCTCGTTCTTTTTTATTTTATCTATCAGCATAAAAAAGTTTATAATAAAAAGGTTGTAATGGTCTGCGATTTGAATACAAATTAGTTTTAGGAGAACTAAGGCGAGTTAAGAACAATATTTATAACTCACTTGGGCTGAAGATCTACGCTGTTTTCATAGAACGCTTTTAGTTCATGCGGAGTGGTGGCTTGAAAAGGAGCTTTACCAGTTAAGCACTGATAAACTATCGTGCCTAAGCTCCACAAGTCTGCTTTAGCGTCGTACTTTAGTGACATAATTACTTCGGGTGCCTGAAGAAAACACATAATGATTAAAAACATACTTCTATAACAAAATGATAGAATTGAATGAAGTAAATAATTTCATGTTTACATTACCATGTACATAGGAGAGCCGCATAGAGTGACGGCCATGTTTCCTTCTTCGAGGAACCTCGCAAAGCCAAAGTCAGCTGCAAAAAAATGCGTTATTGATATATTAATTTGTTTATTCAGATTTATTAATAGGATATTCGTCGGCTTACTGGTAGAATTCACTAAAACCAAAAATCACCAAGTCAAAATCGAAAATTATGGCCTACATACATATCTAATATTAGTGATTTATACATAGATTTCTGCTTTTGGCGGATAATATACAAATAAAAGAAAGGCTTTCTAGTATTTAGGATATCCTTTTATTGAGTAAATATCCTGTGGTTTATTAAATATTGTAAATTCGTTTTATTGCGAATAATATTAGTCATCAATTAGTAGAATAAAACTGACGTTAACTCTATCACACTATTCGTACAGATACGTACCAAATCCAATGATAAATATTAAGATATGATGAGAAATATGATGTGCACTTTTACTAATTTTCATTTAATTAATTAATTATTTTGCTGATTATAGCTAAATTTTGGATGTTTGTAGTCAAAATTGTGAAATTATTATATACCTATTTTCAGTGTCATTTCTGAGGGGTGGGGAGTACGCGGTGGGGCGACATTATGTGTGAGCAGAATATTCTGCGGCTTGAGGTCGCGGTGTACAATGCCTTTTGCATGAATGGCGCGCATGGCCTCTGCCAGCTGCCGCAAGAACAGCCGGATAGTACTCTCACTTAGCAGCCGATTCGCTTGCAGATAATCCGCCAAATCGCCGCCATTGCAGTACTGCAAACAAACAAACAGCCGATACTAAACAGACTAGTATGTTTCATCACTATTCGGTTAAACATCGTACAGAAATACACTATTTAAAAATAACGATGTGTAAGCGAGATCAAAGTTGCTTGGATCAAGAGATTCATAGACCTTGTATGAAATAAAGAAATATTTCATACATTACAATATTAAAATGGCGTACGGTAAATTACCATACTTCTTAAATTCATTGGATACAATTGCTTTGTTACCGATCTTACGGAAGAGTGCGGTGTTTGCAGTGTACAGTAGTTGCCAGATAATATTCAACAGTTTACAATAGAAATAAACGGTTATCATAAGGAATTTGTTAAATTATTAAAGCAAATGTGGATAAGAAACTATGCGTAACAAAATCTTAAGATAATTCTACGAAATCTAGTGATATCAGATTCATCAGAAGGCAATAATAGAAATATATGCGTAACTGTTTTATCTTATATACAATATTTGTATTAGTAGCAACACTATCATAGTTAGATAGCCAGAGGTCAAGCCCGTAAACACCAGTGTCTAGAATAGCTGCAATGTGATTTACATAAGACAGTTTACATCTTTCAGTATCGATGTAGGCGTAAATGATGGCGAACAAACGTTTTAAATTTGGCGGTTCATTATTTCTTTTAAAACTAAATACAAAAATATTACAAAACATTTAGTATTGTGTTTGGTGAAATGAAGCACACATTTATATTCCAGGTGATATTGAAAACCGTCAAGAAAGTAATATTCGTGTTTCTCGTTTGTGTTGTTATCAGACTTGATTCGCGATAAGCTGGGCCATGCTGCTGGTAATCTTATCATTGAGTGATAATAGTTATAAGTGTCAGTGAGTTATGAGCGCTGCGTACCGTAGGTAGATACTTGTGCCACGACAGGCAACAGCTCCTGTGATCGGTTGGCACATCTCGTGTGTCTGCATATCTGAGTGACCATGATGCTGAACTATTTCTACCTATTGTTGCTAGCTTTTATTGCGTAAGTATTAAAACACCCTGCTTTAAATATGGCCACACTAAAGTCAATTCGCAAAACAACATTATCCATTACATACTGCATAAGTAACTATACCTAATATGTTTTGCGTCTATTTGTATAGGCGGTGTTCTTTTCTTTCAAGTCAAAAATATTTGCCTTGTGTAAGTAGCTATATACTTTTAAAGTTGTAAACATTATCAAAGGTAAATTGTGATTAAGGAATAAGAGCTAATTTAAATATTTCAGCGACACTTGAGCGAATTGTAATAAATGAATTGCAAAGGTGTTTGATACAATGTAAAGACTTTATGTTATATTAATGTTCCCGCTACGCCCTTGCGTAGATATCGCATATTTTATCTCTTATAAGTCACAAATTTACGTCACGTAGTCATGATAAAATATGTAAAACCAATAAAGTGTCACGTGTTTTGATTGCTTTAAATAATATTTTCAGGTGTCAAATTGCGACAGCGCAAAATGAAGACGATCTACAAATACCAGTTGAGAATGATAACCAATTCCCACCAGACAATCATTCAGATGTCATTGAAGGCAGTGGTGAAGGTGTGATTGATGAACCCCAAACTGAAACAACTGAAGCACCACCGATAGAACACATCGAGTCTCGATTATTATCAGAAGATGATGAGGAGACACCAGTAACAGGCGTAAATGCACCCGTTACAGGCGATGATGATGTTTGTCCAAAGCCTTGTGTTTGTCGTGTAGAAGGAACTACGAATGACTTTGTGATAGACTGTTCCGGATACGGTTTGACAGAATTCCCATCGCCTTTGAATGAAAAAGCTACGATTCTAAATATACAGAAGAATAAAATTGTTGAAATACCCAATTCAATATCGATGCTGAAAAACTTGAAAATATTGAAAGCCAGTGATAATGAAATCATGACTATAGTGCCTGGCGTAAGTTACTTGTAATACATATTATTATCATCACAATAAATTAATAATACATGTAATTGTATAGTAGAATCCTCCTCAAATCATCATCCTGTATAGTAGTCCCTCCGTTGATGTATGCGGCGATATTATGTAGATACTCTACCATAAAAAGCATTGTTGGTTGATAAGCGTATTACTTGGAAATGGATAGATTATATTATGACATTTTTAAGTTAGTGGGTAAAGAAAATCGAATTTAAATTTAAGTTTCGTAAATTTGGGAAAACTTAGAATGCTTTTTCAACAAGTTTGGAATACTTTTCAGTCTATTCAATAAATGTCGTGTAGCATAAGTAGATACTGTAGCAACAATATATTATGCATGTATCACATTCTAGCAAAATAGTATATCTACTATACATACAGTATAATTACTATAATATGGAATCAAAAATATATTTTCAGTCGATCAGCGAGCTTCCGGAATTAGTCACTTTAGAACTTCGAAACAATCGGCTAATTGATTATCCTAATGACCTCAAAAACAGTTTTGGACAACTAAAACTGCAAGATTTGGATTTGGGTGGCAACGATATGCGGACGGTAAGAAATATTCATTTCTTTAAAACTAGAAAATGTTATTTATGTTTAAATAATTAATACCTACATTTATTAAGAAAAACAGTTACCAGTGAACTTAATTCTGCGCATAGTGCAATATATTACACCATGTTAATAACAATCTTGTTCATATCAAAGAAAAGTTTTATACGAAACCGAAACACTAATTACAGTAAAAGTGAAATTAGAACGTAAATACTTAAGAGCTGAGAAATAACGGTAAAATTAATGTCGAAAAGCAATGTAAAACATTGAACTATTTATTTTTTACAGACTTTAACAGCCGATCTTTTCTCCAAATTCGAATCACTAAGAAAGATTACGCTACCTACATCTACTCCAGATTTACAACAAGACTTATGTTCTGTACTATCAAAAAGTTTATTAAAAGTATGCACCAAATCATGTGAACACGATACATATGATTGTAAAGAAGAAGATTTTGACGGTGAAGATTTACCAGTATTGCCTGGTATGATTGCCGTCGATAATAACGACGATGAATCAGTATTTGACAATCAAGAAAATAGAAAGGTGGATAGTAATCCTCAACAAGAGACATCCAGTGTCAGTTCAACAGAGGACAATACGCCAAAAGTTTCTGGTAAAATTACAGCAGCAGAGTTTTCTTTCCGATCTGCTATCAACAAGCAACCCGAAGACGTACAGCCTTCTAATTCTATAAATGAAAACCCAGATAAACCTCCAAGTACAACGGAGGTAGCAGTAAAAGTTGGTGCGACAACTGATACTAAAACTGGCGGTGTCAATAAAACTATCATCGGTTTAGTTGTGGTCGGTATGGTTGTAATAGTAGCTGTAATAACAATCAAGAAGAACTGGAATTCAATCGCAAAACGATTTGGATCTAACTCGAACAGCAGAACACCGAACCAACAAACCGGAGGTAACGCTAATGGTTCAGCTCCAGAAGAAGTACCTTTACAAGATAAATCGCCGGTTTAAAGTAGGTTTATGTCATCAAAACGTATAATAATAACGTTTCTAATTTATTAATGGTGAATTGTTACAAAAGTACGATCTGAAAAATTGTTATTCTGCTGACATTTTTCAACAATGGTTTTGTTGCTGATTATGAAAATATTTTTGAATTTTAAATGCGTGTTAATAATTATACATTAGCTAAAATGGATACAGTTTGTAAGAAGATATTTGTTACGTAGATAAATATATTAGCTGTGCCATTTAATCAAAATAATATTTACGAATACGAAGTTTGCAGCAAAGGCTATACTTATAGATACGAGTAAGTTTGGATCAAGAAGGGAAAGGAAAAAACCAAAAAGGCTTTAATCAATTAATAAAAATATAAATTAACGCTGTTGTGATCAGTTTGCTGTTCCACAGTATAAGATGACATATCTTCAATAAGAAATATTTGAGACGTATCTTTTAAAAATATTTAAGAATAAAACGTGTATTATTTTATAAAATGTAAATTTAAATAGACATATTTTTATTTGGTTCGTTTCTGTTGCATGCATTGTTTTGATCATAGATAAGTACAATACATTCTTTATAAAGTAGAGTGCATTCAATATTTGTATGATAAATCATAATTTTTGATAGTCACCGCTAGGAGCGCTGTATCCCAATCTATACGAAGATGTAAGGTATATGAGAATCGATGTGAAAACTCGTTTTAATATTATTTTAGTAAAAATTTCTTCCATGAAATTAGATAACTTCATGTACCATTTACCATAGTATATGAGATAGTTTTAATACATATTGAGACAGTTGATTTTAATAAAATGTCAATTATGAGTGTGCTCTAGAATCGAACCTATACCCCTATAGTAGAGGACCAAAGATAGTATTTGGCTTAAACCATATCCTAAATGACAGAAGAGAAAACGTCGAATTGAGGCGTATTGACTTATTTTGGTCTGACGATGGTTTAATACTGGTACTGAGTTAGTCCTCGTTTTATTTAAGACAAATAGACATTAATTTGTAATGTAAGATTTTATTTATTCAATACTTTCAAGACAAGTGTAAATGATTAGGTATTTGGTAGGTACATTAATATTATTGATAGTTTTTATAATAATGCAAAAAGCTGCTATAATATTATTTTCCCTATGTAAGTTATACATTGAAATGCTATTACGACATTGATGTTTTGCATGTTTTTGTAATTTTAATTAAGACATATAATAATTATATATTAATATTATAAGAATACGTAGTAATGTTAAGTGATTGTGATTATTAAATGAATACATAATTCTATATATATTTTTTAACTTTCTATGAGAAATTCTATGCTACATTGACGATTTGTATATTTTTGTAATTTATAATTATATTATTTTATTCCGTAATAATGTTCAGTAATTGTGATTTTTATTAAGTAAAGTATTCATTAATTTCTAATATTATTGAGTTTTCGTGTTCTATTTTAAAGTATTTTATTTAAAGAAATATGGGATTTTTGCTAACTTATTATATGTATTACTTGTTTAAAATAAAAACCAAAACGGCTTCAACTGAATGTTTCATATCAATTGCAGAATAATAAGATCGATTGTCTAAAAACGTAAATCCTATTTCTTTCTCTTTTCAGTCTCAGAGAAGAGATTGGTAATTTATACTAATATTAAAAAGAAGAAAGGTTTTATTGTCTGTATTGAAAAAAAACTCTTTCACGGTAAAATTGTAAATTATAAAGTCAGTTTTTGTCATTGGCTAAAATTTTTTTCAATAATAAGATTGCCCAAAATTAATGTGTAAAAATAGTCCATTTTGGACGGTGTCCTTGATACATGACCGGAAATATAATAGCGCAGTGTAATGCTATCGAACTCGTTCACAATTAACTTGTTTAACCAAGAATCCTATTTGTATTTCAATTTTATTTATAAGTTCCAGTGGCGTTTCTGAATCTTTTTGGGCGACGGAACCCTTTTGGAATACTAATATTTACACAGAGATCTAAAATGAAAAAAAGAACATAGTTTTATATCAATACTGAATGATACATATAATTTCCTTTAAATCAGATAATTTGCCGAAAAAGGACCAGTATTTTTGTGGACTGTCAACGTACGGCATTAAGAAACTTGTTTGCAACATATAAATTGCGGCGGAAGTCAATTTATAGTAGACTAGCTTTCCGCCAGCGGCTTTGCCCGCGTGAGCCCTAGGGAACTGTTTGTTTGGGTATCGATTGCTGTTATCATAGCATAGTTTCTCATACATATATTTTTGGTATCTTGAACCGTTTTCGCAGCGCACGCAACGGAAGCCCTCAAGGATGAATAATTTTCCCCGTTTTTCCACTTTTTCCATTACTTCTTCGCTCCTAATAGTTGCAGCGTGATGTTATATAGCCTAAAGCCTTCCTCGATAAATGGTCTATTCAACACAAAAATAATTTTTCAATTCGAACCAGTAGTTCTTGAGATTAGCGCGTTCAAACAAACAAACAAACTCTTCAACTTTATAATATTAGTATAGATAAATAACATCATGAATTGAAAAGATATAGTTACATGTTATTTTTATTCCATTTAAAAAAATACAAAACAATACAAATAAACCCACTATAAAAAAATAATTAAAAAAAGAGATTGCACCTCGTTGGTCACATGCATTAACGATACAATATGAACGATAACGAAATGTTCATAAAAGTGTTGTTCAAAAAAAACAAATATTGTAATAGTTATAGACAACTTCGGTATGTTTCATTATTATTAATAAGTTCATTACTGACGTTGAATGACATTTATTTGATAGATATATTTTTTAAAGTTCTTTAAGATACGACCGTCCAAACTCCTAATGTGTGAGAAGATAATTGGGCTCTGTAATAAATTCGTAATCGAAAAAAAATCTGAATAGATTAAGGAATATGTGAAAACCAAATGGCTTTTATAAATATGAACTAAATTGATGTAGCAAAAAATGCAAATAAAAATTGAAGCAAACATATATACAGCGCAAAAACAGGCCTATTGATAGATTTATATGATCTAAACTTTAATTATTTTTTTTCCTATCAATAGCACATTGAATATGATGACATAGTAATTTTTAATACGTAATAAATACTGCGTTTTACAAGAAGTAAAGATAAAATGAACCATCGATCAAATTTGATAAAGGTTTAAACGCGTCACTATTACAACGTAATCTTTGAAAAATCGAATAGAATCGGTAAAGTATTGTTAGAACCCATTAACGTGATGACGCATTTTATTGCTTGTTTACAAACATCAGGTATTTTCTTTATTCTATTGCGTTTTTACAGAAACTAACAATACTGATAAAAAATAGTAAGCCATGCTATTGAACTTTATTTTAAAAACATAACAATTTGATAACGAGCCCAATGTGAGTTTAAAGAGCTATTACAACAGCAAACAATAGATTTAGAGAATGTGAAAGTTGATGTAACTTAGAAAAAAATCTATTGTGGTGATTAGAGAGCCAAGTAAACAGGTCACAGGCCACGGCAAGACGCAGAGGAGGCGGATCTGCGACTGAGTGGTTCTGTGCCGGTGTTATGACCTACACCTAAGGTTGCCAGATGAGAGGAGTAAAATATCTGGACAAAATATTTTCCAGATAAATTATTCCTCTTAAAAATCAGGATTACTCGTGACGAAAATCGATACATTCATCCTTTGCCTCGGAAAAAGATGATGATTAACAAACAAAATAATGGAATTATTTCTATGTTATTTTAGCCGTTACCGAGCAATTGATTGATCGATTAAATGAATTTATCAATTATTGAATACTCCACGGGACATTTCCTTCTTTTTCGGGACTCTTGAAATCCTCTGAAAAGTTGGGATAATCCAGACCAATCTCAACAATCTGGCAACCCTACATACATCGTTATCGTATGGTGCCGTTAGTAAGGATACTGCGTAAAATATGCTGTATAAAGATGAATCAGTGCACTAGGTACTTAGAACACAATGTCACGTCAACGTGTTCTGTGGATACAAAGAAGTTTAATTGTAAAACTGTGGTCAAAATTAAATTGAACACGTCAGACAATAAATATTTCATGATGTTTCTCTTGCCCAACTCAAATCTTTAGGTCCTACTGAAGCCGAAGCTCCGTATGTATAAACAAGAAACTGACAATGGAAATGTATACAACACGTAAGTTTTTAAACGTTTAGTGTATCAGAGTTGGTTCGCCTTTTGATCAACGACACGTGAGATACGACCGACTCAAGTGCAGCGACCCCGATTCACATTTAACTTCAATTTACTGTTCTGGCAATGCGATGACCTGTTTTACGACACTTTTGACTTTCAAAACGTGTTCTCTTAAAATTGGTAAACAGAACCGAGTTCGTATGAACTCATATCCAGATATCATGGAGCTATTGAACTAAAATGAGATTAAGTTCTCTAAATAGCCGCGAAGGTGACATGTTTATTTTCATATATTCTCGATATAAATATACCTCTACTTCTAATTAAAAGTGACACAGTAATTTCTAGAAAGGTTAAATTACATATTTCAAAACGTATTAAGCTCTTTTGATTCGACGACCTTTCACATTTCAATTGTTACCTATTCTATTGCATGATGGCGAAACTCGTAAAAGCACGTTGTTTACTAGCTGGATTGAACTAGTTATAAATATAATACTGACGTATCTTGTTAATTATTTTAACGTATATTAAAGAGATCTTGCTAAGATTAATTGACCTAAAACGCCTTCCGTGGGTTTTGATAAGATGCCTCGTTGTTGAAAATATCATCCGTTGTGATAAAAACACAATTTAAAACAAAAAGTCGTTAATAAAGCATTAGAGAACAAAAGCAGAAGTTACATATATATTATTATTGAAAGGATAATAAGACGAGAACATTTAATTCACTGATTGATTTTACTGTTTTTTTTGTAAATAATGAATTATAAAGATATATAACCATTTTTGTAAAATTTAATATTATAAAGATACAATAATTAATATGCAAATCGTAGCATAGCGGAGAATACAAGTAACTCCGTTGACCGATTATAAATAAAAATGTCTAGGTACAATATACATTATAGAATATGGCTTAACATGTACCAGTTCAGTCCATATATGTAAAAGGGGATATAAAATTTCTTCACAGAAGTAGATACTTGCAGAACTTTATTTATCTACGATTTTATATCGTACTAAAATACCTTTATTATTTCTTTACCTACACACTAATAAAGGGAC